CTTCAACTCTACCTTCAAAAAGAGAAACACGTTGAAACTTTCACTTCAAAAAGTGGATAAACTTCCACCCTTCGTGGCCTAGTTCACCTGTTCCGCAAACTGGCCTGGCCTGGCACAAAAATCACCATTTCTGGGGTTGGTATTTACTATATGTGAATACTGTAAATATATATATATAGATATACACATACACACACATACATACATACATATAATATATATATATATATATGTGTGTGTGTGTGACACACATACTATACATCATATTAGATAGATACATTGCATACATATCATACATACATCCCATCAAAGAAAAGATCTTGAGGTACATTCCATATCATACATACATTCCATCATACATATTGGGGTACTGATGGGCAGAAAATCTCCATCCATGTTGAGTCCATGGCGCAGGATATCACCAATTTGCATGGAGACTTGCTGCAAGTCTTCCACTGAACTGATCTTGGGAATATATACCCCCTGGTAAATTGGTAAATTAACATAGATCCTGAAAATAGCCTAGTTTTAATGGAAACTAATCTTCCAATCCCTATCTGCCAGGGTCTATGTTAATTTACCAGAGGGTAGATCAACTTTGAAAATTGGAGTTTATTCACGGGGGTTAGTTGAAGATAAAAACCCAAAAACATCGATTTCACATCCAAATTAGGAAGGCTTTGATAGATCACCCCAGTCCCACCTGTGAGCAGATTGGCCTTGGCTTGGGATAGCCCCTCACTTGGATCGGTGGGTTCAAGGAACTATGCGAACCAGAAGGGGTGACAAACAGTTTCAAGTGCAAAATCTACGTTAGAATGTCAGGCATTTAGAGTTACTATGTCACTATAATCATAAAAATATTCTATAATTCATCGGTTGTCCTTCCCGGGATCGGTTCTTCCCGGAATAGCCCCCACATATCCCCACGGTGTTTTTCGTGAAGTCTTTCCGCGGGGCAGAGGTTGAGGATTGCCTCTTGCCAACTTGCGTCTCCTTGCCCCAGTGTCATCCCTCATGAAAGTGGGCATATTGCAGTGTCATCCTGAAATGCCAGGGTAAAGCTATGGATCTACCCTTTGGCAAACCAAGCTGGCAATGGAAAATCCTCAATTGACATTCATCTGTGTCTGACGTGCTTAACCGGATATGGATCCCAACCATCCCAACAATCGAGATCGTAATAAACATCACCCAACAAATCAGCCGTATGCCGCTGCCCAATTTCATAAATCCCAATTGGGCAGAGGTTATTTTTGGGCTTGACCTGGAGAAAAAAAAATGATTCATAATGTCCAGAATGGTGTAAAGTTGACATTCTTGTCATAATTTCAGATCAAATTTCCAACTCCCAGGCATCTTTTCGGGAGATGCTATGAGTTTCCAAAAAGCCCACAGTTTCCCCTGAGTTTTGGCCACCCTCCAGTAAATTCCCAAACAAAACGGATGTCTTCATGGGAAAAACGTCCGACTGTTCTTAGTGAGACCAACTCTGAACTTCATATCTGCTTCAAATTCGGCCCCCGCCGATTCCATGGCCATGCTTTTCTACCTGCCACAACCATGCAGCGTCACTTCGTCACTTATCCGAGACTTTTCCAAACAACGCGATTCGCAGATTTTACAACCGCGAAACGCGCGTTCACAAGCCATCTGGCACGGCCCCGTGCCACCGCGCCAATGCTTCAAAAAAACGCAACTGGTTGGTGGTTCCATCAACCTCACAACATATGAGAATCAATTTGGATCATCAGCATCCCAAATCGTTATCAGGATTTCAATGCATATAGGGAGGAAAAATGATTGTATATTATATATATATACACCATCTTATACACCTAGGTCGAATATGTGACTTGACACATGTTTTCTCACGACACGAAACCACCATTTTTCCAACTGCAGTCCCACGCGGGTCAAATTTCGGCTCTGCGTTCTGAGATCTCATTCAGCGTGGGTTCGTGCACCTTTCGGAGCCTTCCCTTATCGAATTTGGTGAGGTGCAGCCATAGGCGCATGGGTTCATCGGCGTCGATGCGGCGATTTGGAGTGCTGAGGGTGGCCTGGACAGTTGCTGCGTTTGTTGCCGCACAAAGGGATCCAAATGTAGGGCTTCGAAAATGTCCTAATTGAACATCCAACTATTGGGGATATCTCGAAGAAATACGTACATGGCTAAGTGATGTGAAACAAATTCCAAAAGACGGACACCATCCCCTAGTGATCCTAGTGACTTAGTGTTTAAACCAAAAATGATTGAAATAGAAGGCCTTTGGATACATGTTGACATACCCATGCGGATTTTGGACATTCACCGTTTCATAGCAGGCCGTAGTGGTTTTGCATGTCTTTGCGGATGTCCTTTCGAGGCAAATGCCCACAGCACCCTTCCTTGTATTGTCTATCGTCATGGGACTTCAAGTTTCCCCCTGAAAAAATTGAAAAACATGTTCAACAGTGCCTAATTTGGAGGTTTCCATAGTCAATAGCTGGATGGTTTATTTCATGGAAAATCCATTCATGAAGTACCATAGTACCATTCATGATTTGGGGGTACCCCCATTTTTAAGAAACCTCCATTTTTAATGAGTTCTGAATGGTTGGGCTGGTCACACGGATGGCAAATCTCCATGCCAGGAGACGTCCCGCGCTCGGAGGTAGTTATGTGACTGCCCGGGCAATCGAATCATCAAGGGTCCCAAGTGAATGGCTCGTGGTGCTCGGCCAGACTGCCTGGCCGCCTCCACATACCTGGCACAATCCATGTATGTTCCATGGAATCGGGAAAAATTCTGAAAATGTCTGGCTGTTGTCTGGTGGTCATGCTGGATATGTCATGGAAATGTCATGAAATGTCTGGATCCCCATGAACATTTTCATATTTCACCCCATCTCCTAGCCATTGTCATCATTGTCTCTCCTTTTTTGCACCCATCCCAAGAGGAAAGGATTGAGTCTTCCCATAAAAACGTATTTATGCATGCATGCATGCATGGATGTATGTATGTATGTATAGGAGACTGTCAATATCAAATCAGACTGCATGTTCTTCAAGTTACATTTTATGACATTATTATATATTTTATAGTATTCTGATATTGACGAGCCGAACTATATCATCATGTCTATAGCTTCCGGTACAATAGCATAATAGCATAATAGCATAGATATGTAACATAGATATGGAAGTCCATGGAAATCCATCCGTTTTCCTTGGAACATGATCCACAACTGGTGCATAAAAACGGTATCAACACCATATGTTTGACCGTTACGAATTCCATGACCAGAAATATACCATTGATTGACCATTAATCAACCAAGCAATGGTGAAATCCCTCTTCAAATGTAGTCTTCAAAGGTGCATCCCTCGCCTTCTGATGTTCTTCTTCAGGCCCCGCCACTCCGTGGCGCCGGCAAACTTCTTCAAACCTCGATCGTTGGTGAGCACCGCATCAACGGCTTCTCACGCAAGCCGCAAGGCAAAATAGAAGGACAAGTGATCCCACTGGATCATACTGGATCTAGATGGTCGTAATGTCAACCCCTCTGAATGATCTTATTTTTTATCCGTGGGCTGTAGAATTTGGGCAGATTATCACTATTTGGGGAGTACCATTCAACCAATCCAAGGTTTATGAAACCGGGCGTTGACCGATCTTTTCGCCACGGGGTTCCTGGAACTACCAGCCCCAGCAGTGGCGGTAGGCTGGTAGCGGTCATTGGAGGTCCTCAACTCCGTCGAGCTTTCCTCCCTCTTCCCATCCGCGTTTTGATTTGGAAGCAAACATGTCTTTCAGACGCAGGAAAAGAGATCCAAAGAAACAAACAGTAAAGCTGTTAGCAAAAGGAGAGAAAAAAACTGAAGATCTCCAACAAAAAAACAAAAAACAGACAGATGGACAAAGAAACAACACACCATAAATTCAGCAGGGAACTGGGCATCTCGTCCATGCCCTCCTCGTCTGCGATCCAAGGCCGCCGTGCAAAGCGAAGGTGTGTTTCCTCCACATCCAGGGCCTTGGAAATCAGAACTCACATGGGCTGCAAATTTAACAATACCCTCTGGTAAACTTACATAACTATGGAAGATCACCATCTTCAATAGGAGAATCAACTATTTTTACATGGGCCATGTTCAATAGCTAGGTTAAATTACCAGAGGGTATGGGATTCTATATGCATTGCTAGTGCTAAGGGGCAAGGCAAGCTAAAATGAAGGGCCCGGGGTTATTGTACTGTCCCTAATATGGACATAAAGGTTACTATAGTAACATCGTCATTAAATGTCAAGTATAACTTCTGAATCTCGGATAATGGAAAGATCAAGCTTTAGGTCTGTGGCTTGTATCATAGTCAGATGGAATGTAACGCCCATGCCCTGTAACAGTGGGAACGAGCACAGCACCAGGAAAAGAATGAAAAAAAATGACGGTTTTGTTTCCAAATGTGCTCACTTCAGAAACCCTTCACTTCTTGAGGTGCGCTTTTCAGCGCACAGCTTGAAGTAGCATATATAAGCATGTAAGATGCTTGATGTGGCATTTCTCATCTGAGTGGTCCAACAGAAAATCGAAAAATAGAAGGACAGTCGTACAAGGATATGATATGATGATTTTCTAAGGATGTCTTGAAATGTCCTGATTTTATTTGTGGGGATGCCTGTATGTTTTATATTATATGTAGAGAGCAACCCAAGTTAAGATAGAAAAGATCCGATTCTAAAATAGTGGTCAATTACATATCTTTTAGGGCGTTATCTGAAAGTAAATTAAGAACGGCTTGTTTAACGTCGTCGTTCATCTTGATGTAAGAGGCTACAATCCCAATGGGACCATGAAGAGGTGGCTTAAACTATCCCCAATTTGTAGTCTTATGGCGTTGGTTTTGCCACATTATATGTTTGTTCTCTTCCACCACCACCACCACCACAACAACAACAACAGTACTAGTGGTCATGACGCTAATGATACTGACAACAATAGCAATGATGTTAATGATGCTGATATGATGATAATAATAATGATACTAATGATACTGACAACTTTGATAACAATGGCAGTCATAAATAATTCAAAAATATGAGGAAGAAAAAAAACAGCAACCAACCATTGCTGAGTCATTTTACTAAAGGGGTCCAGAATTGTTTGGTATGTTTTCTGTTTGTTTTTTTCCCTGTTCCGTCCATTTTCCTTGCTATTTGCATTTTGGAGCTGGAAGGTGCCATTTCAACAGTATTTGCAGCATGTTTGAATTCGAAATTCTCATTTTCCATGGAATTTGCAACATTTTGATGCTATTTGCAGCATTTTGGAGCCGGAAGCTGCCATGTCAACAATATTTGCCGTTTTTTAGAACCGATCATTTTCCATGGCCATCGAATTTGCAATATTTTGGTGCTCGAACTGTTCATAGAACATGGTAGTTTGCAACTACGGTTCATTTAGGATTGGTTTTATAGTTTGGGGTTTCTGGAAGGGCTGGTTTTAGAGTTAGGGTTTGTTTGGGATCTATTCAGGGTTGGTTTTAGGGTGTATTTAGGCTTGGTTTACTAGGGCATTGTTCGTCCCGAGTTGGTATGGATGACATGTTTGGCAGCCTTGGTTCTGTCAGAAAATAGGCGACCCCTAAAATCCGTTGGTTTCTCACCATTTTCCCTGCCCATAAAATAGGAAATTTTAATATATATATATATATATTTTTTGTTTATTTATTTATTTATTTATTTGAGGAGAAAAAAAGCGCATTTTGGGGGTGCACACGCCATATGTTCCCGGTGCCTCAAATTGAGTGTTGACCAGCAGGGTCACCTCTTCCAACTCCTGACAAATGTCCACCACTTCCTCAGGCGTTTCTGTCAGTTTGGTGGTTGGAAATCATGGCGCTTCAGGAGTTTGGCTCCTGGAAAGCCACCCAAAACACCCAAAACAAATGGTTCTTTGACGTTCTAGGTTGCCAGCAATCAGCAACTCAAATGTTGCAAGTGCATAGTGAGTAATTACTGAGTACAGTAATCCGCTAAGTCATCCCCCCCTTTATCCTTTTCTTGCCCCTTGTCCCCCCAAGCTCCAGTCATGCTTCGTTTCTGCTACTGGCCGTGGATGCCCTGCTGGAGCGTCCACCGCTTGGAGCCTCGCTTCTCACCCTGATGGCTGGGAGTATCAGTGGTTGGGAGCTCGGTGCTTCCTCCAGCAGCGACCCGCTCTCAGGGTCCTCCTTGATGGCCAAGAGGTGATAGCCCGGCAGCGCCACATGGAAGAGATCCACTGAGAGCGAGCGCCCGCGCCGCCCAGTGTCACTGGAACGGCCGCAAAGAGTCACCCGCAGCCCACGAGGAAAGCTACTGGGGGAGGTGGCACCGGAGGAGGCAGAGACGGAGACAAAGTCCAGGAATTTGGGGCGGTCTGCTGCACTCAGAAGCTCCACGAAACTGGAATCCCTGGAATCGGAAAAATCCGACTCCATCAGGCGGTGCAGCGTATTTTGGCTGCCTACAATGTTCAAGTCCTGGTCTAGGAGGACATCTCCTTCGGCAGGGGCTCAACAGTGAAGGGGGATACCCAAAGATGATGTCCATGCTCAAAAAAAGTAGATAGAAGATGATACAGTCTGTTGGACGCCATTGTTGGAGAAACTGTTGATATGCCCAATCTTGTTGTAATTGCTGTGCCATATTCCTGTATTTCCTCTATTTTTCTTCTTGTAGGCCACACTCCCATCAACGATTGCTTCCTCTTCTCCGTCACTTTCATGGTCATATATGATATCACATATACTGGAAATCCATGGAAATCCCCATTTCTAGCTCTGGCAGTTGTATCCCCAGCTCTTTGCTGGTCTTCCTGGTGAACTCCCTACTCCCTGCAAAGAATTACCTATGGACATGGCCTGCACTTGATTTATGCAGATCCTTCGGCTTCTGGTTCGCCTTGTCGTGGTATGTTATTGGTTGTATCCCATGCAAAAGAGAAGTGAAATCCCTGAACTGTTGGTGGTTTTCCCCATACCCACCAAAATTACGATAAGTACCCATGAACGCCAGCGTTGACCCGATGATCTGTGGCGGATATATGCCGATATCCTCCACGAACCCAACAAATGATGCGGAAAAGCCACCATTTGAAGGTCCGTGTCGCTTCCCCCATGTAATGTCTATATCTACGTTAAGCAAAAAAAAATAAAATAAAATAAAAATCTAACGGGATTCAAACCCCAAAAACAAAAAGACGTGACTTAACGTATTCAAATATTGTTTTCAAACCGAGGGCTCCATCTGCAACGCCCCGCAAAACACGTCGAAAGCCAGCCAGAATCGACGCCGTCTCGTCGGACCTGATCACCGCCTTGGGTTTGAACCACTGATGTTCAAACATTTTCTAAGCCATCAGATCAATGTCAACCCATAACTACCAGTAACTACCATAACCATAGGATTTCTCGAAAAACAACTCCCATGATATTGGTTGTTTAAGTGTTGTTTATGTGTTGTCTATGTGTGTTAAATCCGTCCCAGCCGCGGAAATGCGCGCTCTGGTCTGATGCTCGTACAACCAGGCCACTACCACGACCAACAAGTAGGAGAGCACCTGGTGAGATGATGCGTGCCCAACTGGTGTATTAGCCTAAATGTCTCTCTCTAGATAGATAGATAGATAGATAGATAGATTGATTGATTGATTGATTGATAGATTGATAGATTGGTAGATTGATAGATTGATTAGATAGATAGATTAGATAATTAGATAGATTAGATAATTAGATAGATTAGATAGATTAGATAGATTAGATAGATTAGATAGATTAGATAGATTAGATAGATTAGATAGATTAGATAGATTAGATAGATTAGATAGATTAGATAGATTAGATAGATTAGATAGATGAGATAGATGAGATAGATGAGATAGATGAGATAGATTAGATAGATGAGATAGATGAGATAGATGAGATAGATTAGATAGATTAGATAGATTAGATAGATTAGATAGATTAGATAGATTAGATAGATTAGATAGATTAGATAGATTAGATAGATTAGATAGATTCGATAGATTAGATAGATTAGATAGATTAGATAGATTAGATAGATTAGATAGATTAGATAGATTAGATAGATTAGATAGATTAGATAGAGTAGATAGAATAGATAGATTAGATAGATTAGATAGATTAGATAGATTAGATAGATTAGATAGATTAGATAGATTAGATAGATTAGATAGATTAGATAGATTAGATAGATTAGATAGATAGATAGATAGTTAGATAGATAGATAGATAGATTAGATAGATAGAGTAGGTAGATAGATAGATAGATTAGATAGATAGAGTAGGTAGATAGATAGATAGATAGATAGATTGATTAGATAGGTTAGATAGATTAGATAGATTAGATGGATTAGATGGATTAGATGGATTAGATAGATTAGATAGATTAGATAGAGTAGATGGAGTAGATAGATTAGATAGATTAGATAGATTAGATAGATTAGATAGATTAGATAGATTAGATAGATTAGATAGATTAGATAGATTAGATAGATTAGATAGATTAGATAGCTTAGATAGCTTAGATAGATTAGATAGATTAGATAGATTAGATAGATTAGATAGATAGGATAGATAGAATGGATAGATAGAATAGGTAGATAGGATAGATAGATAGATAGATAGATAGATAGATAGACAGACAGATAGATAGATAGACAGACAGATAGATAGATTAGATAGATTAGATAGATTAGATAGATTAGATAGATTAGATAGATTAGATAGATTAGATAGATTAAATAGATTAGATAGATTAGATAGATTAGATAGATTAGATAGATTAGATAGATTAGATAGGTTAGATAGATAAGATAGATTAGATAGATTAGATAGATTAGATAGATTAGATAGATTAGATAGATTAGATAGATTAGATAGATTAGATAGATTAGATAGATTAGATAGATTAGAGAGATTAGAGAGATTAGAGAGATTAGATAGATTAGATAGATTAGATAGATTAGATAGATTAGATAGATTAGATAGATTAGATAGATTAGATAGATTAGATAGATTAGATAGATTAGATAGAATAGATAGATTAGATAGATTAGATAGATTAGATAGATTAGATAGATTAGATAGATTAGATAGATTAGATAGATCAGATAGATCAGATAGATCAGATAGATCAGATAGATCAGATAGATCAGATAGATCAGATAGATCAGATAGATCAGATAGATCAGATAGATAAGATAGATCAGATAGATAAGAAAGATTAGATAGATTAGATAGATTAGATAGATTAGATAGATCGGATAAATTGGATAGATTGGATAGATTGGATAGATTGGATAGATTGGATAGATTGGATAAATTCGATAGATTAGATAGATTAGATAGATTAGATAGATTAGATAGATTAGATAGATTAGATAGATTAGATAGATTAGATAGATTAGATAGATTAGACAGATTAGACAGATTAGATAGATTAGATAGATTAGATAGATTAGATAGATTAGATAGATTAGATAGATAGGATAGATAGGATAGATAGGATAGATAGGATAGATAGGATAGATAGGATAGATAGGATAGATAGGATAGATAGGATAGATAGCATAGATAGGATAGATAGGATAGATAGGATAGATAGGATAGATAGGATAGATAGGATAGATAGGATAGATAGGGTAGATAGGATAGATAGGATAGATAGGATAGATAGGATAGCTAGGATAGCTAGGATAGATAGGATAGCTAGGATAGATAGGATAGCTAGGATAGATAGGATAGATAGGATAGATAGGATAGATAGGATAGATAGGATAGATAGGATAGATAGGATAGATAGGATAGATAGGATAGATAGGATAGATAGGATAGATAGGATAGATAGGATAGATAGGATAGATAGGGTAGATAGGATAGATAGGATAGATAGGATAGATAGGCTAGATAGGCTAGATAGGGTAGATAGGGTAGATAGGATAGATAGGATAGATAGGGTAGATAGGATAGATAGGATAGATAGGATAGATAGGATAGATAGGATAGATAGGATAGATAGGATAGATAGGATAGATAGGATAGATGGGATAGATAGGATAGATAGGATAGATAGGATAGATAGGATAGATAGGATAGATAGGATAGATAGGATAGATAGGATAGATAGGATAGATAGGATAGATAGGATAGATAAGATAAGATAAGATAAGATAAGATAAGATAAGATAGATAGATAGATCGATCGATCGATGGATGGATGGATGGATATATAGATAGATAGATAGATTAGATAGATTAGATAGATAAGATAAGATTAGATAAGATTAGATAAGATTAGATAAGATTAGATAAGATTAGATAAGATTAGATAAGATAAGATTAGATTAGATAGATAGATAGATAGATAGATTGATTGATTGATTGATTGATTGAGAGATAGAACCACAATTGAACAAGGGAGGTTTGCAAGCAAACACACTAGTCACTAGTCGGCTGACTCATGTTTGACAAAAATTGGAAAGCATGATGTTCGGGGTTTGAAGGTTCGGAGGCGCCACTCAGGCCGCAGCAGACCTTTCCTGCAGCTCCAACAAGTCCCTGAGGCTGTGGCAGTGTCCTTTTAAGGAGGTTCAAGGCTGGTTTGCCAGCCTTCAAAACTCGCCAAAACTCCCCAAACCCTCCCCTGCAGCTCCCAGGCGCCACTCAGCCGTGGCAGACCTTTCCTGCAGCTCCAACAAGTCTCTGAAGCCGTGGCAGTGTCCTTTTAAGGAGGTTCAAGGCTCCCGTTCGCCAGCCTTCAAACCTCGCCAAAACTCTCAAACCCTCCCCTGCAGCTCCCAGGCGCCACCAGGCCGCGGCAGACCTTTCCTGCAGCTCCAACAAGTCCCTGAGGCCGTGGCAGTGTCCTTTTATGGAGGTTCAAGCTGCCTCTTGCCAGCCTTCAAAACTCCCCAAACCCTCCCCTGCAGCTCCCAGGCGCCACTCAGGCCGCGGCAGACCTTTCCTGCAGCTCTAACAAGTCCCTTGGCAGCTCTAGCGTGGAGCGTTCATGGTTTGTTCCTGCCGTTTGCCAGCCCTCAAAACTCCCCAAACCCTTCCCTGCAGCTCCCAGGCGCCACTCAGGCCGCGGCAGACCTTTCCTGCAGCTCCAACAAGTCCCTGAGGCCGTGGCAGCGTCTTTTTATGGACGTTCAAGGCTGCCGTTTGCCAGCCCTCTCTCTCTCTCTCTCTCTACCGGACCACCCCCAATAGGGGGGTCGGCGGCACCAGGGCGCTAGCCCATTCTATATGATATATGTATCTAATGGAAAGCTGATAGCAAGCTTCATACATTCACATTTGTAGACATACTGACATCTATTCATTCCTTGATTTGCCTATACACTTATACATGTGCCTATAGACGAAGATCTATGATTAGTGTGGTAGACCCAATCAAACATCCCCAATCCCGAAATAGGTGGTATTAACATGTATTGAACATTAGTATACACCCTGAAGAAAAGGAGGGTCTATAGGTTATGATGCTTTTATCGCGCTTTCTCTCCCGCATGGAGGTTTCCTAAAATGGGGTGACCCATTTTATCATAAATTTCATTTTCGGATTTTCCATTGTAAACCATCCAGCTATTTGTACTCCCATTTAATTTTCAAACCACATCATTTCCGCCTCCAAAATGAGATGGACCCCCAAATTCTGCCGCATCAGCGCTGTTCCTAGTCGCAGGGAAGCCAGACTGAAGGCATGCAGCGTGGTCGCGAACCAGTCCAGCGCCTCCAACGAGATAGACCTGGAGGCGAAGCAGAACTGCTCGGTTTTTCGGTGGCTTGGAGCGTTATTTATAGATGGTTGACCTGTGAAAAATGGTGATTTTCCATGGCAAACTGTAGTCATAACCAGATGGTATACTACCAAAAAATCAACCCATCAATCTGTTGAGAATGTGTTAAAAAGAATGTTGAGATCAAGGTTTATCTCAAAAAAATACGGGTTGTTTCAGGTTGTTTCTATCAAAATAGGTGTTCAATGTTTTCCCAATGAACAAGGGTTTAAGAAATACATATCCTATCATAATGACTTCAGCGGTCTAAGGTCAAATGTGCCTTTGAGAAATCAACCAGGTTGAATAAAAACATTCAAAAAGAACAACAGCTGGTAGGTGGTGAGAACAATTATGGTTACAACCTACTACACATGCTTAAATACGTGTATATAATATCGTTCAGATCGGATATCCCCAGATGTATATGATGTACTGACCAGTTTCTAGGAGGGCTCTTCCCAACCTTTGAAAATGGTATAAAATGGTAGAACTGTGAAATTCGTGGTTTTAAGCCACAACAAGTTGGTGGATTTAGGCACCAAAATAGGATGCTTTCAATGGAGATTGATGCTCGGAAAGATGTAGGAAACGGTGTTTACATGTTGTTGTATTGTTTTTAATCATCAAGTTATATACCGTAAAGGGCTGTAAAGCGTATCCAAGTCTATGAAATCTGAAGATAGATAAGATAGGAAATGATCATAATAGATATAGGGTGGGAATTGGGGAATGAGGTCCTGGTATCTCCCTTCTATTTTCTGCATCATGAGGTCCTGGTGAAGCACCCAGTTGCTCAACTAAACTACTCGTCTACAGGGTCTATGTTCGCCAACTTACTGTAAGGGATCCCGTTAGCACATGTTCTCACCTTTTTTCTGGGAAATCGTGAGGAAAATCATCGCCCCATTGGGGTGATTGGGGTGGGACACAGTGAATGTTGTGAATCGTGAGGAGCGTTCATGTTTGGGGCATGTGCGGTCAACGCATCCAATATCTAGCACTTATCTAGCGAGGTGGCATTACCAAACCCGGTGAATAGAACCGAATTTCTCCCATTCTAACATATTTAACATGCCTGCTCCCGAGGGGAGAGAAAATAGGATCATCAAATCTAGAACGCGGGCACGACCACATGAAGAATGCACAAATGGCAAAAATATCATTCCCAAATGGTAAGTTTATGGCAGGTTTACCACAGTGCCGTCCGACGACACGGTCGCCAAGAGCATGAACTTGTCCCCATAGGGGCTGTCCTGTCGCCGCGGGAAATCACCGCGGAGGTCACTTTGATGGTGTGAACATGTGCGCCACGGGAACGTGATCTATGCGTGGTGTGTATATATACATATATATATATATACATATACATATATATATGTGTGTGTGTGTCCGCGTGTGTATTCACATATCATATGGATACATATGGATGTATGCACATGTGTGCATCTGATCATATTCATGTGTGTGTGTGACCTTACTATCTATTGAAATATATTGAAATATTATGACATGTATTTAAAGAAGCCATACAGTTATATAAATATGTATATAAGCATCTCAGCCAGTTGGCACCGCTCGTCTTTTGTGTCATAGATTCAGCGCATTTGGATGTGCAAATGATGCATCCCAATGCATAAAGATGTGAAGGTAGGCACGCGTAGCACTTTCCAAATATGCAGATTGTGTCGAATGTCTTTTGCTTGCAGAACCCCAAAAAAGGCACAGCACGCCCTCTTCAAGAATGCCCCCGAACCATTTTTTTAAGGAGGGGATTGTTGTGAGCGGCAGAAAATTGAGATAGATAAATTGCATTTTTTTCGCACATCGCATGCTTTTCACCCAACTATGTGCTCAAAAGTGCCATACATCAAGAAGGTTAGGTTTTTATTCAGAAATTCTTGGATGAAATCTAGTTCCATGCAATTCCCATGCAAAAACATATTTGTATATAATGCGTGTTTAAGAGTTTAAGATAGTTTAAGAGTCTCCTCGTGAATTTTGTTGTTCTTGTTCTTATTGAATACAACTAAGTAAATACATCAGAGTCATAAGGCAAAGGATCATGAATGTAAATACACACAATTCAGGAATAAAAATATTGAAACATATTTGCACCTTAATATCCTTTAAATACTGTAGTTGCATGAACCCTTCCACTACTACCCCTTGCAACTGTTCCCCCGTGAAACACAAATCAAGTAGAAAAGTAGTTTCAACAAATGTCCTGAAAAACGGTTTTCAGAACTTAAATTTCGAAGCTCACAAAAGCATGCATATTAACTCAGAAGTAAAAAAAACTCCAAAAGCCAAGAAGCTGCAAAAACCACCGAAACCAAACAAAACAACCCCGAAGGGCGAAGAAGCCAAAAGCCGCAACAGCCACAAAAGCTACAAAAGCCGAGACACCACGAAAGCCACAAAAGCAGTTGCAGCATACTGCCAAGAAACAACCAAGAAGCCAAAAAAAACAAACACCAAAAAAAAACAAGAAGCAGCTAAGAAGGCGCGAAAACAAAAAGTCACAAAAACCAAAAAAAAACAAAAACCAAGAACCCAGATTGGAAAACACTCACAAAACAAAATAGACCTCTCCTGAAAAAGCCTGTGCATTTTTACTGGTTTCCCCCAGCAGGTCTGGCCCCGGCCCCCCCGGCCCGGGCCTGAGGGTCATTGAAGAAAGCAAAAAGACCAATGGCCACGCGCAATCCGTAGTTGATGAGGCGAACTCGTTTCACACTCAACTCCACCTTGCCATGCGCTACCTGTCCCCAGTGGCCCAGTGGCGTCTCCACAAGGATGGGCCATGGGTTTCTTAAACTGAAAAGTTAATCTTTCTCCATCGCCATCACATATCCATCCCCTAAATTTAAGATGGAACCCCAAAATGGCCGTATCCAGGAGGAAGATGGTCTTCCAAACCATTTTGAGGCTTGCATGATTGGGGTGTAAAACCTGTTCCACTAAGGGCGGAAAACCATTGAAATCGATGCCTTGGCCTAGTCAAACTGGTGACTTTCTCCTGAAAAATCCGTCGGTCCCAGGGGTATCATCTACAAAGCTGAAAGCTGGGCCGACCTGGGCCAAGATGCAGAGAGTATGGGTTCACAAATTTTCTCCGGCATGGATTGGAAAAGTACGGAGAAGTATGTGTTGGGCCTTTCGGTTTATCATGATATATCTTGGGCTGGAAAGTCCCCGAAGATCCAGATTTGGGGGGGTCGCATGCCCAGGATCACCCCTGGCTGCCCGCCGCCGCCTGCATGTCATGAAGGTAGACCGTCAGCACTAAGATACATTCAGCACACCGGCTCGCTGAAGGCGAAGTGCAACACAGCGTCACAGTCCGAAAAAGCAAGAGGAACAGCAGGTTAACCATAAAACCTGCAGTAGTGGGCGCACCAAACGATGAGGACGTGTTCTGCCTCTGCAAACATGGTTTCAAACACATAAATAAATGTGCATGTACAGTTGCACACGCAGATAAACAAGACTGTTCATACACATGCGCATCACCAATGCTATGCATATAAAATGATTAAAATACCAGTAGGGCCCAGGCAAGCCGGGTGACGGAAGTCAAAGAGGGGGAAGCCTAAAAAGAGAAGGGAGGGCCTCTAGCCTGGCTGTCACGTCCGTTCACTGCGTCATCTCTTGGAACCCTTTCTCTTTGACATTTGTTTCTCTCGACATCGTTTTCTGAGGATGCCAATTTCTCTTGATCCGGTTTGCCCTTGTCATCTCCGAATCTTGACAGCTCCTCCTGCTCACAGCTGTGAAGGCCGAAACCTCTCCTGACAATGTTTTTCTGGTGTCATCGCTATCTCTTGAAACCCATGTCTTTTCAGACGCTTTGCGTTGACGTCTCCATCCTTATCTTTTGGCGTCTCTTTTTCCTATATAAGACCTTCTTCTCTTGACATTCTCTTCTCTCCACATCCCATTCTCTTGACGCGGCTTTCGCTTGGCGCATTTTTCTTGTATCCTTTTGTTCTCACATATGTGTGTAGCCTCTTTCTGTTAAAATTGGTTTCATTTGAAACCTTCTGTCTTTCCAGCACTGCTTCGTGCTACAAATCTTGCACAAAGTACTTCCCAGTACTACTTCGTACTACAAAGCTTGCAGGGAGTACTTCCCACTACTACTTCGTGCTACAAAGCTTGCACAAAGTACTTCCCAGTACTACTTCGTACTACAAAGCTTGCAGAGAGTACTTCCCACTACTACTTCGTGCTACAAAGCTTGCACAAAGTACTTCCCAGTACTACTTCGTACTACAAAGCTTGCAGAGAGTACTTCCCACTACTACTTCGTGCTACAAAGCTTGCACAAAGTACTTCCCAGTACTACTTCGTACTACAAAGCTTGCACAAAGTGCTTCCCACTACTACTTCGTACTACAAAGCTTGCACAAAGTACTTCCCAGTACTACTTCGTACTACAAACCTTGCAGAGAGTACTTCCCACTACTACTTCGTGCTACAAAGCTTGCACAAAGTACTTCCCAGTACTACTTCGTACTACAAAGCTTGCAGAGAGTACTTCCCACTACTACTTCGTGCTACAAAGCTTGCACAAAGTACTTCCCAGTACTACTTCGTACTACAAAGCTTGCAGAGTGTACTTCCCAGTACTACTTCGTACTACGAAGCTTGCACAAAGTACTTCCCAGTACTACTGGTTACAAAATGTTACAAAATCCTTAGTGGTACCTACAGCACAGCGGAACAAACAAACAAAAAAATCTCTCTAGAAGCTTCTCGTGGCAACTGCACATGTCACAACGCGTAGATGGCAGTGAAATGTGGTACCAAAACATCCTCAAACTTGCTAGTTCAATCCAGCTTAGGTCATGCTAACCCAGTCTGACATTCGACGTCACCACAGTTCCTTTTTTTGTTCACCCCCATTTTTTTTCGCCACTCCCATCCTTATTTGGAATGTAGTTCCACCTAGTCACTGAAATCAGTTCTGCCCACAATCAATGGGTTCTTCCATCCTTTCATTCCTTCATCCCAGAGATGTCATGATTCTCCCACAAATCCCAGAAGATATGGGAAGTTGTTCACAGTTTTTTAACCTCAAATATTCACATATATATATATATGTGTATATATATATCCATATAATATATATATATCCATAATATATATATATATTTTTTCCAAAATGTCCCGAAAATTGCTTGAACTGATCTATAGGATATCCTAGGATTCTGATGGATTATTGATGGATTCTGAATCCAAAAAAAGCACCCACCAGCTCTCGTTTCTGTCAGGTCACGACTACTTAACCGGCGATTCGCCACACGGACTTGATCCAGTTCCACATCGATCCTCTTCTGGTGCAGGTCGTCAGTGCCACCAGGATACAGCAGCCCCTGGCCAAGGTAAAAAAACATTTCTTTTAATTATATAACCAGTGGATCACCATTCGTTGGACGATGATTTTAGGTGTTTTGAGATTTTTGAGTTGGCGATTTGATGTGGATGGTTCCGAGTTCCCTCTTTTGGGTGATTTTCTGGTGATGTCATGGGATACTTAACTTAACTTAACAACGACAATATATGATCTGGCTTCGTACAAAGAACCAAACATTTACACTCCAAAACATGGAATTCTGCTAGGAAAATGATTCAAAACATGGGATGTTGCGGCACTCTATCGATCATACGTTGGTGGATCCCCGGGGCAAAAATCTGAAGGAAAACAGGGACTGGTGTGAGAACAGGAGTAACAGGGGGCAATAACATCCATAAGTCCAGAACTTATCCAGAATGCGGACCTTCATGGACTTTCTACATGTAGAAGTAAACTAAGTAAATGATAGCATCCACGCCCTAGTGGGAGCCAGTTTTCAGGTCAGGCCTGGTGGATGGGAACTCAGTGGTTATCAAAGCTGCTTGACAAAATCTATATATAGCAAACTAACAGACATAAACTAACATAAACTAACATTGCTCACTAACCAGCTGTGCGATTTCAAGCCACCATTTCAAGCCTGTAAACAGTCAGTGGCTTTGAAACTTTGGGCTATAAGAATCGATTAGAATCGTTGCCCGTGTCCCCACATCATTGGGGAAACCCATGCGTCAAGGTGCTTGTCGTAGTTCCTGCAATGCGGCCCTAAGGGGCACATGAGTGAAACTCCAATGAATAAGCGCCTGGGCGATCAGGGATGTTGACCAAGGTCTTCACAATACAAGTTTATCATGAAATTTCCCGCTGAACATGGGGATTGAATTCGGATGTGATGTGACTAACCGCCATTCAAATGGTGGAAATCAGGTGGAGAAAACTGCACATGTTGAATCCATCAAATCTGTGGCACAATTTCCAGAAATTCTACCCTCTTTCACAGGGTGAATCATGGTGAATCCTACAAATTTCTGGCCGAAAATGTTGGCTAAAATTGTCCCATAAAAAACCGGCACCTTCATAAACCTTCATTGTGGATGTGAAAAATTGCCATGTGTGGTTACCGGAGGCTACTACGTGTGACACCCCACCGTGTCACATCCTGACAGACAAAAATGTTGACGTATTTCTCAAGATTCCGACAGTTTCTCTACCATTACGAAGTCACTTTACACCATCTTATCCCTGTTTTTGCTGGTCAAATCTTATTCTGGCAACTTTCTTCCGACATATACATCCTGACATACATCCTGAGAAAATGTGTGGTGTTTGACCCTGTAAATGAGAAACAATGGGGTATCTTCACCTGCAAATCTGATGATCTCAAGCAACCTGAGTTATATATTCAATGAAGAACACCTGAGAAAAGTGGTGAAATTCTGCGATTCTGGCGGTTAGTGAATGGGGAAACGTCCATTGCGACGAGTCCCTCAGAGGTCTGATCAACTCACCTTCATTCAGCCTACAACAGCACCCACCCCTTCGGGTGACCTGGGTGAAATGATCTGATCTGTACCCCAACCTAAACGCCGAGGGGCGAAGCAAACAAGGAGGGTCACAGCAATATGTTCCATGGCACCCCACTGCCACCCCTTGATTTTCCTAAGGGGCCAGAGAGCCAAGACTGTGGATTGCTGCGACGCGCGCCCCATTCAGAATAGAGACCCACAGAAATGACCCACAAAAAAAACCTAATTACACTCCTTCAATATCCAAGAATGCCGTAAACCATCAAGCAACACCACTTTTATCACTTTTGAATGGGCGACCCATGTTTAACGCTGAAATGTTGGTATTCGATTCTTACACCACTCCACCCTGCCATTCTTTCCTGCCAGGTCGGTGAACTCTCACCATGCCACGGGCGCATCACCCGCCCGTGCCCTGCTTCAAAAGCGTTCGCTGGATGGTTCCATCGTCGGCAGGTTTCTGAAACGGTGGAACTCTATCTGTCGCCAGCTTCCAAAAGGTTACAGAATTGAAATGAATTGAAGGCAAAAAAGAAACTGATCTAAAAATGCTGCTCCAAAGCCCCCATAAATTCCTGTAGATCTCCCCGAAAAATTTACGGCACATGGCATCGGCAAAGCCGTGATGCTAGCCTACTTGAATGCAACTAAAGACATATAATTACATATGCAGTCATATGCATAAATAATATCATACGCGTGAATTTGGGATGTAACTGATGTAACTCATACAATCTCATAGGCCATCATGTGAGTAATCAAGCTGTGTTAACTCCCAGAATCCAAGTGTTCGAATCCATCAAGGGCCCATCTACAGTAGAGACGTTTGCAGTGAGTTGCGACAGCGTCAGGCTGTTCAAACCTGCGGACGAATTGACGCCGCACCTTGGGCGCAGCGTCACAAAAGTTGATGGATCCCGGGCCCAAAAAAAATGGATTTGCAGATTTTGCAGGGCACCAACGAAAAGTAGAAACTATGTGTACGGTATTCCTGAAATGGTGGATTAACCAATGGGAAAGTAGTAAAAAAAGGTCAGCAAATCCACAGCTCTTCTGGCTTACAACCTGGCGAAACCTGCTGGTAGGCTTTGGATTTACTAGGCTTTACTTTACAACTGTGGGATCTAACCAGCAATATCCAGCAATACACAATGATCAAATATCCTGCAACGAGGGTACTACCATAGCGCCACCGGGTCGATCATGATGTCTTCGTTAATCATTGGCACATCACTGCCCAGTGGGATATCACTGGGCATTTCTCTCGCCAGTTTTGGAGAGACATGGAAATCAGTGATTATGACTAACATAGCCATGGAAAATCCACCAAATAAATGGAAGTTTCTGGCTGGGAAAATCATCTTTTTGATGGGCCATGGCTTCCATATGTTAAATAACCAGAGGGTATATCAGTGATCCACACTTCTGTCGCTACCAGTCGTCTTGTCCGTCCTCAAAGAACATATCACCTGCCCGATGCTGCACCATCTCAACATTTGTGGGAACCAGAAATGGGTGGTTTTTTCAAACGTGTACCCTATGGAAAATGGTCATTCAATGATGAATTCATGGATGATTTACCTAGTGGAACTGGTGATTTCAATGGCTATGTTAGCTGGAACCAGAGGGTACACCATGCGAAATAACAAATTGAAGGTTTAGCTGAACATCCAGCACCATTCTCCCATGTTTGATATGAGGGACCACGAACTTGCGAGACTCTGAGTGCCATACCCAATACATCCCAATACTGTATGCAATTTTGAAATCTACTGCAAGTAATACAAACCTGATTCATGCAAGATATGCCAGATATGCCGGGCACCAGCGACGGTGCCAACTTCTGGCAATTCAGCCTGCTGCCTGTATCAAGGTCATCCACCGCAGGGACTCAAACATCACATGGTTCTCCTGTATTGCTGCTGGAAAGAAAACATCACCCATTTCCTGTTGGCTGTATTATATACATGATATAATATATACACCTTCACCTCACTTTTAAATTCAATTCATACAAATATTCATCTGTACGCATGCGCGTGTGCATAATTTCATCCCTTCTCCAACTCCACCCGTCTAATCCAATGAAACCGTGAATCCGCCCGAATCTAACCCGGAAGTGGGGGTAAAACAATCATCAACCATCCCCCAAATCATCATAAATGGGTGGTATAAAATGCTATAAACTCCCAGTCATGGGTGGTAAAAATTGCACTTTCCGGCCGGATTCGCCTGCTTCCTCCACCAAATCCACGGCTTCTTCCACCACCTCCGCTGCAAAGAAGCCGTTGGCCGCAGCCATCAGCTCAGTGAAGCCGCCCTGGATTCTGGGATCACCAGTTAAGTGACGTCTGGGGGAAAAACTGGTGGTGGTTTATGACATTTTATCTTGGTAAATTATAATATTTCACTAACTTGAATTAAGGCCATTTGGGGATGATTTCCAATACTAACCATGATTCCAGTGAGGTCGCAGTGAGGTCAGTATAATTTACCCAGATTTTATGACCTTTTTAACGCGGCATACCCTTGGAATGATTGAGAAATAGTCGTCATCGTCATCCTCTTTTGCATCGTTTTTGTGGTGATTTTGGGGATGTTTTATGGCCTTGTCGATCCCCCCGGAAAGCCTGATGGAATGCACTAGGTCTCGAAAAAATTGGGGGTCCCATTTCCAAGTGGGTACAGTATGGAAAGTACCAGTAAGCATGGTGAAAGCCCAACTACACATGGAGTACTGTAACCCGACTTGAGGTACTTCTTCGCCAGGAAATGGGGTTGGCGGTTCTTGATGGTTCTTGGGTCTTCCGGGGAAAGCCCAATGTTTGTAGCTTAGCCATGGGTGGCCATCATTTTGGATGTAATCCTCCGCAAAAAAAACTAGACGACGGATGGCCCGAGAGCGTAGAGGAGCAGGGTCTTCTCTTGTTAGTATGGAGACGCAATTTTAGAAACGGTATATGAAAACTGTGTTATAGGCAGTCGAGAAGAGGAGTATCAAGACAAAATAGTGAGAAATGCAAGACAATAGTTTGCATCGCAAACACTTTTACACACAGACGCTTTTACACAGACGCTTTTACACACAAAGCTTTTACCCACAGAAGCTTTTACACACAGAAGCTTTTACAGACAGAAGCTTTTACACACAGAAGTTTTTACATATAGAAGCTTTTACACACAGACGCTTCTACACAGACACTTTTACACACAGAAGCCTTTACACACAGACACTTTTACACACAGACCCTTTTACACACAGGAGCTGCTTTTACACACAAACGCTTGTACACACAGAAGCTTTTACACATAGACGCAATAGTTTGCATCGCAAACACTTTTACACACAGAAGCTTTTACACAGACGCTTTTACACGCAAAGCTTTTACATACAGAAGCTTTTACACACAGAAGCTTTTACATACAGAAGCTTTTACACACAGACGCTTCTACACAGACACTTTTACACACAGAAGCCTTTACACACAGACACTTTTACACACAGACCCTTTTACACACCGGAGCTGCTTTTACACACAAACGCTTGTACACAGAAGCTTTTACACATAGACGCTTTTACACACAGGCACTTGTACACACAAACACTTTTACACACAAATATCTTTACACAGAAACACTCGTACACATAAACCTCTTTGCGTGCGAAAAAGTTACTCCAGCACACGAAAAATCGCAATTTTACCTCAGTTTTTGCCGATCGACCCTCATTTCGTGCGAAAGGGTTGCTCCGGCACACGAAAAATCGCAATTTTACCTCAGTTTTTGCCGATCGACCCTCACTTCGTGCGAAAGGGTTGCTCCGGGACACGAAAAATCGCAATTTTACCTCAGTTTTTGCCGATCGACCCTCATTTCGTGCGAAAGGGTTGCTCCGGCACAAGTCAAATCGCAATTTTACCTCAGTTTTTGCTGATCGACCCTCATTTCGTGCGAAAGGGTTGCTCCAGGACAAGTAAAATCGCAATTTTTCCTCAGTTTTTGCGCATCGACCCTCATTTCGTGCGAAAGGGTTGCTCCGGAAATCGCAATTTTACCTCAGTTTTTGACGATCGACCATCATTTCGTGCGAAAGGGTTGCTCGGGGACAAGTAAAATCGCATTTTTTTTCTCAGTTTTTGCGCATCGACCCTCATTTCGTGCGAAAGGGTTGCTCCGGCACAAGTAAAATCGCAATTTTTCCTCAATTTTTGACGATCGACCCTCATTTCGTGCGAAAGGGTTGACGTTTCGTGACTCCCCGCCGGCACCACCCTCGGCCTAAAGAGAGAAAGATAAAGAAGGCTAGAGAGAGAAAAGGGAGAGAGAAAGGAGAGAGAGAAAGGAGAAAGAGAAAGGAGAGAGGAAAGAAGCGAGAGAGTGAGAGAGAGAGAAGATGTGAAGATGAGAAGGTGTGAGAGAAGGTGTGAGAGAAGGTGTGAAGATGAGAAGGTGTGAGAGAAGGTGCGAAGAGGAGCAGGTGTGAAGAGGAGCAGATGTGAAGATGAGACGGTGTGAAGATGAGAAGATGTGAAGATGAGAAGATGTGAAGATGAGCAGATGTGAAGATGAGAAGGGGTGAGAGAAGATGTGAAGATGAGAAGGTGTGAGAAGATGTGAAGATGGGAAGATGTGAAGACGAGCAGATGTGAAGATGAGAAGGTGTGAGAGAAGATGTGAAGATGAGAAGGTGTGAAGATGAGAAGGTGTGAGAGAAGATGTGAAGATGAGAAGGTGTGAGAGAAGATGTGAAGATGAAGATGAGAAGGTGTGAGAGAAGATGTGAAGATGAGAGGGTGTGAGAGAAGATGTGAAGATGAGAAGGTGTGAGAGAAGATGTGAAGATGAGAAGGTGTGAGAGAAGGTGTGAAGATGAGAAGGGTGTGAGAGAAGATGTGAAGATGAGAAGGTGTGAGAGAAGATGTGAAGATGAGAAGGTGTGAGAGAAGATGTGAAGATGAGAAGGTGTGAGAGAAGATGTGAAGATGAGAAGGTGTGAGAGAAGATGTGAAGATGAGAGGATGAGATACAGACCCCCACTATTGGAAGAACCCTGCGCTCAGACGCTCTCGGGAAAAAACAGCTCCAAACGAATAGATGCTATACTTAACCAATATGTTCCCTAGGTATTTTCTTGGGAAAGGGGTTATCAGCCCAGTGTTCATTGGCAGTGCCTTGGGAGCACCAAAAGGCGCACCTCTGTTCCCTGGGGCGCCCCTCTCGACGTCCTGGGGATCGTGACAGCCGGAGAAAATGAATACACAAAAAATAGACTAATGTGGTTGAAACAATAAAGCATGGTGATGACTTGGGGATTGTTTATGAAACTGTTTTACCCACATGAGAGTGAAAATTCTTGAGACGTAACCCAGTTGCCATCAGTTTAATCAACTTCACCAGTCAGCGCAACATCTAGATTCTAGCCAATGTGTGAAGAAAGAATAAAATTCAATGCTGATTTCTTGGTCCATTTTAAATATCGTTGAATTGCAATAATTCACCGACCTGAAAGCAGGTCATGTTGGTGGCTGATTTCCCACTCCATCATCTGCTCTTAGTCGGCCAGTGAGGTCGCAAAAAGGATCCACCCAAACGTACCCCACTATATCCCAAAAAAAAACCATCTACATGTTGCCTTTTTTAACATACATAGCCTACATATATCATCATATATCCCCATTACTAGCCAGGTTTGGGGACAGTGTTCACTTATGTTCATTTATTAACCCAAATGTGGCTGTATATGTCCTTATTCGCCAGTTCAAATTGCTTCTCCCGTCCCGCGTACATCTGAAGTCGCACTTCTCCAAGCATCGTTCCCGCGACGGCCTTGCTTCCTGCGTCAGAGCAGGGCGGCAGCAGCGCTGCGTCCTCGGTGGGAAACTTTTGGGTCTTTTCAATGGATTGGTTGAAGGGAACGTTATTTATAGGAAGCTCTTGTGTTTAGTTCTAAATAGTATACTTATATCATCATATGACTATAGAAGAATGATTATGCATGATTATATGTAAATATATATTAAATATGTAGAATTGCATCTAGTCATATATTATGTGTATTTCACTGTGCGTGCATATACATATATATATAGGGGAGAGGCTTGAGGTTCCCCGGAGCACAGAGGAGCCTGTCTCTCTGATAGATAATAAGCATACAGATGCGGGGATGTTAACGTTCATGGCATTGCGTCATCAGAAGATGTTGTTACGTCAATCTTCGTTGTTGCATAGAGATGGCGGGTGGGGGGGATGTTAACGTTCATTGCATTGCGTCATCAGAAGATGTTGTTACGTTAATCTTCGTTGTTGCATAGAGATGGCGGGTGGAGGGGATGTTAACGTTCATGGCATTGCGTCATCAGAAGATGTTGTTACGTCAATCTTCGTTGTTGCATAGAGATGGCGGGTGGGGGGGATGTTAACGTTCATTGCATTGCGTCATCAGAAGATGTTGTTACGTTAATCTGCGTTGTTGCATACAGATGGGGGGTGGGGGGGATGTGAACGTTCATTGCATTGCGTCATCAGAATGTGTTGTTACGTCTATCTTCGTTGTTGCATACAGATATTAAGAGAAGAAAACCTCATGTGCATTGCGCCCATGGTTCTCTGGTGGATTATGACATTTTTATGTCAATCAAAAAAAACTGAAAATCAAAAACAACGCAATTCCTATGGCATATGGGATCTACAAAAATGAAATAAAATGAAAAACTTTAAAATGATTTTTAAAAAACACGTTCAAACAGCGGACAACATATCCCAGATATGCTGTCCGCATGTTGAACTGATTCCTTGTGTTTTCAAGTTGTGGGAAGAACACACAAAAACCTGTAAAATACAGTGAAAATGACATTGTTCAAGGTTGAAAAACAATGAACTTGAATTGCGTTCCGGGGAACCTCAAGCCTCTACCCCCTCTATATATATATATATGTGTGTGTGTGTGTGGGTGTGGGTGTTAATTTATATAGAGAGAGAGAGGTTTCCTGTAGGTCAGGGGTTGGTTGGACGTGTTTCCTATGTGTTGTTCATATCCCCACACATTCCCGCTACTGGTGAACTCCTATTCACACGGCTAGCCTTACCCTTCAAATCAGGTCAGGATGTCCTTCCATCACTTCCATCCCTCAAACTTGGCGCAATGATAAACCAGCAACCTACCTTTCATATCCTTTCATGAAGTGTTAGCCATATAAGTTGCTTTTAATCATGTTGCTCTCATTTTTGTTTGATTCATTTACAAATCAGGTAGAACTCCATCATCTGATAGCAAAACTCAGCTGACCCAGGACCCAGTGGAGCCAGGCTTCCAGGGAAAATGGCTCATGAAGGTCCAAAACCAAACTGGACGCCAGTTGTGGCACTTGACTGAAACCTGCCGGCACGAGAGATGCCGATGCCGAGCCGAACAGCTAGGAACCAACAGGGATTGGGGGAAAACGTGTTTATATGAATTTGTGGAAATAGGTATATACGTACAAAGATACATATATGTACATTTATATATATAGATAGCGGGAGAGAGAGAGAGAGAGAGACAGAGGGGTGTGTAGATAGAGATATTGGAAAGTGTACAGATATACAGATATACAGTATCTAACCGTGCACACACATATTATATATATGTATACATAGTCTGCGTGCAGCAATCCCCGCCTCCTTCGGACAGCCTTTGCCGCAAGTGCTCCAGCAGTTCCACAAACCTGGCGCTTTTCGTTCGAGGATGGTTCGATGAGTTCCCAACACATTTCCGGGCGAAATTTGGGGGTCAGAAAGATTGGGCGTGCAACATTGCAAAATATCATAAAATATCTACAGTATATATTTTTAAATATATGTCTGTATGCCTATGTGTGTATTTGTGTGTATGTATTTACGTATGTAATGTAATGCAATGCAATGCAATGCCATGCAATGTATATAATGTATGCATGTACGTATGCATCCATCAGAAGTACATAGGCATGGCCTATACATGGTCAGTAGCTGGCAATCCCCCAACTTGGGGCTATTTCAGCTGGCCTCTGCTAATCGGTCGTGGCGGAAAATCACCATGTGTAATCGGTAAATCATCAATCAAACAAACAAACAAACGAACGAACGAACGAACAAACGAACAACAAACAAATAGACTAATAATAACCACAATCATCATCATCATCATCATCATCAGTAAATGGGCCATGTTCCATAGCTATGTTACAGAACCAGAGGGTAGAGATTGATATTCTTTAAATTTGCTAACCATCATTTCTTAGCAGAGGAAAGCCTTGGCAGCTCGAGTTGATGCCGAATTTCAGGAGCGGTTTCACTTACAGTAGTCTCACCCTGCATGTCTTTGGAAAATATGTAGCACCCTCAAACCACCTAACCTCCTTAATACTGACCGTAATGCTTAAAGATTACGGGGGAACATGCAAGTGTGTTACTGCGTGTGAAAACATCCATTGACAACTGGTTTTCGATGCAAAGCATGCCAAGTACTCTAGTTGCTGGCATTCCGCTCGACACCAAGCATTGCAATCAACCCCTAAGTGTGTGATGGGTGTGAAACCACGTTGGTACACTCAAATATGTTTACCTATGTTTATATCGAATATCTTTAAATTAATCACATGTGGCATATTGTATGCCATGAATACCGTTGTTTTTGGCAAATTGATATGTATATACTAGTCATATCCATATTCAAATATATTACTAATATCATAGACGTATCAAGCCTAACCGACACCAAGACACGACATCTCCTTGCCCTGCAGCAAGCTGAGCATGGCTTCCACGAAGGCGGAAGTTAAGGCGCCTGGGAAATATGCTATTTTTCTTGCGTTTATTGGATTGGTTGATGGAAAAATCTGCAGAAAACCTATGGGTTTTCCCCATCAAATAAATAAATAAATAAATATTTATATAATTATATATATATATAGGGCTTTCCTGTAAATTGCCCCTTACCCATATAAACCAATGTAATGATGCATGTTTTTGCATGTGTTCCCCTGTGGTGAATATTAACATAGACCCTGGCAAATAAGGGTTGGAAGATTCCACCCAAAAAATAAAAAGTGATTTTCAGGGTCTATGTTAATTTACCAGTGGGTATTGGGAATACTACTGCAACATGAATGGAACATGAATGCCATATTAATGGAATATCGGCGGAATATTAATGGACTGTAAATCGAGAATAATGGAATATGCATGGAATATGAATGACATTTCATTTGAAGATGAACGGAATATGAATGACATTTCAATGGAATATGAATGGAAGATTAGTTTGTCTCCACTTATGGCAACCGTCAAACAATGCCAAAAGTAAGAAACCTGGACATGATGATGAAAACGTCATCGAACTACCATCCTGAACATACATTTTGATATGTTTGGATTCTTTTTGGTGGTTACTATTGTCGGTGATCAATAGGATAACCATTATGATCACATCAGCCAAATATCAAATACCCCCCCATGACTGGCCCCAAAAAATGAAGCTGGTGGTGTATTCAATAAAAGTGGGAAAGGATTAGTTGGTTGTCTTAAGTCTTAAGTCAAAACACAATCATTTTTCAAATGGAACCAACCTGAACCAAGCATTTTATGCTGCTAGATGCCACATTGGACATGAAAAGCATGAAACTTCGATCCCCCATGGATGGGATTAGAGATTCGGGGGGGAGTTCCTGATTCCTGTTTGGGGGCCCCAGTCAATCAAGAAAGACAAGAAAGGACCAAAGTAACGCTGAACTGTTGCTGCAGTGGTGGCAGTCTGAAAAAACAGGCTGGTGTTGGAGGTGAAAGTGTCCAGTGATAGCAATGATAGGCTTCTGACATAGCGATTTACGGCCAATGCAAGGCAAAGCATGCGAAGTACTGAATGATTTTTTAGGTCGACATTGAACATTCGTTGACTAGGGATCAGGACACGGGGTGCACATGCACAAGCAAGTTGAGGGAAGAAGTCACTTGAACATTCCGAACATTCCGCATCAAAAGGCTGCAAGACCCAATGGTAAAAAGAAATGCTTTAACTTGGAAGATTTGTGGGAGAACAAGCTATAGTGGAGAGCGTTACAAAGACCTGTGACTCAACACCGTAGAGGGAGAGCTGCCATAACAAGACACCGTCTGACAAGCAAAGCAAGGTTTGTAGGAAACAGGAAAGAAGGAACCGAATTTGATGATTCTTCCGATAAGATGACTATTAATAAACCAATCCTTGCACCAACCATTTTTTGCGGTCATTTTAAATCATGCCAAGAAGAAACAAAAACTGGGGATGATGTATCACTGGGTTCAGCAAATTGCAATGGTCCAGCACCACTTTACAATAAATTTACATGGTTGCTTGACTAGTAGTTTCGAGGCACCTTCTTGATCGTGATGATTGGAGGAAGATATTTAAAAATTTAAAACCATTTTTTTGACTGCCATGGTGAATCAAGGGAACTGTGGCCTGTGGCACAAAAACTGATCCCGCCTCCTGCTCTACTGGTGCTTTCCAACAGCAGGTGCCCTCCTCTGCCACTGGGAATCACGGCCAAACAATAAAATAGGCCATCAACAAAATGCCTCAAACTCATCCATTCACCAGTCTTTAGTGCGACATAATTCAACATGGCACTTGAAAATTGGATACCATTCCACTTCATCAGACTGTTTTACATTGTTTTACTATCTCTCTCTCCCTATTTTTCTCCATTAAAAAAAAAGAACTTTCCAGCCCAGCTCTCCTGCGTCGCCCACGCGCTGCAGCTGGAACTGTTGGTTCACGTCGCCCACATCAGCACTGGTCTGCTCCGAGGCGCAGCCCGTGAAGGCCAGGACCCCCGCCTCTCCAATCTCCATGGTGGGGTCAAATCTACATGAAATCCACGGTTTGAAGTTGGTTGAATCACTGAAATCCCTCCCATATCCTCTATAAATCCCAAAATCTCTTGAAAAGATCTCCATGAATTCATTAAAAATATACTAAATATACTAAAAGGCCATAAACTCAAAGGAACAACCTCCTTTTTGCCACCTTTCACCTTGGACCGCCAAGCGTCCGCCGCTTGGCCCTGGTTCTCTTCCTCGTCGCTGCGGAAGCCGTTGGCGTCGCCGGGCTGGTAGCGGTTGTAGAGACCCCACAGGTCCATCCCTCGGCCGAAAATCACCCCCCCAAGGGATCCAAAGGGATCCAGGATGGGTACTTCATGGGATGGGTTTATGAGGGGATTGACCACATAATTCAGAGGCTGATATGATATGATGTACAGTAATTTTTCATGAGGTACTGTGATGGAATGCAATGTCATCTTTGGTTCTGTTTTGTTAATCTATCTGTATTTATGTTATGTATACAGGTATGTCATTATATCATAATACTTGCGCAAGGGGCTGCATGGGGAAGCGACCCACTGCTTCGGCAGTTGCTCTGCTTGAACGCCGTCCGTATGCAGCGGTTGGTTGTTGGTTGGTTCTTCATTATGTCATCACGTTTAATTGGTTGTTCCTTTGATTGGCATGTTCTAACAACTTTACGAAATGGGTTCGGGATGGCTTAGCTACCCCGACATTAGAGCGGAAAAGATGCCGATGATAGAAATCCATCTGAGAATTGCGTGGATTGCAAGCTATTGACTACTGAGCGTAATTTCGTAATAGCGGCCAAGAGTGTGGAATGGAATCGAGGCAGCGATCAATTCCAATGTGATTTTAATCAGAAATCATGTGATATCGCCATATGGATGACACCCTAGGAAGCTCTAAAAAATTGATAGATATGGATTGAGGGGAGAGAAGAAAAAACTGTATATATATATAAAAACAACAATAGTAATTACAATAGCGATAATAATAATGATAATATATATATATATATAATTATATAATTATATGTAATAGTCATAACAGAAACAAACAGTCCAAGGTGTCAAAATCTCATTTTGTTACTTTTGTTCAGGTTTTGTGACCTGAATCCCTCCAAGAATCCCATGCCCGCCACGTCGGACAGGAGCGTGTCTGGATCTTTGTCGTCCTTGAGGCTCCCAGGGTGGCAGCACCGAACCTTATGTCTATTGGTTACAGCCGCCTATGCTATACTATGGTATACTACAGCTATGGGCATAAGCCATGGTTACCATGGTTAAGCTTAAATTTTTTAGCAATTTGGCCAACTATGGCATAAGGGGCACCACTTTGCGAATGATAGAAATAGAATAGAAATAGATAGAGGATATTGAAAGATGAAAGGTTTGACACTGGAAAGCAACCAGATTGCCGAGTGTGCCTAGGGCCAGACTGCAACTGTTCTATTGCAATTTCCAGTTACAGTTCTCTCTCTCCATCGCCATCCCAGTTACAGTTGGTTTCTAGATTTTACCTGGCGCGGGACTATCATGACTATCCATGAATATCATATCGTATTTTACATATACCAATGCACTCCTCACCAGCCAAAATTGGACCCATGAATAGCCGTACCGGGGCCTCATCAGTGTCGATGCTTTAAAACTTGCTGGGACAAGTTTAAGACTTTTGTTTAGTATCCGGCAATGGCTTGCCACCCAAAATAAAATGAGCTTCAGCACATGGTTGTGAAAATAAATGAAGTACACAGCATGATATCATGACTTTACTCACTTTACTATCATTAAGGACTCCCAAGCGCCAAAAAAAAACAAGTCAGCCATGAACCCCCCAGCGTCCTGCCAGGATTGCCAATCCTCAGAATCCAACGAAATCTGTGTGCGGAAAATATGGATGAAACATGGCCGATCTTCGGCAGGATATTTTCAGTCCCATTTTTTCAGCAGACATCGATTTCAACTGGCAGGCTTTCAGGCTTTCAGACCAAGTTTTTCCGTCAAACATCTACGCTCCAGCCATGGCGCGGCCAACCAGTTCCGAGCCATGGCCATCTGAACCGCCTCTCCAGCTAATGCAGAGGCCAAGTTCTCCTCCGATGTGCATTCTGAAGTGCCTAAGAACCTCCGCAAAGATGTGAAAAAGATTGAAAAATGTCACAGTTTCAGTGAGATTATGGTCATAATACATCATATTTGCTTCTGTTTGAGTATGTTTGAGCGTGTTTGCCCATATGCAATTTGACTTTACGATCAAAACTCACCCTGAAAACCCATCTTTTGGCAAGAGAAGGGCATCTCTTACCAACTCTTACTCCAATGTCTGGCCAACAAATTAGAGGCACAGTGACCAATGACATAGCACTGACATGCAACGACCGGCAAGCTGTTCATGACAGCGCCAAGCTCATGATGTCCTGTGTACCCACGAAGAGAAATGGCAAGTCTAAGACTCCTCCAGAGTGGCAGCTGTCCAGGATACCTGAAACGGTGGATTCGCTGACGTCAATTGGAGGTTTCCTAAGTCATGGGGATACCCCCAAATCATCCGTTTCAATAAGATTTTCCATTATAAATCATAAACCAACTATTTTGGGGTACCCATTTATGGAAACCACCAATTCATCGCATTGGAGAAGGACATCCACAAGAAAGAGTGATCTTGAAAGAAAATCAACTGCAGTGCCGAACGGAAGTACCATTTTCGGGCCATCTTCCCAGTCCCAAAAAAATCAATCAAGTACAGTAAGATACAGTAAGAATCAAACGTTAAAACCCAAACAACTTCGAACCAGATACATGTGAGCCGACATCCAGCGGGCAAAGGTCGCACAAGGCTGCGAAAGAGCCTCCGGCGCACACGTGGCACGTGTGGGATTCACCCACCAAGCACTCCAAGTTTGGAAGGGTTTTTATCTAACCCATTCATGGCAATCTTGGGGATGGTTTAAGGTTTAGGGTTTAGCACCTGGCACCCTGGTATATCATGGAATATCAATCAGATGCGTGAACATGTTCAGTTGTGAAACTGAACGTCCAGTTCCTTGCAAAAATTGTGACTGTTTGAAACAAGTCATCCCGACTTTGGTGTCACAAATGGCCTCTTAATCCCCTGGTTCGGCTGCCAAGTCAACAGGCCCAAAGGGCTGGATTTGTTTAGCCCCTCACCTGAGCACAGCCCAAGTTGCTCACTGTCCAAGAGCATTCCTTCAGTCTCCATGTCCACCTGGGACAGCAGGGCGAGCAATGTTGACCCCCAATGCCCAATGACACTGGAGTGGTTTCAGGGGAAGTCTCCGCTTGCCCTGGTCGTTTCTCAAATTTAGTTGTCCAAATCCTAGGACTTGGATCCTTGGATCACCATCAAAAAACCCATAAAACCCCCACTCCCCGCGACCAAGTAACTGGGCAAAGCGTCTCGTGCCATTCACTGGGGCTACCTGACGGGTCACGGTGAATCCCCTTCCATTTCCACACCAACGCCGGTTTTTTCCATGTTTTTTTCACATGAAAACATCTTTAACATCTGCAGGAAATATTCATAAAAGGATGCTATATTTTTGGGCCACTGAGCTTTACCCAAACATGGATCATAATAACGTGGTTCATTTTAGGGGCTTGTCACATTCTGACTAAGACGACTATGGCTTAGTTATGGGCTAAACATACCGGTCACCATACATAAAAACCCACCGCGTACTATCACTTTCCCTATTATTCAAACAGCCATAAAATGGGATCCCCGTGTTCAGACATATCCATATGTTTGGATGTTCTCGGTGTGTGGTTTGGATATCCTCTATAGATTTTAATCCTTGGATTGGTTGAAGTTCGAAAATTTACGGGAAACCCATGGAACCCCGCTACAGTTCATGGGAAAACCCAAGGTTTCCTGTAGATTCACTGCAGATCTTCCCGTTTTTCAACCAATCCAATGATCCAATGACTTCAGCTGCCGCCCTGCCGCCCTGCCACCGTCGGAGCGCGGCATGCGGCCCCCGTGCCCCGAGTAGTGGAACAGCAAACAGTCGCCCGGCTGAGCATCGGCCACCAGCCACGCGATGCCCTCCCTGGTGCCCGAGGGCCACGAGGGAAGCGAGGGAAGCGAGGGAGGGAAGCTGGGTTCGAAATGTTGATGAAATGATGAAACAAGATGAAACAAGTGCAATTATTTCGTTTTTATATACCAGACATCTGTAATGGTGAAGACAGAGTTGACATCGAACCAGCTTCACCTATAGTTTCAACTGGTTGAAACAGGTTGATTCATGGTGAATACAATTGAATACAATTGAATACATCAATAAGTTTACGAATCTTAAGAATACTGCAACTGATAAGAATTATGAGAATTACATTGGTCCTATATATGTGAGAATAGTGACATACTATTCTTGTGATTTCAACCATCGATTGGGTGATGGCCTCATGTTCTCCAGCGTTGGCTGCAGGTGCTTGGGCCATTGCGGGGAATCCACGAGGACGCGACGACTTCGTTCATCCTCGGGAAAACCGAAGCCTCGGCACCACGGTCATCGGCAATGCGGCTGCACAATGGATGTGAGTAGAATTGAGTAGATAGCATAAAACATGGAAAAATCACATGAGGGACTCCAACACATCTTGTCCCTCATGGTCTGGTGCTACTTCCAGGTTTCAAGGCGGCTCCTGGCCGCTATAGAAGCGCAACACGCCCAGAAACGGTTCAGTAGATCCAGCATGCGATGCACGTCTGCCACACATCCGTGCAGCTCGTTCTCGGAGCCGAAGTAGTTGATGCCAACCAGCAGGCTCCTGCCATGATTGTTAGAAGTGGCTATGACCATTTATGACCTATGAGTTGTGAGACACCCTGAGGGCAAGGTGCACAAAGATCGACGAAGGAGGAGGAGGAGGAGGAGAAGAAGAAGAAGAAGAACAACAACAACAACAACAAATGAGGCCGACAAAGCAACAAATGAAGGCAAGTGTCACACCACAAGCAAGACAGAGCCAGACACCTTCAACCACTGCAGAGCAAACCCAGTTGCCATTGTTGCAATTGCACTTTTTTAAACCAAGTCTCAGTATGTGGCTCATCAAGCTAAAAACATCTAAAAACAATGCCATTTGCGTTTGTCTGAAAACCCCATGGTTTATCCTGATTTTCCCCACCAAAATTCCCAACTTGAGGTGGCAATTCCCTCATCTTGAGACTCAACAGCTCCCAAAAAAAAAACTATGTCCCAATACCAAGTCCAAGCCCCCATTAAAATGGATTGCTTCCATTTCCACTGCCGAAATCACCGCTGGCATCGCATTTTCCACCGCTCCTCTTCCTCCCCATCAGGGGCACCGACGACGCGCGGCTGCGCGCCGTTGCTGGCACTGGCTGCGGGTGGAAGCCTGGGGCGGAGACCTTGGGGGAAGCCTCGCAGCAGCAGAAGGGCAACATCTTCAGGAAAGCCATAGCTGTCTTCAACCCAATAAATCTCGGGTATTAGGATATCTTATGATATCTTGAGGTGTCTCGGAATCATCCCAACTTTCTAAAATGTCCAAATATGCTGGGAGACGATGGGAAACAACACATATTCGAAAGCACCCTTTGGGAGCGCAGTTGCAATATGTTAGATTGAGTATATACAGTAAGTGCCAGGTGCAGGGGCGGAATCATGCCATTTCTGGGAATGTCATGCCTTCTATGGGGTCGGCGACCTGTTCATCTCAAGGTCTGCACCTATTCATTCCTCGTGTTCTGGCGGCAGCTGCTAAAGCTTTTGATCCAACGTCACGGCAGGAACGGCCCCTCATCACCATTGATCAAGGTCAAGGATCCGACAGGAGGTAGCACGTTCAAACCCACCAACAATTAGGCTATGCAGTGGCAGAAATTCGGAACCAAGAAACACAAGCAGGGCTTGTTGGAAAATTCAGGCGGATAACCCTTAGACCCATTGGTTCCTCCTATCAGTTTGGGAGTAAATGCCGCGCGTTCAGACACCCAAATCACAATATCCCCAGTAATTATACCCCCATGCAATGCAACCCTTCTTTATCTCCATTCTTCTTGGTCAAAAACCCATTAAATTTCCATGTTCAGACACACACAGCAAACTCTGGCGGCATGCCCACTGAGGCTCGACTGGCATGGTCGGTAGAGTGTCAGACAGAGGTAGGTCAGTTGCCGCCGCTGCTGCAAATCAAACCTCACGTTGAGGGTGGATTGTGCACCGGATGATGGGAATGATATTAGCTAGAATAAATAGTAACAACTAAAAACATAGCAACGGCAATCATGACAATATATTCAATACATATATATATACATATATTCAATATATTCCGTACATGTAACTAGTAGCAAACATAACAGCAATAATGACAATAACAGTAGTAAGAAAAATGATAACAGCAACGGCAATAACAATAGCAACTCCAGCAATAACAGGCAGCAACAATAGCACTAAAGTCGCTAGGACCGGGAACTATATAAAGGAATAATAACAATAGGATTCAATAGTAGCACAAACAAGTGATAATACTTCGAATAAGACCAACAATGACAGTATGTCACAATAAAAGAAACAAAAAAAAATATAGTAATACATTAATACATAGCAATGATGAAAAGTAACAATGGTACAATAACTATAGCCTTCAAGGGTGGTTGTTTTTTATTAGTGGCACCTGTTGTACCATGTTGTACCCGGTACGCTCATGAAAAAAATCCTCCGGAAGCGTGTCTCAAAATTGGACTGATGTCCCAGCAAGTTGGCCATAGAAATAGTTGAAATTGCATTAATGAATCCCATCCTCATATTTAAACACCCATCTTTTTTGGTCCCAATTATGTGAAATTTCTCTACTAAACCCTGGTGGATTAAAAATTTTCCAGTTCACAAACTAAGTCTGGGCTGCCAACTGCAGCGCAGCGCGTGGGTCCACCCAAGTGGACTCCTCAAAGATCAGCGACCCGGGGAGGAGCTGCCCAGTTGGCCGAGAGGCTACGCCCCCCAAATCAATAAGTGGTTGTGAACAAGTGAACAAGTGGTTTGGTTGATTATGAATTCAAACACTAGTTAGTTAAACATATATGTTTATAGTTCTTACTATCTATTTATAGTTGGTTTAGTCATTATTGTCTATTATGAATAGCAAACACTAGTTAGTTGTTTATATTATTTATATTATATTAATATCGAGGACCATCATATATTTTGTGCCTGACACTTGGAGGATCATCCCACAAGTCGTTGGTGCTTCTCTCACGGGATAAGCGCCCCATGAGCTGGGATGATCCTCTGGGAATTTGTTACATAGAAAAACAAGCCATGGCCCATAAAAATCCTTGATTTACCGATTCAAAATGGTGATGATCTTCCAGTTCGCAAACTCTTAGTTTACCAGAGGGTATATATCCCATTGTCGGACCCATATATTTGATATTCTTTGAATGCCAGTGGCTGCTGGTCCATCAGAGGGTAAAACACCCATCGTGTTTTACCCATCAAAATATGCGATCGGCATCTCAAGCCTTCCCTTTTGTATGGTGTTTCAACCCATAAAAACAATCGAAACCCATTGAAACCTCCAAATTTGTTGGTTGTTTGTCTGGGAACCGGGTTCTATACTGTGGTAAACCTCATAATGAAATATAATGAACCATCATAAACCATCCCCAAAATCACCATAATGGGTGAAATAAACCATCCCCAGTCATGGTAGGTTTATTGCTTTGGGTTGCCAGTCCTGCCCAGGGCCCAACTCCCAAGGCCCAACTCGGCTCCAAACCCCGGTGCTCTCGTTGTAGTAGTAGAGATCCCGGAAATCGACGCCCAGCCTGGGCTATGCCATCTATGCCCAACTGACCCGTCGTTCTCAAAGGGCACTGCTTGAAGAGTTTCACATCTTTGGAGGACATCCAGGTGATGTGAACATAGGAGACATGTGCACCCTCTGAAAGTGACCTGGATGCATTGCCATCCAAATTAACGTAGAACCTACTATGAGTCGGGCTTTGGAAGACTTTCCTCCACAAGTACTGGTGATTCTAAGGGTCTATCGGTCTATGTTGATGGGGGGATGGTGTGACCACGTGGTACCACCAGGACATCCGAGACCTGTTTCCACCCCGCAAATCAACCGGGCTCATGCTTACCCATCCAAGTCATCCACATATCAACATGGCGAGAAAAATCCGTAGTCAAACATCCGGAAAAAAAAAAACATCACTTACCATCTGGTTATTTAACATAGCCATGGAAAATCACCATGTTTAATAGGTAAACCTCTATAAATGGGCCATTTCCCATGGCTATGTTAAATAGCCAGAGGGTAAATACTTTACTTCGATGATATTCCCAGCTAGAAAGTGGAGTTTCCCACGATCTTCCCATGGATTTTTCCTGTCAGCAGGTCCGTCCGCCCATCTGAGCTGGCCGGCATCGGTCGATCGGTCCGCCTGCCTGGAGCAAAAAGGTGACTGATGTGAAGGCAGCAACGACTGGATGAAAGTATTCTTTGCAACAAATAGATACAAAAAGAGGGATTGAACCGAGAAAAAGAGGGATTTAACCCTGATTTAGCCAAGAAAAAATGATTTAACCGGATTTAACCCACGCAAAGCGTGAAAAAGATTGGTTTAACCAACGAAAATAGTGATATATGAACCCACCAAAAAATTGCCCCCTCAAAAAACGAAGATTCCAGCCGGCATTTGTTTGAGTTTTGGGAAGAGGCGAAAAAGAAAGGTGGCTACAGCAACAATGATGATATACCCAGCTTCATGGTGATCAACATTGATCAACTAACATACCCTCTGGTAAACTAACATAGCTATTGAAAATGGCCATTTATAGTGAGTTTTCCCATTAAAAATTGTGATTTTCCATAGTTATGTTAAATTACCAGAGGGTAACATAACTAACTTTGATCCACTACCAGAGCAACTACCAAAACTGGGGCTACGTCGATTTCCTCAACCGAAGTCCGTCGGAACCATCCCGATCAGTCTTGATCCTCGAAAATGGGGGAATTTCGTCGTTCCCATTTTGGGTATGGATCATGCTGGATCATGCTGGATGCTGGATGTTTATTCCTTCAAAATGTATCATGACACAGCGGGTTTTTTTCACAACTCCCATGTTGGCGAAACCCGATTTCTTCGCCATTCCGCCTGCTTCCATGCAATATGGTCCGCTCCACTGCGCCAATTCCTGCAGAGCTAAGACAGAAGAACACCACCTCATGTTCTCCATTACCCTCTGGTAATTTAACATAGCTATGGAAAATCACCATTTTTAATGGGAAAATCCACTATAAATGGCCATTTTCAATAGCGAACTGTTAGTTTACCAGAGGGTAAATGGCCATTTGGGCGGTATACCCCGTTTTAATAATACTCACCCATGGCACAAATTCAACTGATAGCATCGTTAAACGCCCGCCCTCTTTCCCACCAGTGGTTGGTGAGGATGTCGTCTCACAAATTGTCGCACGAGTTTTCACTCCCAAATGGCCACTCATGGGCTCTGCTCCAAGTATGGGTTTGAAAGCAAAGTGACACTTAAATAAAATTCTGGTAAAACCTACGGACATATGAATTCTGAGGCTGCTACACCTCCCAACATCACAGGTGCAAAAGTTCAACCATCGTGCCAATCCAGTTACAGTAGCCTCAATGGATATGATATGGTCATATATAGATATACATATATATATATATGTAATCCATATATTGTGGACCATCAGTGGGTACTGTTATGAATGGAGGTTGATGGGTATTCCTCCAAAAAGCGGCTAAACATTACCCTCCGGCAAACAAACATGGTTTGCTGGAAGATCCGTATAAATCCCCCACGTATACTTGGATGAAAATCCGGCACCCCTAAATCCATCTAGAATCTAGAATCTAGAATGATCTAGATAAAGAATGAGTATTTCACCAACCTGCTAGATATATCAATAGACATCTATACCACCTGGTTATTTAACATAGCCATGGAAAATGACCATTAAAATAATAGGTAAACCGTCTATTTCGATTAGGGCCATCTATATGTCAGCCATAACCAGAGGGGTAGATATTTCACCTGAATTCCAGGCCTCCTTGGCTGCCCGGTAAGCCAACTCCAGCTGCTCTTGGCAACGCCTTAGGTCGTTCCGCCGAGATTTCCGAACAAAGATGCCCGGAGGTCGGTGGGATTTCGATGGTGATCTATGGATCTCTATGGGATTTCAGTGGGTTTTAATGGTGATTTAATGGTGGTTTTTGTGGGATTAAATGGTGATTTCATGGTGATTTTTGTGGGATTAAATGGCGATTTATGTTGATTTCTATGGGATTTCTATGGGATTTAGCTGACAACGATGGTGATGTACATGGGACGCATCAACTATGGAGGTTTATAGCTGCGAAAACCATCTATAACCGGGGAAAATGTCCATTGCCACGTGTGATTTTCCTGTAACTGGGTGTTCTAAACAAACATCAAGTAATTGATCCAGTCCAACAGCAGATGGTGGCCCTTCCGTGCGAAGTTGTTCCTTGAAAGCAATGAAGTGGGCAGAGAATCTATCTAATCCTCCTGGCCATGCCATGCCGCAGCAGCTCGGTACGGTACCGCATACCGAGTCAATAAATGCTACAAGTATATCCAGCAAGATACCATACCAGGTAGCAATTGCGCAAAGATATCCTACAAGAAATCAAAATGCGAGGTACTGCATTCACAGCCCCCTCGACCTGTACTGTGCATGTCAACCTGGACACAGGTGTCAACGGGGAGTTCAGTACCTCAACGTATGAATGATCCAGGTATCACTGTACTAGATCGTCCCCCCATAGCACCCACCGGGTGCACGCCGCTTTTGGGTGCCCAGGTCCCCTACCCTAATTACATGTGAAAGGTCGTTGCCAATGCCTACGTCTCTTCTACACAGAAATATCTCGCTATACAAATGGCACCTGTCCATCCTTGGAGGGTCCTCCACAGCAGGCGCTTCCCGTGGCGGCCGGGTGGAAAAATATATGGAAAAATGACACCCAAAGAATATGAATGGAAACATATGGGATAATATTTTTCCATATATTTTTCATTATTTTTCCATATGGTCATTCCATATGGGATGAATTGAATATATGGAATGACCATGAATGACCTATGGAATGACGCATCCCAGCGGCTTGGCTATGTCTTCTGGTGTGGCATCTGCAGGCCATGACCTGAGGCTCTGAGGCTCGAAGGGCTTCCATCTGCCACATGTTTTTTCCCCTGGGACATGTTGACATGATTTTCATTGATTTTCACTGATTTTCATTGATTTTCACTCGTGATCACACAACATTCAGATTCAGGATGATCATGTTTTTTCCCTCGACCTGAAAAAGGTAACACATAACATCACATAACATCAAATAACCACTATTGGGAAAACTGCTACGGGTCTGCGGCCAACGAGTCGTTTCAGCATGTTCCAAAGCTCAATGAGAAGAGAAGCTGAACCCAGCATCTGTTCCTTCAAGATCTTCAAAATCCTTCTGTCTTTTCGGCATGGTGTCCACTACACCAAGTTTCTTCGTTGATTTGGCAATGTCCCACCACGAGTTGTGGTGAATTCAGCTGGTGAGTTCAAGTGAGTTCAACCTCAGTACCTAAAAACCTGGTGTTCGAATTCCCAAAACATTCGCGCAGTGACTTCACAGTGACCATCTGCAGCAGCCAAGATGTACCCTGCGGTAATCAGCTCCATGGCTAACTGGAACATCCACCATGGACATGATGCTTCCCATGAAAAACCCTCCATTTATGGATGATTTCCAATTGCCATGTTTGACTGTGGGATGGTATTTGCATCAACATCCCCATATTTGTCGCCTAAATCATGTTAAATCCCTGTCATATAATCACCATAAAAAATCCCATGCATTCCCATAAACCCATGGGTTAAAATCATCAAATAATGGAATTTAGCATTAACCAATCCATGAATATCCATTGTTAAATCCCTATTCATCAAATAATCTCCAAATTCCACAAGCCTCACTATTTCGCAAATTCCCCTTCATAATCTCTAAATCACCAAATAATCACCATAAACCAGTGATCAAAAATGGTTTAAAAATCATCAATCTCCGGAATTCCATGGCTGGGGCTCCTGCATGGCTTCCTCGATGATCGACCGGAACCTGGTGGAAACGCCGGTAAAGATGGCGGATGCCTCGAAAACCCTGGGGACCCTGGGGATCTCCAAAGATGGCTGGGTGAACATCAACTTTTTCGCCGGTTAAATGGAGAGTCTAAGACTCCCACAAAAAATCTTGGTATGTACAATTATGTACACACATATTATATATACCCTCTGGTGAACTAACATAGCAATGGAAAATGGCCATTTATAGTGGATTTTCCCATTAAAAATGGTGATTTTCCATAGCTTTTTGTTGGTTCACCAGAGGGTATCCTGGGTTTTGATGCACCATCATTGTTCCACCACTCAGGGGTCGGAATGACGCAGAGCTCAACTTCTCAGGCTGCAGCAACGCGACTTGAGGATGACTTGAGGACCTTGGCGCACCCTGTGGAGTGCGTTCGCGTGGGTGTATGCATGCACAATCATGCACATATATATATAATGACACAGCGAATGTTACAAACTCATGTGCTCGTCCAAGCCCACGAGGTTTTCTCAGCGATTGCCCAATGAACCTATACTGCCATTTGACCAGAATATTCCTAATATCACAAAATCAGATAGTGATTCCAAATCCACTCCTGCTTTCCCAACTCTTTACCTTTCAATGACCCTTTTGTCCAGCATGCGCAGCACAGCCAACAGCGCCCACCGTTCCGCATGGCTGGAACGGTCGTGGTCGGCGAACACGGGCGTCAAAACGCCAGTGTTGTCGGCAGCGGCGGGCTTCGCACTGGCCCCGGTGAGCCACGTGCCTTCCAGAAGCCAAGAAGCAGCACGAGTCCTGGAGGTTGGCGAAATCGAGGAACTGCCGATTATTATAATCAATTATATATACACAGTATATCAAAAAAAAACAATTGGGGAGGTACCATTTAAGTGGCAAATCAATGCAAATTACCACCATTGAATCGGGGTTGACATTCACTCATCATGAGTCAGAAGAGAGGCTGTTGATGCTTGAGGGATTCACCAGCGGGCCTAAAGATTCCTAAAGCAAATTGCAGGGGGACCTTCTATGCTAGTCCATCCACTCCAGCCCTCCCAGCCTCAGCACTAGCTGACTCCATGCCATCACCAGCAGAGCCGAAGGCTCCGCTTCCCTACTGCCCTCAGACCACGGCCTGACAGATCTCCGGGCAGCACCCTGCCATGGCTCGCGGCCATGACTAAGTCCCAGGTGCCCCAGGGTTTCTGAGGTGCAGGGGCCCAGGTTGAAGCGGCCCTGCAAGCCTTCCACCTGGAGCTCTCTCTTCCCTTCGCCCTCCTTCAACTTCCGCAAGCTCACCATGGGCGGCCCAGAAACCCTCGCGCGGAAGGGTAGCAAGAGATCTTCCCTCCACTGGTCTGTGGCAACCAGCACCTCTGCAGCTGCCAGGACTTGTGTCCAATCCTCCACCCCCAGCTGCTGCCGCACCAACCGACAGGTGGAGGCTGCCAGCGAGACCGAGGGTGCAGCATCCAGGGCAGTGGTGGCGGCCACCAAGGAGGTCAGCTGTTGGCCGAGTAGCTGAAGGACAACATGCCAGGCCACCTGTGCATCGGACCTGCTGCCTGGACCCCTGGGCCTGGAAAAAACATCTATGTGAGAACCCAAGAATTTGAAGATTGTATCATCTCCAGGTTGTCTTCTGAACAAAGTTTGAAGGGAAGGCGAATCAAACATTTCTGCTGCCACGCCGTGCCTTGCAACGGCCCACTAAGGTGGCTAGGAATGTATCGTTGGACCTCACGGTGGCTTGGCGCATGACCTGGCCGTCACAGGACAAGAAACACCAGTGGCGGCAGTATTCTATGATGATGATGATGATGATGATGATGATTAAATGATGATGATGATGATGATGATGCTGACGATGACGATGACGATGACGACGACAAGGACGACGACGACGACGACGACGACGACGACGATGATGATGATGATGATGATGAACTTTGAGGTGAGGCGTCCCAAAAAATAACCTTCCGCGCAAGAATGTTGCGTTGATTCCTAGAACTTCTCCGCGATCCCTCGCGCCCCCAGGAGTTTTGGGACCTCCGCCACTTGCAAGGCTCTAGGCCAGCTATATGGCTGCAATGGCAAGCCATCCACAACCTTAGCTGGTGCACCAGGCGCTCAAACGTCCCCAAGATGGTTCAAACACCTACAGTAACCCCAAGGAAAAAACGCGACATGCTCACAATTCATCACGAGTCTTCATGATATCCCAGTCCAAATCAAATATTGGCTGTTGGTGGGTCGCACCGGGTACTGTAGGCAATAGCGGCAATAATGAGTTCTGTAGGCAATAGTGGGGTGCTGTTCGACCTCAGCATCTTGTACAGTTGACGATTGATATCCCCATGTGGCGTCTGCCGCTATAGTTCGAAACCATACCCAGGCAAACCTCAAAATAGCTGGCAAATTGCTCTTCATCCGGCTTTTTAAGGGATTCATTCGAGGTTTTAAGCCATCCCCGTGTTCAACATCGACCCATCTACCGTAGCGCGCTTCTAAGGATGGCAAGAGACTGTCGTATATGAGACCTGCGGTTCCGTATGGGCGAACGGGGTTTTTTGGTCAAACATAGGCCATGGGAACCGATGAATTTGATGATTTCGACGGCGGCGACGGTTGTACCATGTTGTACCCACCGATAATGTAACATAGCTATGGAAAATGGATGAAAATGGTCCATTTAAGTGGATGATTGAGCCTACGGGTTGAAAACCCAACGTGTGTTTGGATCGCTTTGTGCGTTTTGTGTGGTTTTCCTTGGGGTGGGTGGGGTGGGCTAATAACGTCATTTGCAGCTGCACACATACGTCACGCTACACTACTGTAGGTTCTGTTGGACTTGCACCCAAAAAAAAAAACAATCCAAGTTTCGGGTCACGAGGGCTCGCGAAAAGAGTCATTTTTCGGGATGCATTTTATTCAGAATACGAGGTAATTCTCACATAAAATTTCAAAACACCCTGTAATTGACCCACATCGCCACGAAAAAACACAGCAAAAAACATGGCAAAACACATGATTAGCACGATCCCCACTGTTCAAAAATCATTGAATTCACCAGATTCAATTTCCATCAATTTCCAACCCCGCGGGATGGTTCGAGTGTTTACCATTGCCATAACTATCACTATCAGATACCCTCTGGTAATTTAACATAGCTATGGAAAATCACCATTTTCAATGGGAAATTCCACTATAAATCACCATTTTCAATAGCTATGTTAAATTACCAGAGGGTATCACTATCACCGTCCTTATCGTTATCATATTGGATTCCTATAGTTATCAGTACGATATCATGTCCACTCTAGCGTCATCATGATTCGTGTAGTTCTGTCATGATGTTGATTGTCACTACCATTGAACATTGTTATCGGCAACTATTCGTTCAGCGCTATTCTCTCTCCTGTGTGACTTAGATACTGCTTCAATCTCGGGCACCCAGCTACAAAAACTAAACTACCCTCTGGTAAACTAACATAGCTATTGAAAATGGCCATTTATAGTGAGTTTTCCCATTAAAAATTGTGATTTTCCATAGTTATATTAGTTTACCAGAGGGTACCTGTACCTGCCTGTACCATTTGATTCTGTGAGCTGGGCTCCCGAATCGCCCAGATTGGCTGAGGCTCCCTACCACGTCAGGTGCAGCGCCTGCAGCGCCTGCAGCGCCTGCAGCGCCTGCAGCGCCTGCAGCGCGGTTGCTGAAGCTTTGCACGGCACGGCGCCACAAGGCCACCACGCTGAGTGCGGAGGTCAAACCTCGCCAGCTGTCCGCGGTTGACCCAGTCGCCACGAAATGGTCCGTCAATGCGTAGAGCATCATGAGCATCGTAGGGCTTAGATCGAAGTTACAAATCATTGCAATTGAGTTCATAGAACATGTAGAACTCCTGGAACTGGGAGATGGAGATGGAATGATATGGATGGATATCATGCATTACTCCCACTTACAATCTATTTACTGTACTCATTTCCAGAATCACAAGGTAAAACGACGGGCGTCACTTCAATGTAGTTCCAGATAGCATACCAAAACATCGGGATCTGGGCAGTTTCAACCTATCCTCGAGTCGAAATAGCAGTCTGTCGTGATCACAATCCGCATCCACCAGATGACTAGTAAAAACATGAAGAATCATCATCCAATCACGCTCCCAGATTTTGTTCATACTATTATTTTATATTATTTTGGGATATGTAATGGATATGTGACATCTCCATTGCCATACATGATACCCCGCTCAATAAAAAACCATTTGGATCCATTGGTGGTATTGAAAGAAAGCACCACCAAAAAAAGAGCGGTGATTCTTGCATACCATTGCAAATTGATCAAATTGGGTTTACCATATGTTTATTTACCATATCCATCCTCCAACATACTAGATCCCCCCAAATTTCTGATGGATAATTATCCATAATTATCCTTCACAGCTTCCCAAAGGGTTGAGCGCATCGATAAAACACCAACCATTTGGGTGGTTCCTAAGCCATTTTTTGGATCCCCAGTCGTCGCATTTTTGGTTTCACTAAGTCATGGTCCAATGACGACTGGAGTTATTTGGCAGTGTGTCAAAACCCTGGTACCCCTGGTGAACCCCAAGTCATAGCTGGGTTAAAATGGATGTTCATCCCACTAAAAATGGTATCTATAGGTATTGACCCATACCCATTTTTTCCGCATGTCCCAGGCACTGTTGCGCCCCACGCGCTTCGAACGCGCTTCGTCGTTCGCCCCGAAGCTGGTGCTGGAAAGCCGCCGCTCCCAGAGAGCCAGCGCGGTGTGCCAGGCATAGCCCTCACGTGGTGACCAACAGGGGCAGTTCACCAGCAGAAATGAAAGGTGGTTTGAAGCAACAACAATGGGGAAGTGAACAATGGGGATGGGTCAGGACTTATTATTTTTCATGATTTTTCCATATGAATGGGGAATAAACTATAAATTAAACAATATTAAACATCCATTTGCCAGCTGTTTTGATGTGAAAACCAGGGGAGAGCAAAGCTTTCGACCCACAATTGGTCCTTGTGGGTTCATCATCATTTTCCGCCTTGTTTGGTGGCAAATTTCGGCTATACCCAGTTGGTGACAATACCTTTTGTTTGGATATTCTCAGGGTATGGTTTGGCTATGCTTGGTTTTGAAGCCTTGAAGCCCCTTCGTATAGAATTCTATGTCCGCCATGTGATACCTTCAACCTATGGCCCTAAACCTCTTCGCGCTGGCTTTGATCTGTAGGGTTGCTTTTGAAAATGCGGTTTCCATACTGCACTTCAACATACTTCAACCATTGAAACTGATTCAATCCAAATTTGGCACCCCCAAACTCCCCCATCCAAATTGCATTCAAGACGGCAGAAGGTAAACTCTTGACACCTCCCATGGATCTGGATACGCCCAACAAGGCAATGGATCTCCCATGCACGGAGGCCCCTTCCGCCTTTTCGCAGGCCGCCAGCAAAGCATTGAAGGCATTGCTGCTTTGTGGCACCTGTAGAACAGGCTGCGCATGGCTACTGCTTCAAAGGATTCCAAAACCAATTCCTGAAAGGCGGGACAAGGGCCGAAAATTTAGGAACACTTTGATATAAAACCCGTAATATTTGTTCCCCTGCAATAAGTGGCAATCCCTGAAACACAGGCAGTCGAGCATGGAACAGCAGGGTCCACCCAGGTATGGGTCCAACTTTGGAGATAAGTACATGCAATGACCCAAAAGAATAGGATGGTTTCAAATGTTTCAAGTTACAGTACCATATAGATATTTTACAAAAAAAGATCTAATGTCAGTACAGCTATAAGGAATCACCCATATTTTGATGGTTTCTACTAGTTTGTACCACTCATTTATGGTCAATTTGGTGATGGTTTACTATCGCTTTACTAACATATTATGTCTCCGATTTTCCCATATGTTCCCATGGTTTTCCCATATCTTTCCATATTTTCCCAATAGGTTTCCCACAACGGACCACAAGCAACCTGAGCCCCAACGCCCCGGGGACCCGTTTCCCGGGAGCCTGCATTGACAGCGCCTCCCGCCAGCGCCGAGCGCTCTCCAGTCTGCTCAAGCAGCTCGTCGAGGTGTAACTGGCGGTGTGACAATTTACAGTACAGTATACATATAATAATTACATATGATATCTTCAAAATATTGAGCAAATATATATACATATATACATACATACATATATATATATATACATATATGTATATATATATGTATGTATGTATGTATGTATATATATATATATCTGTGTGTGTGTGTCAAAATATAGTTGTTTCGCGCTTGTGCAGAATCGTGTGCCTGCCACGCTGGACCTGATGCTTGGCCATGTCACAACACAACTGCAAGGCCCAGGGCCAGGCACGGCAAACATTCAGCGCAGCCACCTGCCGGTGGTACATTCGAACATCGCAGGGTGCCTCGGAAAATTGTAAAAAACTGTAAGAACTAACTATTGTTGTGGAATTCGGAAACTCTCCTTCATAACTGCTTCCAAATTCATGTACATCTTGAATCCTGAATGTTTGCGTAAGAAACTATCTTGCTGACGGAAGGATATTTGTCCAAAAGTCTTTTTTTCCCAGTTGCTGCATCCTTCGAGGCAGCGGTTTTCACCCTTGCGCAAAATCTCCCCAGAACTCATCGATTGAAAACATGGAAAAGAGCGAACAGATTTGAAAAGAAATCCAATGAGGTAGCATATTTGATGGACAAGAACTGAGACACCAGGGGGCGTCAAATTCGATTGCGTTCAAAATTTCAAACCAACACATCCATTTTGCACCAAAATAAACGAGATATTGTTGGCACGCTGGTGGGCCGATCCCCACCAGCCACGAATTCAAATGATCCATCGTAAAGCTTATGAGTCCGGCCATTTAATTGGTCACAGCCAAATAATTGGTCACATATCACATCATATCACATCATATCACATCATATCACCATCTTCATCAACTTGTCCTGGTTGCAGTTCCCAAGCTATGAATGGCCCGAGCCGCAAAGGCTTGCTCGTCCGGCTCAATGTGTTGCAGCCGCATGGTCTGCAGCCACTGCAACGCCTGGGTCTGGCTGGGATAGCCTGACGCCAAGCTAATGAGGCAGCTGAAGGAAGCCACGTCTAGCCTGGGGATGTGATTTTGTGGCGGGAGCTAAACGGCTTGGAAACTCATGCTACAGGCTGTACTTAACCCTTGGATCACGAATCATTGCACAGCATGGTGGTATCACCCGGTAGGGTCTGCCTCCCCGCCTGACGCGTCTACCAACCGCATCGTCCACCAGGGTCATGGCTTCCTGCGTGGCCCGTTGCTTCGCCAGCGCACCCAGGGCCGCAGGCAGCAAAGCGGGGACCGATGCCGAGCCGCCCAGATGACGCAAGAGGCGAAGCGTTTGGGCGGGCCCTGCGGAACGGGGGTGCTGAGAGGGCTCTTGAACCAGGGATCCAATGGATCCAAAGTAACCACCTGTACCTGACCTGTGCATCAGGAAACGGTGCCAGGTGAATCATCTATGGTTGATTGATCTGTGCAGTAGTTTGTTCGACGGGAAACCACAGGCCCCTCCAAGATGTGTAAGGGGCTCCAAAGCCCAACTCCGAACATTTTTCACATTGAAACGGTAGATCTGGAGAAGCCACCAACTACTCGCGATGTGGATCTCTTTGGATGTCATGAAATAGCTGCTATTAGTTGCTATTGTTGCCAGTTGCAACAGTAAGTTGCGCAAGTCCTTTGAGGGTCTTTCCGTGTCTTGGCGTCTGTCCCGTAGAAACCCCACCTGCAGGGGCACTTTGTATCAACAGCAGTCGCGCCAGAGTGGTGTCTGGTCTCACTTTCTCCTCAGTTCCGATGGAACTCTTGCTATCCCAGGTGGTATGAAAACAGAAAATTCCGACTGATGGATCACCCCTGGGTTTATAGTGGATGACTGGTGGATTATCAATGTCACACATATTCATACATGTGCTGAATGGCTGGAAAATCCTCCATTGTTGGCATCATTGGTGGCTGCTCACTGCATCTGCTTTCGGCATCTGCTAGTCACGTGGGTAATGTCTAATCGCTTAAACTCCTGGCATCTTTTTCTTGGAAATTGATGTTTGCAGATTTTGCTCGATTCCTCTCTTTTCCCCCTAATCACACTCCGATTCATGCTAAGGGAGAAAGATGAGAAAGATCCCAGATGTCCCCCATCCCAGGGATTTTGCTGACCAGCTAAAGGTTTGATTGCGGTTTGATTTAGCTCACTGCTACCACCGTCACCCCTTGCGGGGCACCTGTGATTGAATACGAATGCTGAAAAAACTGCTATGTGGCAGATTCTCCCCCGCAAATGCCTGCAAAGAACCCAGTCAAGATGACTAGGGTCCAAGAATATTTTTTAAAATATTCAAAATACTATTTCGCTGGAATTCTCCCCCTTGCACTCCTTTTGGGAAACCCCCTCCGACCAATCACTACAAAATGGTGGAATGAGCAGCATTGAGCAGCGTTCCGACAATCGATGACCCAAAATAACACGTCAAATGTTGGGTACCCTCTGGTAATTTAACATAGCTATGGAAAATCACCATTTTTAATGGGAAAATCCACTATAAATGGCCATTTTCAATAGCTATGTTAGTTTACCAGAGGGTAAATGTGGTCTGAAATTGAAACCACCAGTATTTTGCCGATGTTGCGAGCCATCCCTGTTTTTGGCAAACTGACCCGTACAGCAAAACATGCCTTGATGGGCCATCTCTTTCACTCCCGTGTATAATCCATGCACCCAATCCACACCAATTTGGTAAAACTCTTCACCACTTTGAAATCAAATTATATCTTAACCCCTCGGAAATATAGTCCAAAATCGTAACCTCCAACTGACATAGACCCTGCCATGAGTCCGAGGGGGTTCGGAGAATTACTCATTTTTACTTCTCAGGGGATCTAAGTGGATCTAAGTGGGAGGGATGATCAACCACGGCCAACGTGGCCTTCCTTTCCATGGCTGCTGAGTCACCATGAGTTCCAGCCCCATCCTCCAGTGATCCGTTGGAAAAGCCCCTGCCACACTGCTCACCAGCACCTTGGTGCTGTCCGCCACGCTGAAAAGATGGAGGGCCTGGGACCATTGCAGCGACTTCCTCGGCGATGGCTGATGGCTAAAGAATGCTAAAGATCCAACCTATGCCATCCAGTTTATGAATGTTTATGATTCATGATCAAATGGATGAAAATCATTGAAAATCCAGATCCAACAAAATGGGGTGCCAGAGGGTGCCAGAGGGTGCCAAGGTTTTGCGGCGGATATTTAAGGATCCCAAAAAATAGTGGAGTCGAGGAGATTCTTTGATATCTTCCACTGCTAGGGGAAGATAAGCCAATTACGAACCAGCTGCTGGCGCTGGTTGATTGACCCCTCACCGGGATGCATCTCGAAGTTGCCGAAACCAGAGAATACTTGAGCAAAAAATACGCGTGGGCGTGTCATCATGAAATTCTGGACCACTCCCTGCCAACATCTATACACTGAAGGGATTGTGCGAAACCAAGAGGAATTTCGGGAAGAGACTAGGCGTGAAGCAGCCAATAATGGTTGTCGAAACCACTGGCAAGAGACTGTGTGTTAGAAACATCCAACGCATTGCTAGAACACCATAGAACACCTCCCTTCATGGTGCCACATCGCATCCCATCCAAGCGCAAGAAGTTGGATAGAGGGCCAGCGACTTGGAACACACCACAAACAGTCATTCGAAATCAGCCCCAACTGGATAGCTCTATATTTTCTATATAGCTGATCATGGAACCTCGGCCCTCCAAAGCAAACGCATAAACTGGCATAAACATTGTCAGCTTCTGGCACCTTTGCTGCAAAACCCTCAAGATCACATCACGTCCCATCGGCCAGTGGAACCCAGTGGCTGGAATGCATCGGCCAGCGATCCGAAACCTAGGCACAGTACCCCACAAACCTCGGGGGAAACGGGTTGGTTCTTGCCCCAGAAGTTGGGCATTTGCAGGGCCTCATTTACTAAGCATCTCTTTGAGGGTTGGTTGCGCTGCTCCACATCTGCCTTCAAGGTCGCCTAAAGGTCGAGGCTAGGAGATGTGAAGTCAACTAAGATCAACTAAGCTGCAATGAAGCATACCTTTTTTGGACTTGCACAGTGCTTTCGCTCCTTTTTTTCCATGGAAAATGGGATGAACATGGCCTCAACAACCATTTTGTGCCATAGCTGCCATAGCTGCAGCAAGATCCAAGTGCACCAAGAAGCTCAGCTGGTCCATCTGCAGCGATCGGCACGTCATCTCCACCACTTTCGTCGTAGCCCGGCGCCAGTGCTGCGCCAGGGAGTGGATCAAGATGTTGTAGGAGGTGATGGCATCCTGACGCCTGAGCTCAGCTTGTGGAAATCCCTGAAATCATGGAACTCCATGGGAAATCATCCAACTACATGCTGGTTTGAATGGGAAAAATGCGGAAAATCATCGAAGTAATGATAAGTAATGGGTGATTTTCCGGCGAGCCATGTTTGATGAAAATTTTGATTCCCAGCAAATCTTCCATTATATAGTCTATATATATATATATCACATTTCACCATATTATTGGTATGTGAACCTGTCGCCATGCTATCCCTAGGTGAGATAGCCCCTTCCGGCCGAGCACCGAGTCACCGAGGCCATGCACAGTTCTCAAGGTCAGCCAGTTGCTGCAAAACCTGTGGGGATAGCTAAATGGCCAACCTTTTAGACCAAATCTAAGAGGTAAAAATATGGAAAAATACAGAAAATATGGGAAAAGATGAAGGAAAATGATGAATTGGTCGAGATTTTGGGGTGCCCCCATTTTCAGGCTCAAAAGAGCCTGAATTGCTGATGTCTCCCGAAAATATCCTAACATTGGAAATACAAGGATCCGCCCCTGTAAGGTCAGCATCGCTATGACGGCCTGCCCTGCCGGTCCATGTAGAGCACCGTTGATCCAGGGCTTACAATAGACCCGCCAAAGAAAGAAAGAAAGAAAGACCGAAAGAAAGGTGAATCACCATCAAGACCAGATGAAGCATGTAGTGAGTGACATACTGTACTACCGTAATAGCATTCCTGCAATCTGGTACCTTCGGGTACCTTAGAACGTAGAAGTCAACGAAAAACGAAAAACCACACCACAAAACCACCATCCCGAGCTGAGTCAGTGGCACCAGGTGCCACTCTGCTGACACTGCAGATGCTGCTGCGTTCAGTGCCACTCGGTCCAGTTCACAACCTGTCCGGTTGTAGGGGCCCGGGTCTGCCTATCTCAAACACAAGTTTGAGAAAAAAATCATGTAAATCAATTATGAAAATTGGAACGATGTTTGGGCCATGTTCAGTTTACGCTGCCCTTTTGACGGATCCAAATGACTGAGCCCTAGACAAAACAGATTCTCTTTACTCTGCCAAAAAATCAGCAGGTACCATGGGTACCCGGACAATAGCAGATAGCAATGTTCGTTATTCCCTGCCCTCAGAAAATTGATATGTCTCGGCCTCGTCGTTGCGCCAAGTCCAGCAGCTCCAAGGGAAAGGTCCAGCTGACAGCATCCAGCAGCAGCGTGTAGCAGGTGAGATCCGGGTCTGGCAGGCCTGGCAGGGGCCATGTTGGGCCATTTGAAGACACGCAAATGACGGAGTTTTGGCCATCAAATGATTCAAACACTTTTTTTTTCTCCTGGGGTTTTGAAATAAAGTCAACAGGTTTTTCCGGGCCAAATGATTCAAAAATTGGCGTTTTAAATATGTGAAAGTCAAACCAACCACTTCTCCACTTGGCAAAGGGGGCACCCCAGGGCACCTCCATCGCATCGCATGGCCTCCAAAAGCTGTAGCCCGTCCAACCAACGGCACTTGAGACCGCCCAGGGCCACCCCGCAGCCGATGATGTCCATGGAAACTGAGCGTGCCACGGTGCCACGTGCCACAGTGAATGGAGACAACGTGAGAATATCAGGGAGGTCCAGCAATCAAACATGGCTGGAACATGTTCCGGTCATAGAGGATCTACCCAGCTACCTCCATTTGTAGAGAAGTTCCCAGGGCACAAAGGTTGACCCTCGCCCTCCCAACTTCCCCAAGTCTGGGGCAGTTAGGGTCCTGTTCCCAAACTTACCAAAAATGATGACGTGGTATGGGTATGTATGGGTGAGATACTCAACTAATGCTCTTTGATTTCCAGGAAAACAACGTGTCAAAGTCAAATAGTTGACATCACATATCTATATGACGTGTGGACATGTGTTTCCGTATGTTTGTATCTGCTACTTTACTCTCATCTCTCTCTCCACTCCCTGTAATCTATCTGTCCTTGAGTCGCTCTCTTGGGACTCCCCACCCTGAAGCATGGGGGCATGGCCCAAAATGGTTCCAAATCCCCCAACTTGGATACTTCATGATACTTCATCAAAGGAAATTTAAAGACTAAACTCCGTCGTATGGATGTTCAAAATGTGAAGAGAGTAGAGAAGTCAAGAGAGTTGGCAAATGAAGACAGTTGAAGTGAAGAGAGTAGAGATGTGAAGAGTGAAGAGAGTAAGAGTAAGGATGTGACGAGACTTGGCAAATCAAGACATGTGTATATATATATATATAATAGTTGATTCAAATGATGTACATAAATACAACATAAACATGTTACAATTATCACTATTTATCATCTTTAGATATCACTTGTATCACTTATATCACTTATATCAACCCCAAAGTCTCCCCGAAATTTCGTGGTGTTTTTTTCAAAAGGTCCCCCCCTCCTGGGACCGCCACCTGCACGGTGACAGAAGAGCTCCAGCATCTCGGACCAGCGCGCCGCCTGGCCACCTGGGGTTCCACCAGCTCACGCAACGGAAAGTGTTCGGAAGAAACGGTGAAAAAATGTGTGTAACATGACATTGTGTAATCCCCAAAAAAAGATAGATATATATATATATCATCATAATAGTAATAGCAATAATAATAGTAATAAAAATAAAAATAATAATAATAGTAATAATAATAATAATATATAATAATAATATACAATAATAATGATAATACCGCAGTAATAATAATGATAGCAATAGTAGTAATAGTAATGACAATGATAATAATGATGATGATCGTAATGATAGTGATAATAATTACATATTATTACGTAGCTATAGTAGGAATGTGGGTAAAATAATTTCATAAACCATCCCCCTGTCATCACCATTTTTAGAGGTGGGATGAACTAACCATTCCCAGTCACGGGTGGTGTATGGCATTGTTTTTCCCACATTTATAATTACATATTATGACATAGCTATAGTAGGGATATGTAGGAATAATATTCAATAATTATGATGATAATAACCATAATAAATAGTAGTGATTGTTATTGCTATACCTCCCTCACATCGCACAAAAGTCTCTGTGCCAAACATAGTTGGTATTTATTGCATAACTATGCTAGGAATAATGTCAATATAAGTATAAAATTTATTATTACAATGATATCAATAATACAGTGCATAATGATAATCTGATAATCAATCATAGCAAAGCAGAAAAGTATTTCATTACTATATTACTAGGATATTACACTATCTTTTCGGGGGTTACTATGTTACTGATGTCCTTTCCTGCTGACTTCACCAGCTCCATGGTTTCAAGTGGGCATCCGAAGATTGAACCAGCACATATGGGGGCACCAGGGTGGCATCCCCAACCGCTCGGGTGAGAAAGTGTGACGCTTGGCACCCTCTTTGTAGCTCCTTGGTTCCCCATTCACTTCCCATTTCATAGCAACGAATGTTGGTAAAAGAATTTCACAAACCATCCAGTCATCACCATAAATTGATGGGATTGAAACATATTGAAACCATTCCCAGTCATGGGTGCTTTATGGCATTGTTTTTCCCTTAGATCCCCATGGCTCCGAATCGCTACCCTAAGCGGTCCCAGCCGCACGCTTTCATGGCTGCTGAGCAGGGAATGATGCTCGGCTCCATGCGCCCTGCAGGCATGGACCGGAGCAGAGCCAGGCCATGGTCCCAAGTGCCTGGCCGAGCCGTAGATTTCCTGATTTGTGGATCTCGCCCCACCAATGGGATTATTGATGATTATAATATGTATAGAATTGGCTGGTTTTTTGGGGCGTAATTTTGGTTTCGCAAGGTGACTTTAAGCAGCTATGCACTGACATCAGTGATAAAGATATAGATGGGATTGTCATGGGCAAGGGCCAAGTGACTGGCGTGGCATTTAACGTCATTTGCATAGGATCTGTTTGAAAATGGCCGGTGATGATTCTTTTTTCAAGCCCACTCGGTACAAAAGGCGGCGTCTAATTCGTCTAGCGGCGGACTTCTCCAGAAAATGGAGGGATGTGGCATGGCATACTGTAGCTGTACTTCCTTCTATATAACCAATTAACATCAATTGACCAGTAGCATACATTAACATATATTTATTAACATAGATATTATATTATATTAACTAATTGAATTAACCAATATGAATATGAACCATATTAACTAACCTTTTTTCCCCAGTGGTTTAGCTCCAGCCACCTTCCAGCGGCCTCGGCGTATTTGCGCCGTCACCTCCTTCGGCAGCCTTTCTCGCATGGCGCGCCATGGGCGTCGCAGCGCTGGCGGCCAGCGCAGGGCCACCGGGAGAGAATGGGGGTGATTTGACTCACCCCGGAAGATTCAGATCAAGTGGATCCCTCCCTAAAAACTCTGATGTTTCCCTTTTTTTGGTGTTTTTGCTTGCTCTTTGGCTATTTAAAAAAATGAAGAGATCCACTGAAATCAAGTCAAGGCTGCAAGCAGCGGTGATTACAGCGCATGAAATCAGCACAGCTTGAACCACTAGGTGGTGTAGGATGCATCTGAACATAGAATGTTCCTGTTTCCAGGCCCATTCCTGGCAAATGCGCCCAAAGCACCGCTCACTCTGGACCAGGCGGCCACACGTATCCCCCGTAACCTTGTGGAAGAAGTAGGTTTGCCTGATCTCCAACCGCTGAGTCACACGTTCAGAATGCAGCGCAGCTGCTTGGGGCAAGACCACGGATTTCCGCATCCCCACTAGCAACCTGCTCCAATAGATAGCCATTGAGCTAACCCTTTTTCTGTGACCAAGCTATAAAGTGGTCTACCTAAAGCTGCTCCTAAGTGGCTGGGAGCCGAGCCCTTGGTAACCGAGTTCCTCCGACCTAGGCAAGAGATGGCAAGCTGTGTGGCAAAGTAAAAAGCACAGCTTTATCATTTTGGGGATGTTGCCATTCTTCGCCGTAGTTTCTCAGTTCATCGTAATTATAATATATTATATGCACATACTTATATATGTCTGCACACATTCATTTATTTATCTATAATATGTATTATGTGTGTGCATGTATGCAAATAAAGAGAGAGAGAGAGAGAGAAAGAGAAGGAGGAAGAGAAAATCAGAAAACGAGAGAGAGAGATATATATATACATACATATATAACGTGTATATATATATACATATATAGATAGATAGATAGATAGATAGATAGAAAGATAGATATATATATACATGGATATATATATATATATATACATACATACATACATACATACATACATATATATACACGGTATGTAAATTATATATAATATGCATTAATAATATTTAATATACAGTATACATTCATTTAGAAATACATTGTTTTGGGGGGCGCCCTTTCAAGGAGAAAAGTGTGCAACATGTGCAACGTGCAACACTGATTCATCAAAATTAGGGGTTGGCCGCGGCCCATGTTGACCCTCAAAACGTGAGAAATGTCAAAGGCTGTGGCTTGGTGGATTCCACCAGGGAGCCGGAGCGGTGTTTTTCAGCGGAAAGGTGGGACCCTCCATCAATAGAACATGCTTCAAAAACTCAAACTCCAGTGGAATCATCATTCCATGACCCGGGACTCCAGAAGATGGATTACTAAATCAAGATTTGACCCGGGCTGTGCCCATCTGTGTTACACACCTTCGGGCGAATCAACCGCTCGGCCGCTAGGCGAATTAAGCCATCCAACTCATCCAACCACATGTTCTCAGGACCTTTTTGCCCTCGGGCGAGTTCCAAACCATCCCACAGGCGCGGGGTGAAACCGGCTACGGCGACACAGGCAGCCTGGCCTCCAATCTCCAAGGGATCCCCACCCAAAAAAACACCTGAAAGGCCTGAAAGTGTCTAGAGAGAGAGAGAGAGAGAGATACTGTATATATATATATATTGAATGGAGAATCCCCAGAGGTTTCAAAGTGCAAACCAGCTTTTGCCTTTCTCCAGGATGCGGGGCACGAAACTTCTCAGCTTTGGGATCGACGCATCAGCTAGCTGGCCGCTGGTAACATGGGGGGAAAAACAGAACTTGCAATCGAACTTGCAATGGAAAGATTGCAAGTCTCTATGTTGGGAAATGCGAACTTAATCATGATTAATCATCTACATCATCTCAAATTGGGGATTTTAAGCCGGGCTTCATCACGTTTGATTAGCCAGGCTGAACATCTCTCCCGTTCTGGGTTCAGCTGTCGCTTTAAAGCTGAAAACCCATTCAGGGCTTCAGCGTGTCTCGTTGAACCGGGGCTTGTGGAGGATTTGGATCCAGGGTTATTCACGTAGAAATGCCAAATATCTTAAAAGCGATTGCCTGCCAGAGCTTCTATATGTCTATTTGGTTCTATTTGATTCTATTTGATTCTATATGATTCTATATGATTCTATATGATTCTATATGATTCTATATGCTTCCATGCCACGCCTGCGTCATAAATCCCTACTGGGAACCTGTTGATACATAGCAGCGAGTAATCAATAGTTGATCGATCACAATGTGAAAGGAACAACGTCTTTCGTGAACCGTGCTCAGCTGATTGGGGCCCAAATTATCCGAAACAATTGAAAAATCACGAAAAATCGACATAAATCAACATCTACCCTCTGGTGAACTAACATAGCAATTGAAAATGGCCATAGAAATAGTGGATTTTCCCATTAAAAATGGCCATTTTCAATAGCTATGTTAAATATCTAAATATGTGAAACCATTTTTTTAATCCATGGGATTCCATGGGGCCATTGCATTCTATGTCTCTATGTGATGTAATGATATGTTATCTTACGTATATTCCGACATCCTATCTGACACATCTTCTGACATTTTACGTGGCATTCCTGTCTGACTATATTCTGACTCTGGCATTCCGGTGTGACAAATATTCTGACGCTCTATCTGACATCTTATCTGACATATATTTTCCGGCATACTATCTGGCATTGTATTCGCAGTTTTTATCTGGAATCTGAACACTTGAGCAGGCGGACTCGCCACGCAGCTGGCAAGCCCGATGCGACTCGTGGGTTGGTGCGTCATTCCTTCGTTGGGGAAATCCTCACCTGGTGGGGAAACAACATGAAACAACCACCATCGGGCCATCGGGGATGGTTCCCCATTGGGTTTTTTTTCCACATTGGTCCTAGTTACACAACAGGTTTTGGACCTGCATCCCACAGGGATCAAATTTAGGACCTGTCTATTTGATTCTATTTGGGCAGTGCTATAAGTGGGATGGTACTCTCCGCTAATGAAACTTGGCAATGGGAAATCCTCCATGCAACACCCGCGTATAGATGAATTTTCAATGGTGATTACCAGGGGGCGATCCCGTACAAACAGTCGCTATACGATCGCAAGAAACCATTTTTTAATGGTTCTTTTGGGTGCTCCAAACCATCCAATGATTCAAAAGCAACCCAAAGGCATCACCAAGTATGGGTAAAGAATCTTCGAAAATCCGTCACAGTCGCTTCTCTTCAGTCTGGAGCTCATCTGGAGCTCATCGCGTGCGTGCTTAGCACCAGGGGCACTACAAGACCTCGCTCATCTGGAGCTTGGCAGGCGTATCGTTCTTGGAAGACATGGAAGAGAGCAGACTTGCCACACTGGTCCGGACCTCACCGAAAAAGTGGCGCACCAACGATGATCCATGGCATAGACTATATGAAGGTTTCCTGAAATGGGGGGGTACCCCTAAATCATCCATTCTAATAGGATTTTCCATTGTGAACCATCCATTTTCTTTCAGAAAAAAATCAACGCTCCGTTCTAGAAACCTGGTTTAGCATTGGAAATGTTTCTTTTTGGGTGTCCACGTGGAGGGAATTATATAAACAATGCGGGGTGGGACATTGTTGTGGAATTAAATAATGATGCGGCGTTAGATGTGGTTGTGCAAAATCACCTCATTTCACGCGGAAAATCAACGAAAAACATGTACAACATCGGCAAACATCAGATAGACAGTGATAAATTGTCCAGCTCACCATATGGGCTGACTGGGACAGTCCGGTTGAGTGTCAGCACCGCTGGTTGCTGTCCAGGCTGCCGTGTGTCCACTTTCCAAGCTTCGAATGAACTCGCCCTGCATGGCGGGTCCCAAATTCTTGCAGCAGAATTTTATTGTGGATGCTCCAAGTCAAAAGTTGCCAAGTTCATCTTTCGACCCCTCATCATCGGCATTTCTTTGTTTCACCCTAGACTATGTCTAAGGGAAGTTAGGTCCTCACAAAGCCATTACTGGCTTAGCCCTGTTCACCATGGATCACCATGGATCACCATGGATCACCGACCACCATGGATCACCGTGGCCTCCCCTCCACGGAAGCGAAAATTGAACATTTTCTCTTCTGCTACGGTGGACACGTTTCTTTGCTGCACATCAAAGCGAGGGCAAATGATCCTGGGAGCCAATAGGAGCCAGAGATAGCTGGGGCTCCACCTTGCAAAACCTGGAGGACCATCCGAAACTTTCTGGGCAACCTGGTGGGCCCCTGATCCCGACGACAGAAAGCAACTAAGGCTTGACTAAGGAAAGTGCTTGGAATCGCCCAACCCTTGACAAGTTCCAGAAGATGGTGACTGCTGGGTGGCACATGATTTCATACAAAAAAGTTGGAGGGGTAATATCAGTAGATAACAATTGATTTGCATATTATGTGTGATTGTTTGATTCTGGCGATCTTTTCGCATATTTCACCCTGAATTCAGGTGATGCCCTTTTGTCAATCACTTTTTTTTATATCGCGACCAACGTCTGCCACCGCGGCGAGGTTCGTGTCCGGCTCCAGCGACAGAATTTGTTCTTGCACCTCAGAACAGACGCCCCACACATGGGCCACCAAAATGAATAGTTAGAAGTTCTAAGACTAAAGTCCATGGGTTCTAAGGGTGTATTTCAGATTGGGGGAGGGATTGCTGGGGGTTCTGGGATTCTAAATTCTAAATGCCTAACCCAAAACAGCCGTTCCCGGCGGTATCCCGAAATTGGGTAAACCGTAGTTGTTTCTTCAAAAATATTGGGTTACATACCCATCAATAACCCACCGGGGAGAAAAAACATAGGATGCCACCAGCCATACCAAATAATTTGTTATCTGAAGAGAACCCGTGAAGAGACATTCATATTATCATGCTTTCTCTCTTGTCACCTTACTCATCTGACCTTTGGGGGCTGCCCCAACCGACCCCCCGAAAAATCAGCGTACGCTGTGGTAGTGCAGCCGCTGCAGATAGCGGTCCCCAATGCCACTGATGCGACGCCCGCAGCCCCGCACCAGCAGCGCATAGCCCGTGAAGGCCCAGCGGCAGCTATGGGTCTTGAGGACCTGTCGATAAACGATGGAAATGCATGGCCTTCCCCGAAAAAATATAAACAAAATGGTGGATTTACATGGATTTACACCGTATCTATCTTAATGACTTAATGTTCCCTATCTATGTTTGAAAAATGAACCCAAAGTAAAGTGGTTTAGGAGAAAACCATGGCTTTTGCTATTACATCTATTGAATCTATTAGTCTATTAGTCTATTACCCCAAAATACAGGGTGTCATGTAAAGTTTCAATTTTCTATCACCCATTTCTGGGAACCAAAAGATACGGTGGATTTGTCACGGGTTGTCATCGTTCAGACCTGCAAAAGTGTGGGATCCCATAATTTTATTCCGAGTAATTAAGTGCCCCAATTGGGCGTGTGTGTGTGTGAGGACATTTCCTTTGCATTCCGAGCAGCATAAGTCACCGATTCGGGAGTATAGCCCGGCGTGCTACGCACCTCTAAGAACAAACTGCCGAATCCAATGCTATCCTTGGGACAACGAGGCAAAGTGACTAAGTGTCACTGCACTTCGCATTCTTCGCGAAGTAACTCCCCACCTATGGGAACGGAATACAATTTGAGTCGCACCAAAGATTCGCAACTCAAAGCGGTGTCAGACTGTCAGACCTCAAAGAATTGGAGGAACACGGGCATGGAGGAACCATGTTCACGAGTTTTCCCCAACAAGCCACCAACAATATGCTGCAAAATCTGGGTGCAGCTGAAGTTTTCCTAGCCAAATCTAAGAACTGCCAAGCATCGCTGTGATTGCAGTAGAGGTCTGCCTTCGCTTCACAGCCCTGGGGCAAGATGGTTTGAAGCTTCGGATAAACCTCTCGGAGGCTGGCAGCGTCGACATCGGAGCTCTTCAATGGATCCGTGAACAGCACCTAAGGTTGAAGGCAGGACCCATCGCACTGTTTTAGATGATTTTAGCTGTTTTCGACGGGCAGTTCATCTATAATGAATAGCTTAAGCTGCCAATTATATACAAATGGATTATGATTTCTATTGCCATGTTTGATAGCTGAAAAGCAAACACCAAAGAAATGGCACCAGTGAAGTTACGCCAATGACAAAAAAACTGAGTGTGTTTCAAGATTCCCGTTGCAAGAATATACAATAATCACGCCTTCAGAATGGTATGTTTCGCGAGGATTATTTAACAAAAAAACATGAGATAACTCTGGCTACATCTGGGTACCCATAAGTCTCCCTGAAATCGCATCGCATCGCTGCAAGGCCGCATATTTCAGTTGAAGACCCAGCTCTGCGAGGAGTGTCAGAGTGGGTCGAATCAGCTCATGCAGCCGATCGATGACCACCGCCTCTTTGCTATCCTGCCGATCCGAGGTTTAAGGAAGAAACAGCCACGAAAAAACCTGCGATTCCAATATAAATCGAGAAGTGAAACAGGTTGTTTCTGTCCCATAAGTTTTAGCCATGTGCATATATTTGTTATAGATTTAGAGTAGGACTCTTCCAATGATGGATCCAGTGTAGCCAGAAATGCAACTGAGACCATCAGAAAAAAAACACCAAATGGGAGAGTGAAGACAAAGAATGCCCGAAGTTTGCAACTTTTGAGGCCTACAATTGTTCCGAAATCTCCCGGAATTCTTGGCATGGGCTTTGTGCCTTTAGTAAATCAGGAGTCATTCATGGGTCACATCATCTGAAGACCTTCTGCAGAATGTTCCCCACATCCGCTACTAGATGACACTAGATCCCCCACCTCTTTTTTCTGAACACAACACCGCTAGCACATTAAAAAACTCGCGGCCTCTCTTCCCATGTAGAAACATCCACAGGTCGCCATTGCCAAGGCACAGGGCAGTGCACTAAGTACATGAAACTCGACAGCTCCGGGTCAAAGAGTTGCCTTACTTCCGGGCTCCGCGCCGTCAGCGGCTCAGCCGAACCTCGGGTGGTCCCGTGGGTCCCAGATGGTCAAAGGGGGGTCATTTGCCCCAGAAATCATCCCTTTTTACAGAGAAGATGATTGACCAGTGGATTTGGGGATATATCCCACGGAGGATACGAGGATCCAATGTCAAACACCCTAAGACTTGGAAAAATCCCACAGGTTCGATGTCGTTCGATTGCTGTCACTGCAGGGAATAAGTTTGGAAGCTGGTCGGACCCGCTTCCCATAGTCGCCTCCAATACTTGTACCACTCCCATGGCGATCTGTATAGGAAGGAACGATGGGCTCATGTGCCAAGGTACCAACAGCTGGCAGCTGACATTCCAACCACTGCCTCATCGCCATGGCCGACGTGGTTTGTCTGGTTGAGGTGACCTTTTTGTTCCGCCGGTTACCACACTGGAAAGCTCACCCCGCAACCTTCCCCCCCAAAAAAAAAATAGAAAACATGAGTGTGGTTTAAAAGTATTCTCTATAAAAAGGGCGTGGGAAACTCTCAGCAGCCCCTTGACTCTCTACTGATTTCATGTGGTATCCATTGGTTTATGGAGGTGTCCTACAATGGGGGTACCTGCAAGTCCATCCGTTTAAACAAGCGTTTCCAGTTCCATTATAAACCACCCATTTTGGGGATCCCCCATGACTTAGGAACCGGTTCCTCCACGGCTTCAACGGCCCAGCGTCTTGGTATCAAACGCCACGTCCAGGAATAGGTCACTGACCAGCTGATCAACTGAGGCGCGGCGGTAGCCGTTGAGATCCTTGGGAGCTGATCGCGGTGGGATGACGATTGGAATGATGATTAGAACTGGTTGGTAATATACTGTTAATATTAATGGTTAATATTAATGGTTATTGTATGGTTAATGATGCTTAATAATCATCTGGTTGGTGATTGGGTCCTACCCCTCTGAAAAATATGAGCTCGTCAAGTGGGATGATTATTCCCAACTGAATGGGAAAATTGAAAAATGTTCCAAACCACCAACCAGAGAATGTTTATAGGAGGGCTGTGGTTTGGGATGGTGAAATGGATTAAATGGATATTTCAATGATTAGATTTAAAAAAAAAATCTCATGATCATAGGATCATTCTTCGGATGATTTTGATGGGATGATTTATTGGGGTGATGGTTGGATCGATATAATGACAGGATTTCTATTGGGATGATGCTTAAAATGATTATGGAATGATGATCATTGTTGGGTTGGTTTGTTGCGATGACTCTTCTGATGATGATTTCCAAATGATCATAAGACAAATATGGGCTTATTGGGATGACTTGATTGGGATAAGTGGAATCATGAAACAATGATTATAGATTCATTGCCGGGATGGTTCGCAGAAGAATTGTCAGATGATCAAAGGATGATTAAATGATTGTTGTTGGGTTCATGTTTGGGATGATTCTTTTTTAAAAAAAAATCCTCGGTGGTTATGGCATTCTTGTTGGCATTGTTGAGATGATGATTAGAATGAGTCTACCATGATAAAAGAATCATTATTGGCATGAGGATTGGAATGATTCATAGAATGATTTTAGGATTATTATTGGGATGATTGTTGGAATGATTTGGGGGTGAAGGTTACAATGATTGTAGGATTATCATGAAATGGGCATTGGGGTGATGATTAGGATGATGTGTAAAATGCTTATTTCGGATAATTGTAGGATGCTGATAGGATCATTCTTGGGATGATTTTGATGGGATGATTCATTGGGGTGATGATTGGATCAGTTATAGGATGATGATAGGATTTCTATTCTGGGGTGATGATGGTAGGATGATTGTTAGAAGGGGTGTTGGAATGATTCTTGGGATGAGCATGGCATGATTATTGAGATGTCAACCATGCGGTGACCCTCCAATGCAGTTCTTAAGGGCGCATCTTAATCACCAACACCCCCCAAAATAAAGGTATACTTTAGGGGGTCACCTATTAAGCCCATCTATCATCGATTAAGGTGAATTCTGGGATGATTATTGCGATGATTGTGGGATGATGCGATCTTTATTCAGATGATTGTTTGATTCGTGACTAACAGTTTCCATTTAGTAAATTGCCATAAAAATTGCTGTAAGTAACTATATACTAAACCAGGGTTATAATATGTTGTAATCCAACAAATAGAACTGGCGGGTGCACCACATTATACGTCGCACACATGATTATAAACTATACCCATGATGTCAACGTATATATATATACGTATATGGTCATATGGTACGTAATTCCACTTACTGTAACTGGGTTTGTGCGGTTTGTGATCAAATAAGTGGTGTATGAAAGTGGTGATATAAAACAGTGGATATCATTTGGCTACGGGGATATCGGACATCATAGACATCATAGGGCTAAAACCTTCGAGGTGATCCCTTGTCAAAAGTAAAGCCATCAGCCATCGAATCCCCAAAAAAAAGCAAAAAATAAAGTGTGTGGCTACAATCCATCCACTAAAAATTCAGACAATGGAGATACAATTAGCGGGATATAGATGAAGATGGTGATATAGTGGATATAGTGGATATAGTGGATATAGTGGATATAGTGGATATAGTGGATATAGTGGATATAGTGGATATAGTGGATATAGTGGATATAGTGGATATAGTGGATATAGTGGATAGATATAGCTGGTACAATGAAAATATCTTACTGTACAAAGTCATCCTTTGCCTCCAACGGCGAAGAAAATGGGCGCCCCTGGGTCGAGGGCCGCTGGTGCCTTTATGTCAAGAAGCCGCAAGCCACAGCAGAAATGCCGCAGAGGATCGAGTCCGATCTCAGTGCAGCTCAGCAGCTCAGCATTGAGTCAGTCAGAATAGGCTTTCCAAAATTCCAAAAATATATGATATACATAGCAGAAAATATACATAATTCCAAAAATATGTGATATACATAGTTACATAATGGTTGCTTCATATACAGAACCAATAAGATTAGGTCAATAGGTCATCTTGCTGCAAAATGTCGGTATTCACATGCGTTCACACCAGATCTTTAGTATATACCCTCTGGTAAATTAACATAGCTATTGAAAATGGCCATTTATAGTCGATTTTCCCATTAAAAATTGTGATTTTCCATAGTCATGTTAAATAACCAGAGGGTAGTATATAACCAGTACCCTCCAACCATCAGCGACCTCCGACACTGCCAAGACACTGCTGCACTGTATCGCCAAAGGCCGAGGCATACGACCGATGGCTCCCACCAAGAGTTCCACCGAACGGGCCTGGTTCGATGGCTGAGGCACCAGTTGGTAGATGGTTTACCCTCTGGTAAACTAACATAGCTATGGAAAATCACCATTTTTAATTGGAAAACTCACTATAAATGGCCATTTTCAATAGCTATGTTAAATTACCAGAGGGTACCAATAGTTCCCAACTGGTGCAGGATTTCGCAACCATCCACAGGACAGCACATAGCAAAATAGCGGGAAAATCACGCCGTCGCCATGGCTGGGATGCAACACGCTATTTGTTGAATGGGATTAGAAACTCAAAATCTTGGGCTTTATTTTGGAACCTGCTTGGGCTTCATATGCAATTTGCCATGCGATCTCCCCCCAAAAAAAAAACGAAAAGGTGCCCTGCCTGTAGCACCCCAGCAGGATTGAAAGGGACGTGCTGCAATTCGGCGCCCCAAGAGGAAATGGTCTCCGGAAAGAAGTGGGGGTCCTAGGTAAAGCCCTGGCCGGTGCCACTCAAAATGAAAGAAAGGATGACTAAAAATGGAAGCACTCGTCAGTTAAGCGTTGGTCTTGTTAACTTTCATAAATGAGGTGGCGGATTGTATTTAAGGTGTCCCCGGATATAAGGTGCATGTAGTATGCAAAATGCATCAAATCAAATGTGCGGGGATCCTTGGCTGAAAAATGGTCGCGCAACTAATTTCGAGACACGGCCCCGATTTCGTGTTATTTTGTTCATTTCTTTATTGATCTTTTCAATGTCATTTTGTTTTTTCTCGTACATTGTAGGCAGAAACGCCGCCGGCTGCTCGACAAAATACTTTGTATTAATCTTTAAAAAAGGCCCGCCGCAGGCGCCACTTTTGAGTGTTTGAATCGTTGCCAAAAAGAATTGATTCCATCAATCTGAAAACCATTTAAAAATAGACGCTACACATTTTAACAGAAACTTTTTTTCGTGTTTTTGTTACTTTTCTTTTATGTTTATCTTTAAATATGTTTCTATTGTATTTTTTGTTATTGTGTGTTATATGTTTTTGTTTCTTATTTGTTTACTGTTTTTTACTTATTTGTCCTTACTTCTGTGGAAATTCAGCCCTTGAATTTAAGGAATTTCGACTTTTTCCACGATTGTTGTTTAAAAAACATGTTTAAATTCAATGTTTTTTTTTCCAAAAAACATCGTGGAAAAAGCAAAACCCTTTAGAATTAAGAAAAAAAAAGATTTTCAACCATTTTTTAAAATAATCGTGGAAAAAAGTCGAAATTCCTCCCTTGAATTTAAGGAAATTCTGCAGAAATAAGGAAAAATGAAAAAAAAAAAATTTAATAAACAAAAAAAACATATTTTAAAAAAATAGAAAAATGAAGTAAAAATACAAAAGATATAATTGTGTATAAATAATCATTGGTTTTCAAGGAATAAAAAATATTGTCTTTTCGGAAAAAAGGTTATATATAGAAATGGAAAATGAAAACATTGAAACAAATGAGTAAATGAAATATCCTTGAAATCGTAGTGAAGGTCTAGTTTTTAGATTGCTTTCAAATTGGTGGAAGCAATGTTCTTTGAGCGACAATCCAAATGCTCAAAAGTGGCGTCTGTGGCGGGCCTTTTTGGGGATTCATAAAAGATCCACAGAAAAGATTTGTCGTTGGCAGGCGGCAAGGCTCTGTCTGCCAAAAAAATGTCAAAATAATTTTAAACACCATACATGTAAAAACAAAAGACCAAGAAAAACAAGCATGAACATGGTTTGACAAATAAATAAATAAATAAATAAATAACAAAAGAACACAGACTTGAAGAATTAAAGAATGTATATAGATTATTTCTATGTTCATGCCCAACACAAACAGCTGCTGCTGTTGAGCAAGTCCAATGAGCTGTTGTAAGATGTTGTCAGTATTTGTTTTGGATGATTTCTTTAGGTGCCTGCATTCGTTTCTTTATGGCTCGTGTTATTTTCTGCGCATATTTTATTTTGACCTACGCTGTGAACAGCTACTAGTTTGTCACCCAAATCCTTCACAAAATGAGTCACGTGGATGGCTGCAGTTACCTGATTCAATGCAATTTGCTCAAAACCCTTTCAAACTGGATTTCAATCCGAAACAATTGGTTCGCAAATATCCTAAGCCTTATTTCCGTGTGATTGCCTTATTTCCTTGAATTATGAAAGTTTACAGCTGGTCTGGCTATGAAAATGAGACGGATATTGAGGAATCAATCCAGAATCATGTTTTCAAACGTAAATAAGTTTGTGCCAGAGAACATACACTGTTAAATAAATGAAGTTCCAGCGCCACTGTATATATAGTGTATATCTATATCTATACCTACATCCAATAATGTCCTTTTGGTAAAAATAGGTTTGGGCCGGTTTGGTATACCATCTATCATCATTTGCCTGTTGTTAAAGGGGTAAACAAACAAACCCCTCTATTAATCAACCAACCAATGAGAAAAGGACATCTATGCCTATATCTGCATCTATATCTATACCTATATCTATATCTTATCTCTCTATATATATATCTCTCTCTCTCTCTCTTACATCAACGCAAAAATGGAACCATTCACAACATCCCCTCTGTTTAACGGGGCATCCTTTTCAAACCAAGTCTCTGTTGCTGGATTCAAGTACAGCCATCCTCTCGTCCTTGGTGGCCAGAAGTTTCCCAAAATGGTTCAATATCCTAATAATATGGCCATATATGATCCCCCCCAAACATCCAAAACCACACAAAAAAAGGACCCCGAAAAATGGAGGTGTCTTTTTTTGCGTTAGGAAAATATATAAGGCCGGCTGCAGCCTGTCGAGTGCTCTGCGGATGTAGATCTTCACTAGGAGAAGAAACTTTAGCCTTCACAGCCTCAAACACAAGAACACCTTGCGATTCTAGCTCTTCAGGCTCTTCAGAATTGGAGGTTTCCTAAGTCATGGGAAATAAATGGAAATAACTTCAAATCCTCCAGTCGGACCTAGTATCAACAACACACCATTTTGGGGATCCCTGACTTCACCAGCGAATTCCCGGCAAGGTGGCTGGCTGGCGATCTGCTCCACTGCTGCTTTCGACAGATCCCCACACAGGAGGATGTCCCCAGGGATGGGCGGCAACTTGACGGGGAATTGCCTGAGGCGCTCCAGTAACTGTGTATTTTTTTTGGGGGGTGGCCTTTTTGGCCTCAGCTTCGCACCCTCAAAGAAAGACAAGTTGGCTCTCCAAAATTCATAAGAATTATATTGTTCTATATTTTTGGCGCCCAATTTCAACCACCCAATTTCAACCACCCCATCTATGTTTGGGGGTGGGGGCAAATGGTGGGCTGTCCGTATGGGTTTGGGTCAAACTTGGGCACGAATGAACCCAGAAATTGGATCGTGTTTAGCATTAAACAGTTCTAAACCATCCATTTGGGGGTCCAATCCATATCAATTTGTTCCCAGTATGCATGCACATAAGACTCTTAGGACTACTTAAGTAATATGTCCATACATGCATAGCATTTTAAACATCAAGAACTGTTTGAACAAAATGAATGAACTACAAAATATATATGATATTGTTGTCACAAAGACCATATGGCGCCCAAGTCGCTTTGCAAGGGCCGTCAGATTGGGTTCTTGGCTTTGCGAAGAGATGCAGCCCATACACGTTCACGGCCGCTGCACTTCATGGCCGGTGCGAAGAGTCAAGCTCTTCAGTAAACGCCGTAGCGACGTCATCCCTTGAGAATGAGGCTGCCATGAAGCGATGATCCAAGGGTCAAGGCTAAAAATGGGGATGTGAAAATAAGATAGAATCAGCGCATATACATATATACAATTATAATATATATATATATATGTAATGTAATGTAACGTAACGTAATGTAATGTAATGTTTATAATGTAATGTTTATAATGTAATGTTTATAATGTAATGTACCCTCTGGAAATTTAACGTAGCTATTGAAAATGACCATATATAGTGGATTTTCCCATTAAAAATGGTGATTTTCCATAGTTATGTTAAATTACCAGAGGGTAGTGTAATGTATGGTATGTATGTATGTATGTATGTATGTATGTATGTACGTACACCAAGCTCAATCAATGAGGATGTATCGGATACAGTATCACCAAAGAATCTTTGGTTGAGTTTTGACAGGAGAGAAAACTCAGTGAAAACGGGGCAGAAGAACCGTGAATACCATCCTCAATTTCGCCTGGGAAGATCACCCTCGCGGTGTGGGGGAGCATCGGGTCTAGATAATATGATAAAAGATATAGATATAAATATAGATATATATATATTATCAATAGATTCAATATATAATTAAATATAGATATAAAATGATATAAATATCTATTATCAATAGATGTGATAATATGATTGAATCAAAGGATCATGATCCAGTGCTATAAAAAAGAAGCTCTGAAAATTCGCACTTTTGCCTAAGATTGTCCTAGGTTCGACTAAGTTCCTTGATGCTACCCTGATTGTACCATGAGCTACCCAGATAGTTCGCCACAGGTGGCGAGCTAACAGTTCCCGGTACCGTTGTCTGCTTGAGGAGCCACACCATCCGGGTGGTAGAGGCTGCTTCAACATCTGTCTCCTTGGGACACCAGTGGAGCCCTCTTAACAAACTTCGGGTTGGAGGTGTTCCCCCATGGCTCCATGGGTGGCCATCATTGGACACCCAAAAGACTAAGCCGGTGGGGCCGACCAGGCCAACCAGGCCACCCCTTGAAAAGTTGGAGCTGAGCTCAACAAACTTCAGTGAGAACTATCCTCTGTGGATGACACAAAACTTCACCTACCTTTCCTGTTTGTGATGAGATTTTTAATGTCGACCTCGAAAAAACCCCTGGTGGATTCCCCATTTTTTGAATCAACCACTCGGAGGATCATCCCAATCAGTAACTGGTTAGTAAGTGGGCTTATAACAGATTATAACCAGGTTATAAATCTGATAATTAGTCCACTTGGGGGACTTACTACCAGCAGGTTTACTCGCCACTTGCGATTCCTTCCCGGATCCTCCGCAGTTAAACACTCTCTGGGCCTCCCGACGCCAGCTCATCCAGCCTCGGAGCAATACTGGCCCAACTTTATGTGAGTTGCCTGTTCAAGATCAATGCTTTTTAAGCACGTATCCCCCCCACCAAAAAGAACATACAACACAAAAAAAATGTATCTGTCTCTCTTGGTTGTGGGGCCGAACTGGCTTTAAATTTAGTACTTCAAGCCCAATCAAGTGATGCAATTATGGTACTTCACCAACAAGTAAGGCTATTTGGGGATAGTTCTCCATACTAACCATTATTTAGTGGCGTGACGAAGTGAGTTCGTTGTTTTTGAATCCAGAACTACTGTAAAGTGTAGCTTTCACAAAGCTAGGACCTTAGTCAACCTTAGCAATGCCAAACGGCCCAACGCCCAGGCAGACCCCCTGTGCCAGGCTAAAACCCCCTGTGCCAGGCTAAACAATGACCAACAATATTCAACATAACTATTTGTTGAATAGTCTATATCTTCATTTTTTTGACATCCAAGATTTATTGCTTGTTTCGACTTTGCCATTTTTTCTCATCCCTGGTCGTGAAGGGGCAAAAAAAAAACACCACGACGACGACAACAAAACACTCCCGGGGCGCCAACCACTGCGGTGTCTCTGGCAGATCTGGGTCAAGCCTTGGATCTCAACAAACCCCACGAGCTAATGGTCCATCCCAAGTTCAGAATACTATCTATATATATATATGTGTGTGTGTGTTCCGTGGTTTGTGGCATATCATGGCATATCTATGTATGTACATACGTATGTATGCATGCATGTGTATAATATATATATAAGTATATATATATATATAGTTATATAATATATATATATATAATTTATCAAAACCATCTATATATAGTGAATCGGATTTTTTTTCCTCAGTTGGATTTGCCGTCCGGTCAGCTCCATGTTTGATTACCGGTGGGAGGATAGCAGCTGATGATTAGCTGATGTCAAAATTGTCAAATGAAAAAACATGAAACTAATTGAAGTCGAGGACCTGGAGCATACCCTCCTCCAACAGACCTCAAATGAACCGGGAATCCTTTCATAAACCATCTTCAAATGGCATGGGGTATGCTCCAGAGGTCTGGTGTATCCTGGATGAGGAGCAATCATAGCATGGCATGGCTCAAAAGTGTCAAATTTGAGGTCACTTACTACTGTAATGATTGTAGAAAAAGCACCAAAATCTGAGGGTTGGAACCTAATAATTGGAACCAACAACCATAAAATGCCAAAACCGGCTCGCTGAGTAATTCAGGGATGGCGGTCGCGCGGGTTTTAGAACTTGGAGTGATGATCATCGATATTTAAGCGCACAAAGACCTGCTTAGTTTCAAGGCCCAGCCTTGCAACCATCAGTGATCATCAATGGTTCTCTTAAAATGTTTGGTCACGACCAGGTACATATCCTCCGGTCATCAAACGTGGCTGGCTGGAAAATCACACATAGAAATGATCAAAAGAGATTTAAAGTATCTATTTCTGGCCAATTGTCTCACAAACAAAATATATGGTCTAGCGCCATGTTTGATTTTCGGAGGGTACCCATCATCATCATCATCATCATCATCATCATCATCCTTAGGATCTTCACGCCTTTGCAGCTGTGTGCAACTAAGTGTTTCTACTAAATTATCATGCATGTTAAACTCCCTACTACCAGATCTCTCCTGGAAGTCTTGGTTTGGTCTTGGATCTACACCGGAGTACTCGTAATTGGGGTGCCCATATCCCAAGATTCTTGGAGCCTCCGTGCCCCCCCCCGGAATATGCACCTTGTTGTCGGCGTTTCAGAATCTGTCCCTGTCGTCCCTGTCTCCTGGCGGAGAGTGCATGGCCTGTTTTGCAAACCCCAACTTTGCACATCTTTGTTGGTTAAAGAGGAAAAATCACCACCGTCGATGAAATCCCGTGTTTCTTTGCCGCATTTTGCTTCGCTGGTCAAATCGTGGCTGGTCGCTTCCGCTGGCACTGGAACTTGCTCCGATGCCAAGCTGAAAACGCCATGGCGAGCCGAAAATCACTTGCTGCGCGGCAGAGATCCCACATGGCGCCCCATGGGCGATGCTATTGTGATGAGGTCCTGGATGCCCCGAAACTTTCGGTGGAACCACGCCGTCCTTGCTATTTTGCTTAGTAACTACCCTCATGATCTGATGGTGGAAGTCTTGTCACATGGATTTCTGCCATTAAATCTAGCGGCCTACCTCTCTGAGGGATGGCTAGCAAAGGTTGAAGGCGTCGAGACAAATCCCTGGGTCCGTTTTGATCCGTTTTGCATATGAGTCCGTGAGAAGAAAAGATATGCAGGTGGCGAAACTGATCTGGATACCGGAAACTGGTTGATGTCTATATTGCATAGTATTGTATATCATTATGCTATTGCTGTTAGCGCACAGGATATGAATGTTATTGAATATTAATCATATACTGTAGCACGTATTTTATGTATTATCTCTACTATTGTGAAGGCCAGCATTGTTTCTATTATCAGTTGAGTCACTTATATCTTTGTTATTGTTATCGTTATCAATAGTGTTTTTCTTATTATTGCTATCAGTATACAATGCTAGAAATACGGCTAAATCAATGTTGTTATGATTGTTTTCATGATTAAAGGAGAAAAGACCTATGTTTGATCATGGCTGCCATGTTCTGTTGCTCATCTTCAGGTTCTGTTGATTTCAATCCCTGTTTTGATGAAATCTCGTAGCCCTTGGAATCAGGCCAATCAAATGCCATGATTCACGCCATAATTGGCACGCCTTCACCTTGCACAGGTTTTGTCGCCAGGAAGATTTTTCACTGAAAACTGGAATTCACGAGCTGTTCGTTCGTAGCCGTGAGATAGTGGTCCGAAACGACTTCCTCCATAGATTGTCAGCCTTTGGGTTTTGTGGAAGATCCTACAGACTGAGATTCATCCTGAAATTGAAAATCTAAGCTTGTTATACAATGCTTCTGCAGGAATAATGATTGATGATATGTATCTTGGGAATAACATAGCTATGCTAAATGATGAATAATCTTGATGGTATAATATGTATCCTGATAATATATCCATTGATGGTAAATTGGGACAAGCTATGCTAAGCATTCTCTCAAAGATTCCACCCAAACCTGGCACCTTCGGGAGTGAAGTGACCATTTCAACCAGCCGATGCTACTGGTCACCTGGATATAGTATATATTGTATGTTATTTTATATATATACACACATACATGTATAAATTATGAATCATATTATGGATTATATGTTATCATATGTTGTTATATTATACAGTATTGTATGATATAGTATTACATTATATTTTATTGAATAGTATTGTATTATATTTTATGTTATATTATATTACTTATAATATGATATATATAATATCACATCTGTGTGTGTTTCGGGAACATACTCTCAAAATTTTGATTCAACATCTTGTCTGCCACTGTCCCACGCTGCTGGTTTTACGTCCAGCTGTTGCTGGGGGAACCAAGTTGGCCTTGGCACTTGAACCAATAGCCTGAGACCTCCACAGAAAAAGTGCAGCAATCTTTCTTGTTCACTCTCACAGAAAACACGAGAAAAATGTATGAAGATGCATGAAACATCAAACATCCCAGGTCCGATCAGTTCTTAAAACCTCTCAACCTCCCTCAGTTCATCATCAGTGCGCTGCTGGCGCGGCGTTCCACATCATCTGCCAAGCGCAACAAGATGCGCCGCGCCAACTGTCGCGCGAAGCGCTGCGCGAAGCTCGCTGCACCTGGAGTGATGCTGGGTAGCAACCCCTGCGCCAAAGGCTGCAAACGCTGGAGCCTTTGCACTGTCCTTGGGGACGGTTGGCTGATGTTGGCTGCTAAAGATTGCCGCCAGACAGGGGGGTCCTCAGAGATTTGCATCTCGCTTTTGGGGGGAGGATACGTCGGATACGTGTTGAAATAGTAGGCAAATTGCAAATGGCTGCAAGCCACCATGATTCAGACTGGATTTGGGGTTGTCTTTGGGTCGCCCAGTCGCCAATATCCCTTCAATCAATCACTTCATCCCACCTATGGACTGGTCCAATGCCAAGCATCTGCAGCACATCAGTGGTTTCATTTTCAGCCGCCTCCGTCCGAGAGTTGCTTCTCGAAGCATCCACCAACTGCACAATGCGGCGAAGCACCAACAAGGATTCTTTGTCCTGCGGCGAGTCTGTGATGATGACCATCATGATTCCTTTTTTGACTCTGCCATCCATGTCTTAGGGGTCAATAAATGTGGGTCCCAAATGAAAGCTTGGTGCTAATAAGGAGTAATAAGGGAGCCCCCGTTCAGAAGCGATGAAGAATACTCCCATCTCTCAAAATCTCCCAAGTACGAAATGCTACAAACCAGGGATTCAAAGTTTGTTCAATATTTGGAGGAAGTCATCGCAGCTAATCTTCCTGCATCCCAGGAAAGTTCAGGGACGGACCTAAGTCACCATCCATAGGATTCATATATATATAATATATATATATATATATCCCATCGAAAATCCCATACGGATTCATGCCAACCTTCGACTTGGAGTCTCACAGTCTCAGCCCTGCCATCCCCCCACACCCTCGCCTCCCTACTCAAGATCCGCTGTGGGTTACCACTACCCAACAAGAAGTTCAAGGGCAGGGTCAGTGGCAACGCTAATGGCCCCAGATTTCTGAGGAGTTGCAACAGCGTGGCGCGGGACAGCGCGTCAATGGCTGCAACACCCTCGTCGATCAGGAGGTCTTGTAAGAAGTTGCCCTGGCCACAGCTACTGGGTGCTACATGCTACTGATTAGTGAGTTAGTTTGCTAACTGATATGGCATGGCTGTTCTTAGTGTACGCCCATCTTCCCCCTCTTTTTGGATTTCAGCAGGGCACAGCCATTGAAATTCCCCCTGCCTGGGGCGAGAACACCACCTCCGCAATCTCCTTCGACGCCGAGTCCAGCGTGGGCGCCGTTGCAGCCGCGGTCGCCGCGTCGTGGCCGTCGGCGCGGGCAGAGTCTAAGCGGACGCCGCCGGCAGCGGCAGATTCGCTGCGGCTGCCCTGGTTGACGCGGGGAGGAGCAGCTGACAGGTTTTCCTTGAGGGTTTCCCTTGTTTTCCTGGTGAAAATTTTCTGCAGTTCACATGAAGATTCGAAATTTGAAATTTGCATCAGTTTACAAAGACCGCGTCATGCGCCAGTTGGTGGTCTTATTCTTCTACACTAGCCGTTAAGTCCTGTCCTGCAGGGACGCCCAATTTGAATGGCTGGTGACTGGTGGTATTTGGAGCTGTGGGTCAAAAACATCGGAACCCTGGTGACCATTCCAAGAAATGAACCACTCCGATGGTCTTGATTGGTAGATTCACCCATGTTTTGGGGTCATGAAATATTGCTAAATGGATCTATATATTTATAAATGGATCTATATAAATGGATTGGTTTACCAGAAAGCCTACAGAAAAGCACAGTTGTTACATACTCCGAAATAGCTCATCATAGATATTAATAGATATTATGGCTTCCTTATTTTTATTAATGCCATCAATTCCCATTAACATCCGCATTTGTTGTTATGATCTTTAATGATTTCCCATTAAAACCCTCCGGGAAACTGCGCGCCTTCATCAAGTTGGTGAAGGTGCCAAAGCCGCTAGAGAGCTCGTCGATGCGCGACACCGCGATGCGCGAACGACCCTTGTAGAGATATGACCTGCGCAGTGCTGTGCCCGACTCGGCCGCTGGATGGGGTGAGCTGCTGAAAAAACATCGAGAATTCACAGGTGGTTGTGTGATGATGTTTCGCAAGCCTCAAGCTGCCATGTTTATCCACGTTTTTGGGGTATGGCATGTGGGAATCAATCACTAGAAGCGTGAATCAACAATGCACTTTTCGCTGGGTGTCTATGCAGATCTTGGTGAAAGCTGGTTCGAGAAGATTGACAGAAATTTGAGCGCAGAACCGCAGAACATACTGTATCTGTAATCGTATTGGAAAGCTTTTCAAGAACAACACCTCCATCAAGTTGTTGACCTGGTTTTGGGAGCCGTTGCCACCCTATCTAAAAGCCATAAACCATTTCGAGGGGATCAAAACCTATTTTCCGGAGAATGACAAGCCATTTTACCAGCTACGTGCATATAGAAAACCATGGCACCAATCTGGCACCAATCTGGCACCAATCTGGCACCAATCTGGCACCAATCTGGCACCAATCTGGCACCAATCTGGCACCGTGCCGCCTCAACGCCTCCCGCATTCGGAAGCTGTCGTCTACGATCAAGCGTCGCGCGATGTAGGGGAAGCACTCCTGCACAGGCGACTCCATGGAGTCAGAATGGGTTGCTTAGTTGAATCATTTTGTACCCTCTGGTAATTTAACGTAGCTATTGAAAATGACCATTAATAGTGGTTTTTCCCATTAAAAATTGTGATTTTCAATAGCTATGTTAAATTACCAGAGGGTAGGTCATAAAGTCATACAAGTATCATGTCTGCTCATGGTTGAAAGTATATGGGCTATCATGGGCCCATTTCTTGTGCATCAGCTGAACCTGGGATCATAGAGCCATGTCTCCTTAACGATGGCGAAGTTCTCATCGGATTTCAAGCCCAAGCCTGGTGAAGGCGAAGTACAGTCCAGGGCTCTAAAAAATCCCAAGGCTGGTGCGTTGGCAGGGGACTTGAAGGTCAAATTCCTGCAAACATCACAGCGACAATCCCAACAGTTTGCCTCTTTTCTGAGAATTCGGAGAAGCCGAAGACCAACCAACAAACTATATAAGATCTGATAGATCTGGAGATTTACCCAAGAGAAATCCCAAAACAAGATGCTTTTGGATATCTTCGGCACCTTCCAACGTCCCGAAGGCGCGCAGGATCAGTGTGAAGTAGGGAGGCAGTCGGAAAGCTCCTCCAGCTGCAGGCCGAAGGAAAAAACAAACTGGTCCTTTGTCAGGTGCAACACCCTCCCCGTGAGAAAATCTTATCTTAACAAATTACTGCGGTTCTGGCAAATCGCGGAAACTCATCTTGCAAATTGATATATTTGGGGATCCCATCTGGTCGGCTCTGCGGTTTGAAGAGATCAACGATCGTATGTAGTCCATCTCCCTATGCTGCATATGCAGTGAAACAGCATGTTGGTGGTCACGGCCTGAGGAACGGGAGCAGAATGGATCCAAATCAGTGAAGTAGTGAAGGATGCGACAAGCAAATGTAGCAAAATCCAAACTTGGGGGGTTACTCTTATAGTGGCCACCATTGAAATGATCCATTCAACGATATTGGTTATCCATTTATCCATTCATTTAAAAATAGTATGCAACTATTTGGAAGGTTCCTAAAATAGTGGCACCCCAAGTCACCATGGCTTTCAATACTAAGTCATGGTCAATCTATGTCAATTTATTTGGATGATTTGGGGTACCCCTATGACTTAGGAAACCGCCATTTCGCTGGTTAAGATATTGGGTGTTGGTTGCTTCATTCGTTGTCGCAGCTCCTGCGTACTTCTTGGAAATGGCCTGCAACCTGAGAACGCAGACCAGCTGCCGCTGCCCCGTTGAATGGGTGGGGCACCCCCAAAAAAAACAATGCAAGAAAACATAAATGTGGCTGAAGCCAACAATAAACCATCTGAGGAAAATTATGGTGGGCATACTACACAATAAACCGCTATTCGGGATGGTTTATTGGCTTTACCACGTATGGGTTTTCGCATCAGCTGTTCAGCTGCGGCGCTTTTCCCGCAAACCATCCAACTTTCCGGCTTGTTTCATTTCCTCGCGCTGCTTGGCGAACATCTCGCGTTTCTTCTTCAAGTCGCCGCCTTCCTGGAAAAATCAACAAATCAGCACGCGCAAAGCGACACAAGAAAGTCACTCCACAGCACATCTGTGACACCCAGGGAATTGACTTTTGACAAAAAATGGTAATTATCAAAATTATCATCAAACTTATCATCAAAATCATCATCATCATCATCATCATCGTCATCGTCATCGTCATCGTCATCATTGGAATCGTTGGAATCATTGGAATCACTGGAATCGTTAGCATGTGATTGTTTAACAATACGTACGTACATGGGTAATAGCAATATATGATAATAACTCAATCATCAGAACAATTGCAATAACCTTTACAACATATAACAACTTCATATTTTTCATAGTTAGAATCACCAAACAAAAGCACTTTTGGGGAATAATGATCGTTCACAGTTTTTGAATCACCAAAACAAACATGATAATAATACTGTAATATATCATATTCATTCAATAATCATCAAGACAATCACCAAAAAAATATGATAATCCCATTGGTGATAATATTACAATATTATTGGTTCAATTAATCATCAAGACAATCCCATTGGTTCTTAATTATGGTTAAAATGGTCAAGAATAGTTTTAAAAGTGTATCATAATGGTTGATCATGGTTAATAATGGTCAAGAATGGTTCAAAAAAATGATTAATCTTCAATAATCACATTCCATTAATAATCACAATAAACACGATAGTCATGAATATTATCCATTTTAGCAGATCAACAATATCAGCAGATGGACCATTAATGGACCATTAGCTGATCATATTATCATTCCATTGAAAATCCAATGATAATGATAATCACTGGTTGGTGAACTCCTCTGAAAAATATGAAAGTCAGTTGGGATGATGAAATTCCCAACTGAATGGAAAGTCATAAAAGTCATGTTCCAAACCACCAACCAGGAATAATCAGCATCCCCCGCAATGGACTTCTGTCCTCGTAGAGGGTGGCCAAGGTGGTGGCCAAGGTCGGGACGATGATGTCCAGCGCCTCCTTGTCCTCCTTCAAGGCCTCGAGATGGAGATTTTCCATGGCCGTAAGGCTTTAAGCATGGTGAAAGCATCTAAAATGGGGCTGAAATATTGGATTTTTCGGGGAAAATCTAAGGTTTAAACTGTTTAAACCATCTAAAGTTGAAAAAAAAAATGGTTTCAAAGCAATTGAAGGGAAATTAAAGCCTGAAACTGGTTGAAACCATGTTTTTCACCATCTTTGTTTGGGGTGTTCTTTTAGGTTTTCCCATCATCCAATTTTGGGATTGATAATTCTGGCCACTAACATGCCTAGTTGTTCTTTACAATGAATTTGCCCTGCTATAGATTGTTGTAGTAATATAAAAGATTATAAAAGTATCCGGCTAGAATAGCTCAGCTGCTGCTGTTGACACAATACTCAGCTGAGTATAGCGGTCTTTGACAAGAGTAAGTGAGTATAAGTGAGTACTATGTCAAGCTGTTGTTTTTGGACAAGCTGATATTAGAAGAAATGACTAGGACAAGGAAAAATAACAGCATAGACAGGAATGACTGCATGAATGTACACCGAGCCGCCTGCACCCAGAACCGCCAGGGAATCCTATGAAATTTTGGCAACGAAAACATGATCAAACCTCCAGGGCCACCAAGTGGTCACCAAGCCACTGGTGGGAAGAATTCCAAGTTGATGAGATCTGACAAGCAGCTGCGGTATTCTTTTGCTTGCCTCGATGGCGGCATGGCTACGGATGCTGGCACTGCTCACCTCCAGCCATTCAGTTGTCAGCATCCAATTCAGCAAATCGTTGGCCAAAACGGACCGAAACAAGGTGGCTTGGAGACCACTTTAACATATTATATACCCTCTGGTAATTTAACGTAGCTATTGAAAATGGCCATTAATAGTGGATTTTCCCATTAAAAATTGTGATTTTCCATAGCTACGTTAAATTACCAGAGGGTAACCATATTCCAACGCACATCTGCCACAGCCCATCCACCTATCCACCTATCCGGGCTCGGGATCAAGTGACAGATGCATCAAGAACTCGATGAAGGACATGCGCTTGTCAGCAGTGATTTCGGTCATGAGCCCATAATCCAAGATACCCAGCCGCCCATCACCTTGGAAAGCTGAGGGGTGCAGCTGGCCCAGTACCTCCATGCCACTTCCCCCAATTGCCCATAGCTGGCAGATCTAAAGGTCGCCCGAAAAAGTCACGCCATCAGTTATCCATGTGAAACCCACACTCTAGGACCTATCCAAAAGCTCAGCACCAAGAAACAGTGCCGTTTTCCATCAGGTTGGATGATCTGCACTTTCTGAACAATCTTCAAGTGACAACAATCAGCGGAGCTCCCGCCCCTTCAGAAACTCTGGGCTACCCTGGTTTAGTGCTGGATCTGTTCATATCTTTTAATCAGTTGTGCTGTTGCTGTCCCGTTTTCGGGGGACTTCTCAAATCTTCTCATAAAGACTGCGAACCACAACTCAAATCCCCCCACATCCCCTCAAAAAACCCTCACTCTTCGCCCAAGACACCCATGAGGATGAAATTTCCAGGATGCGGGTCACCATGCAGGTAACCCGTTTCCAGGAACTGAACCATGTAACTGTTGAGCAGCAGCCTGGATTCCCCCATGGCCTGCAATGCTAGATCCGATTGTAAACCAACCCAGCAAAATCCAGTAGCAAGAGTTAAAAGCCCTTTGATGGGAAAATAAGCTAGGCTAGATACAAAACTAGAAAGAACTTTGAATTGATGGATTAGATTCTGGGAGTATGGAAGGCTGGCTCTACGAATCACCCCACTGGTCCGTAGAATAGTTGTGCATCACCACTCAAACTCATACCCAAATTATCCCAAATTAGTGCAAATGTAGGAAAAGGAATGAAAAAGATAGGTGACCACCCCAAATCAACCACATCTCTTGTGAATTTGACCATTTTTCCCGACAATGTCACCATGACTTGGGCCAGTCCAGGCGACTTCACCACGCGCCCAGCTTGCTCCGAGGCGGCTCCAGGCTCCGTCAGCTTCTTGCCATCCAGCCACTCCTGCGAGAAATCAACCCACAGACCCAAGTTTCATACATGGATATGGGTCAAAACCCTGGTACCTAGTGAACCTCAAAATAGCTGGGATTTATGGATGTTCATCCCCCTAAAAATGGTATTTTCATAGGTATTGATTCATAGCCACATCTGATGCTCCAGCCAAAAGATCCCAAAGGTCGGGGCCCGCCTGCACCAAAACCTCACCTCACGGCTTGCACGGCTTGCACGGCTTGCACGGCTTGTCTGTGCCCTAAATCCGTGGGTTCTTCATTGTCTCTCTTACAGTGCCCATTTGGAGGTATACCCCATTTTCAGACACGCCCAAATGAAGAGAAAACTCTCGCGGAAGCCCCTGGTTATCATTAGATTCATCAGATGTCAATCTCTCAACCACTGGTCCAAAGTTTGAGACACCTTTAGCATCTGACAGTCCATGTCTCATCATGATGGTTTTCTTGTCACTAGAATTCCAATCATCAGCTCGATGCCGCTGAGGATTTACACCAGTGGCTTCTGACCATCCAAAAACACCACCCAAGACCACCACCAGGCCCAAGTGGCGGTTGGCGAACAAAATCTCCGGTACCACGATGGTGTCGCGGATCAGCTCGCAGTCCTCCACCGTCTGCGCAAAGCGGCGCTGGTTGGAGGCCTCGATCTCATAGTCCAGTTCCTTCACGAAGGTCGGAGCCGTCAGGTCGATCAACTCCTGCAAGGTCGGGGAACCGGGGAACAGCTGGGGTGGAAACAGGAACACGGGAAGCAGAAAGAAGAGCCAAATGTTAAATGCTCTTAGTAAGTCTTAGACTCCTTAGACATGAAATTGATCAACAAAAGGGGTGAAGCACTCTGACTCGCGCGTTGCCCACTGGTGCGTTCCACATCTGCCAATCTGGTCCACAATGAACACCAGCAAGGTCATCCCTTTATACTGGTTGGTTGATTGGGATGGTGAGAATCCCCAAGATAGAATGGCTAGTGAAATCCCGAAACTCATTTACGACTATGTATATCACTATGTATGTATATATATGTGTGTGTGTGTATGTATGTTTCATGATTTAAATCTCATGACGTTCCGAAATAATGATCAACCAAGAATCTTCAAGAATCAAAAGAACAAACAAAAATAACACTCATCCTAGAAATACTAACTTAATAAAAATCAACCAACAATATAACAATACTAGTCACTACCCTGCTGGACCCGGGACTCCATGAGTTGCTGCGACTGCCGTCGGATCTGGTCGAAGGGCAGCATGGCTCCCAACGCCCCGGCAGTACGGATCACGTAGAGGTCCAGTGTCGACTGTTCCCGGACCTCACTCGCTGGTGTCATTTCACCACCAAAAGTTTGGGATTTTATGGAAATTAATGAGTGCGTGTTTGCTGGAAATTGTGAAAATTTTGAGACATGTGGTGTTTTTAACCAAGAAAAAATTGGATAGATCCCCTCAACGATCCCTGGTGCACAACGTACGACTGCTACGGGAAATGGCTGACGCTAACCCAAAATGATCAGCTCCAAATGGAAAGTGCCATGATGTTTGGCCACCCATCTTCCATTCCTCCGGCCCCGCACTGAACTGTTTGGTCACTTTGGGTTACCCAAATCTTCACCGTCATTCCCGTGACGTCGCGGCGTGAAGTCGTCGTTTCAACCAGAATTATAAATGGAGTTATACACTATACGTGATTAACATAAAATATATAGTTATATATAATACATCTATACATACGTATATAATTAATATGTCTATATAAATATATATATATCCTAGTAATATCCCATTAACCCATGATCTTTCCCAGAAAACCTATGATCTCCCATGCAATACACCCAGCTGAAAGTTTCACGGCTTCAAATTGAGTCACGTCAGGACGCTGCACCTTCACCGCCACGGGCTTACCTGGGACGGGCCCAGCCATGAAGCTTTGAGAGCTGAGAAAAATCACCGTTTCATGAGAAATCGATGGTTTATCCCACTTTTTTTTTTCGGGATCCAACCATCCCAGGTAGATTTCCATAGAAGATCCTCAAAAAAATTGGCGATGTTCATCGATTTTCCAGAGTTAAATAACCAGAAGGGTGTCCCAAGTCCCATGGACGTTGCCAGCCAAGCTGCCGTTCATGGTTGCCTTGTACACTTGACCTCAGGGGGCGCAAGGCGGGGCTGTAACCTGGCCAACTGGGACCAGTGTTGAAGGGAAGAGCGAATCGGAAACATGTTTGAAAATGATACTTATGTGCATATATATATATATATATATATACATATACACATACATATAATATATATATATGCTGATTTGCGATAGGCGCCGATTGTGTCAAGTAAGTGACTACAGGAGGAATTCATTTTTGCTGAACCTGCCGCAGCGAACTCTCGCTCCCGCATGCAGCATTACAAAAAATATGCTGATATGCTTAATTGCATCTATCACTTCACATGATATTGAACTGCTCTAGCAGCGAGCATCTGGCTCTGGTTACAGAAAAGTCCAGACTGAAGGAGCGCTCTAGTGTTCCTCTACAAAGGGGGCATGCCAAACATCGCAGTATGACCCCCGTGGGATCATTTTGGACAAATGTCAGATTCAAGGTTGAAACCTCCAGCCTGCATGCCATCTCCAAATCATTCTCCAATCCATTTTTTTTATTTTTGTTTGCATGTCTGCAATGGAAAAGCCCTCCAAATCACAAGTTTAACAGTGAAACTGCGGAACTGCTGAGAAACGCAGGGGATTTGGTGGCTTTCCCCATTCTGAGGCGAGCATCCCACCGAAGCGGATGCCACAGGTTCGTCAAAGACGCTCAGGTCTGAGAAGAGCTCCTTTTTTTTGAGCCAATGGGGTGATCAGTTTAAGGGAACATCTTGCAGGAAACCTGGGAAAATCATGGGAAAAACATGGGAAAGCCGGAAAGACTATGGTTTCTTCCGGTTTTTCCAACAAAACCTACCCATCGAGATGACTTAGAAGTGGTGCATATGGCTATCACTTGTGTAAGTTAAAGCCTATGATGCCACCATCAGCTGGGATGAAGTTTGCACACGACACTTGCAGAAACTGCGCCAAAAACATCCCAAAAAAAGACATCGGCAGCCTGTTTTGGGGGACCTCATCCAGCTGCAACCCCAAAAGGACTCGTTGAACCATCCCAATTGGGGGCTGCTGGTTCCCAGTCCTTCCCCGAAGGCCCTTAAAAGCCATCAAGTCACGATGGCTGGACGCCCGTTCTCCCCACGTCGCAAGGTCTCCAAGGCCAAGTCTTTGCCAAAGGGACGGACCTGTTCCAGCAGCTTCTCGTACTCCTGGCAATGGCTCGGGAACTTGGGAAAAACTCAGAGGAAACCATGGGAGGTCAACCTCAAATCTAGGGCTATCCTGCAAATGTTCTGACAACAATTGGAATTTGGGTACAATCAGCCTCTGCAGGGTTGGCGAGCTTCGTTTTTGCACACTGTTGTGTTGATTGGGGCCCTGGGAAATACCAGAAAATGGATCGTTTTTAATAGCAAAGATTCAATTTGGATCATATTAGGTACCGGTTTAAGCCATACCTCTATATGTAGATTGGTGGCTGGTGCCATGCATCTTGACATGGTAAACTCGACTTGACACATGACGATCTAAAGGATATCAAACGATGGGGCAAAAGTATTAACAAGTACCCTTGAAAAACTTAGGCACGGCCGCTTCATGTGGCAAACCCAATGGTAACCATGCTTTTGAGGTTTGTAAAATCCATCAAACATATGTGCATGTGCATTTGTATAAATATGTATGTGTGTGTGTGCATCTGTGTATACATCTAGTATACATATATATATATCCCTCCGGGGCGGACGTTCGCCCAAAGTTTCACGGGGGTTAGTTACGTTGTGATTTGTTCAGGATATATGTCAGATTGTTTTAGGGTTTGCTTAGGGTTGGTTTAGATTTTCTTTAGGGTTTGTTTAGGGTTTATTTAGGGTTTGTTTAGTTAAGTTTCGTATTATTTAGGGTTGTTTTAAGGTTTGCTCACGGTTGTTTAGGGTCTATTTAGGGTTATTTATGGTTGATTTAGGGTTGGTGTGGGGTTTGTTTAGGGTTTATTTAGGGTTTATTTAGGGTTATTTTATGTAGTGTTCTTTCAAAGTCTTGCGGTTTGTTGAGGTCTCAGTTAGCGGCTCGAAACACTGCAAATTACGGAGGATATCTTTGAGATACCTTCAAAACATGATTTTGGCACCGTCTTAGGTAAGCACAAAAATGCCACGAGACGCAGGTAATATCAATATGTTGCATGCTCGCAGTGTGCGAAAAACACGCACGGAAACAACACAGCAGATTGCAGTCCCGCATAGAATTCCGTGGATTTCGGGCAAACGTAGAGCCCCTAGCGATATATATATATGTGTGTGTGTGTATGTATATGTATCTTAGTATGTTAGTATATACATATGGCATATGTATATATATATATATGCTTGAATTCAAGGCCAACGTAAGATGCAACCCGAGAGCCTTCAGGTATTCCTTGGGCAGAATATCTGGCCTGCGGCTCCAGGTCAAGACACACCCTCTGCTGCAGTTTGCTATGGAACATGTCCCATTTATAGACGATTTGTCTATTGAAAATGATGATTTTCCAGGCAACTGTTGAATTACCAGAAGACCCATTGTTGCCGCAGATGATCTTCGTTTTACCATCAGGGATCAGCCAGGTCCAAGTGAAGGTCTCCAATTTCCCCAGCGTGCCTCGAGGCCCACACCTGCGCGATCTTGATGAAGGTCACCCCCAAATCCGTGATGAGTTCCCTGGCTTCCACGGCTCGCTGCGGCCGCATTTCGTCAGAGCGGTTCAACAGCTCATCCACTTTCAGCTGAAAGGTGTAGCCTCGGCACTAGGGCTTCAGCCGGACCTTCTAAAACCAGCTGCGGCCTGTGACTCTTTCAGGAGATGGTCGCGCAAGTTATGAAGTGGCCCCTGGTTTTTACCACAAAGGATGTCACCAACAACCTACCCTCTCCCACAAAAATAAGGAAATTAAGGAATACCTGTCTTCTTCTATGAGGAAAGCAAAATGGTTTAGAATCTCACGTTCCCTACTTTGCCATACGGGGCTCGATCCCACATTTTCCACACACAGTAGCTTCATACCCCATAAAATGGTTGGGTATGATCCATTGTGGACCCAGGAAGCCCAAGCAGGAAGCCAAGCTACCTCCAACCTTCAAACCAGCCTCCACGAACCTGCACCAAGCGCACGAGTCAGAAAACACTCACCCGGAAATGAGGAAAAAACATTAGATCGGCATTCTTATAATACCATTAGATGTTGAATTTAAAATTTAGGTATATTTGGGCTGTGGTTTTATATGGTTTTATCATGCTTTTATATGGTTTTATCATGGTTTCATACGGCTTTATAATGTTTTCTATATGGTTTTATTATGGTTTCAATGGTGAAATCCTCACATGTTTATGTCTCCTGCCTGATCCAATTGATCCCTTGATCCTATCCCGTGCCTGGAGATCAGTTGGAAAGGCCTGCGCTGCCAGTAGCTCCGAATTCGGCCGAAGTCCTGGGTGAATTCGGAGAAAAACAGCAGAGCTAGGCTTCATAAATTGCTTCATAATGGTTCAGTGATATATGATATAACTATCATATTATATATATATCTTGATATAACTTGATATAACTACTTAACCAACTCATATATAATAAGTTGATAGAACTGTAAAGAACTTGGTTTATATTTAAAATAAGTTGGTTGAAATGGGGGCTATTTTTACCAACTTATATCAACTTATTATATCCTGGATTGGCGCCATAAGCTCAGGGTTTTTTGCCCATTGAAATGATTGGATGAGGACTCCCAAGGGGGAAAAAAACTCATCCGAAGACACTGGGATGTTACCACACATCAAGCAGAGGAGTTGGCCTGTAAAAAGAGGTCAGCTGTTTGGAAGAAATCCTTCACCCTTTTCCTCAAAATTCAGAACTCCAAAAGCAGTGACCACAGATTTCCATGGGTTGGTGTTCAAGTTCCAAAAGAAAAACGACTTGTTATGTATAACTTGAATCTCTATTTGTGTAATGCAATCCACACCTTTTACATCCTTTAACCAAGTGTTTGTTTGGTGTGTCGACCAAATCCTCACCTGTTTTGGCACACATGTGATCTCTTTCTCAGTGTCAAATCTGTTCCCAAAACAAACATGGTGCAACATGGTGCAATTCGGTGCAATCTTCAAAAGGAATGGGGAAGATCATGGCAGCCAACATGGTCCGCATCGGCCCAGGCGCATAGTCCCTGGGCAGTTCGTCCAACCAGGGCTGAGGCCCACGACGCAGCGCCAGCAGCGCCACAAGGGCGGTGCCCACGCCTCACCAAGGGCCAAAACCATGGGAAAATCTTGGGAAACTACCAGGAAAAGTGGGAAGCAACCGGGAGGGCTGGATATAACCATGAAAATCTTCGGAAAAAAGTCGTGTGCAGGGGATTTATCGGGAGAAATGGAGGTTCAAACATAATGATTATAGCCCAGTTGTCATTGGGTCATAGCGCAAGTACGAGTAGCAGGTAGCCACATTTATATGCCTGTCTTCTTACCCAACTAATCTGACAAACCCAATCATAAACCATTGCCGATTTACATTTAGGTTGTATTAAGACCAACCCCGCTCCCCATACACCCAAATAAGCACATATTGGGTTTGCCACATTGGGTTGGTTAGTCAACAGGAAATTCAGCAAGACAAAATGAGGCAACTAATGGCCCAAATGGGATTCCCCCCTTTTCACCCGCTTCACAAAATGAGGTCCTTGCCAGTCCAACAAACCCCGAAAAAAAAACCTCCCGACTTGGATGTGCATCCCACTAAAACTGGGCATATACATATACATATATATATATATTAGTATATCCCATTGATAAGTGTCTAGCTATCCACTGGAATACATCTCCATCCCATTGCAACCCCCAACCCCCAACCTCCAACCCCCCCAACCACCCACCTGCCGGGATCTTCACTGGATCTAACTGTTCGGGATGCGCCAGCAGCGCGGCCAACTCAGGTGGCATGTGGACAGCCAGCTTGGCAAAATCCTTGGGCAACAGCGCCTCCACCTGAAACCAGCTGATTCCAAGCCACGCCCCAAACAAAATGTTGCGAAATTGGATGCTTCCCCATCCATTGTCATCTTAAGCATGACAAAAGACTGAACTGCATTGTTTTCTGCATTTGTTCGCTTTTAACGTTGCTTTCGTTGCGGAACTCGGTCACAGAGACTCTTCCGCAACACCATGATCTATGTATCGTCATTTTGGGAAATTGCTATGTCCCAAACAAGACTTTATCATATGAGCAATCTCGAAAATCCTAGGTTCACGGAAAGAACATCCACAAATTCGGGAAGGTCGCATCGCTTACCACACGTTTGCACAAAAATGATATATGGCAAACTTGGAGGACTCTGAGCTATCTGAGGAGGAGTGCTACTGGAAGAGGTGCTTTGCAAATCTCTTTTTCCCCACCTGCCAGGTGAGACTACACTGTTGCATGGACAGCCAGCTTGTTGGCTGGCCACCTCTACACAGCCACTCTAAAGCGAGCTCTCCAGCTCTCCGGGCGTACAAACCCGAATGCTATGGCACTTGCGAGCTTTCCGGGCCCCTGCGGGCCCGAACCTTTGCCAGAAAGAATGTCAGGTAGAATGCCAGTCTATCTATCTATCTATCTATGAATCTATCTAGCTAGCTAGCTAGCTAGCTAGCTATCTGTCTGTCTACCATATCATGGTCTCTTGAGAAAACATGAGAAAACCCATTGGACTCGTTTGGGCCACCGTACCGCACCTCTGAACAAAAGTGAAACAATTTGGAAAACCGACCAAAGATAACGATGGGAAAAATGTTGTAAAAACAACTCTTTAATTATAAGATAAACTCTAGCACCCACGCATTCACACCTGGATCCCCACCAGATTCCTGGCTTTCCGGGACGCGGGCCTTGCTGGTAAGGTCCTTGATAGCAACCTTCAGTTCCTTGGGCTGTCAGAGGTTGTCCAGATTTCCTTCGTACATTGGATCATTCTAATAAAGCTGCACCCTATAGCTTCGCCGTCCTCCCAGAACATCGGATCCATCATGATCCATCCACCCGTCCCCTCCCAAAAAGGGGAAAAAAACCGCCTCCCCATATCCTTCCGGAAGCCCATCCACCGTCCCAGGCTCTGGCGGCACATCCACCGTGGGAAGCTTCAAGTCCTTGAGCTCCTTCGGTAAGATCTTGGAGGCAGAGCTGCTGAGCTGCGCTGCCTGCTTCTCCAGGTCCTGGACTTGGGTGGGGAAAAGTGGTTGATGATAGGATGAAACGTGACTTCTCAAAAAAGCAGCTGCAAAAATGATGATTTTTTCAACATTTTGGGGTGGGCTACTAGTAGCGTTCTTCGCTGCAAATGTCCTTTCATTCAAAAAATGGCGAACTTGCATCATCGGTCATCCAATCACCCTTACCCGCGCCCACAAATGCCTTCAGCAGGATTTCAGGTGACTTGGTGTAGCGCGCTGCTGCCTGTTCCAGGTCTTTTCCAAGCTTCTCCTTGGCTTGACCCAGGGGACTTGCAAAAAGAGAAAGCACATGATACCTAGGGCGCCACAGCATTGACCAGTGTCGGAAGCACGGGAGGAATAGCAAAAATGTGCATAAAGGAAGTCTAGAACATTTTTAAATGTATATATTAATATATTAAATTATATATTTAGATTGTGTAACCGGTTGGTGGGTGTGCCCCCTCCACAACACAAAAGCACACGAAAGTCATTAGGGACCATCAACATCCATCAACCAATGTGCAGAGAATCAAAACATTAAAAGAAAAAACACATTATTCGAAAGCACCAACCCACCCAGCCCGGTGGACCCAGCTCCAACCACCCTATCCCATCAGCATCCAAGGGGCTGGGTTGAAGTTTGTGAGGCCCAAGCCCTTCTCAACATCCTTGGAGATGTGACACGCAAGCCATCTTTGGCAGTAAACAATCCAAGTTTCAGCCCCCCAAGGTTGAACCCATACCAAAATTGCTGAGTCTCAACAAGACATCTAATATCGCCTCAATACAGTCAAGCATCTGTCACTTCGGGCACTTCCACCACCTTCTTCAGCACGTTTCGCTTCACCGCTTTCCTGCCCCTGCCCTGCCTGCCCTGCCTGCCCTGCACCAGCCCAGCCGTTGCACCCAAGGCTGCGCCCATGGTCAGTAAGCTACCAGCCTTCAGTGGTCGGGCGCTGCTCCCTGTGGGCAGCGCCAAACCGCCGTGGCCGCCATGGCTCAACGGGGAGGGCACCGCACCACGTGGCACCACGAAGGATTGCTCCTCCATTGTCGGCACCTAGACCGGTGCAGCACAAAAAGAAAGGTTGAAACCAAAGATGGATGGACTGCCGGAAAGCTTTCAAACTCTGTAGTCAAACCGAGTCAAACCACAACCCTTGTCTCAAATAAATTGACAAATCCAAATCGCGATGGAAACCGCATGAGCAAAGTGCTGAACCCCCAGGGTTCAAAAGATCCCCCAAGTCGATCAAGGAGCCTAGCCGGCCTAAGCGGATATGACTGTGTGACTGTCTCCAGGCACTGACCCAGGAGGTGTCCCAAATTTCAGCTGCCCCATACCGGTGGAGTCATCCGACAAGTTCCGGCCTCTGTTTCAAGCACGGCTTCTAGTGGGAACAGCCGAGCCAAAAAGGGGCACAGCTGCAACCAAAGGTGAAGCCGGAGGGACCTTCAGCAAAGCTGACATTACCGTAGAAAATCCCCGTAGCATCTTCCCACCTCATAACCCACTTGGGTATTTAAATTACAATCCTTTCCCACTCAAATTGGCACATCTGTCATATTGATCATTCCAAACTATTCAGCTCACATATTCCATTTCGCCTTTGAGGATCACGTTGAATCCTCGGTCAAGCTCAGAACACACTCCGGCACTTCGTCGAGCACTGAACCCCCCAGGACGCATCATGACCCCGACGCCTGTGCCATGAGCGCGAGATCCGCAGATCGACAGTTGCGTTCAACGATGTTTGGGTCAATTCGGTCAATGGGGTGACGATGGCAGGACATCACCCAGACATTGCTGCTTTCAGGCTTTGGTCCTTCCAACAAAGAAAGGTCCCAATGGTGGATCACCACATGTGGGCCGTTGGTGCCATGTTTCCATCCTCCATCTTCTCAAGCCAAAAATTGCTGGGCACGGACACGTTCTTGCGAGCTTCCCAACCCAACCAGGGCTGGAGGGAAAAAAAACTATACCGGAGACTGAGAAAAAAATATGGCGATTATCGGGCAGATGGTGTTGAAGCTGCAGCACTTGGCGTGGCCTCGCATTTCTGGAGGGAGCAGAACAGCATCCCAATATATTCCCTGCTCAGTTGAGCAAATAAATAGATTGATTCTCTACATTCTGAGCCTGACAGACCCAACAAACAAGACATGTGCTGAGGTGCTGTTCTCTCAGCTTATCTACTGAGAAAAAAAAAACTTTTGCACGCATGGGTTGGTAACCCCAATCGCCAATCTTCTCGATAACTTGTTTCAGAAAACATCAAAAATCATCGGCGAAATTGAGCGAATTTGAAACCACCACATCATCCCAGGCAAGTTTTTTCCACACACCGCAGCCCGGTTCTTTCGGCAAATCTCATCATGACCTCCTAGGTTCACATGCCGGGCGTGTGAAGACTTGAGGGTAGACAGAAGTTGACCATTTGGACCGTGAATCATGATGATACACGAGTAATCATATGATATAATACTGTAATACTGTAAGTAGAATTACTTAACAAAACATAGTAATAGTAATTGATAATAACAAATCAAAATCATCGTCATAATGATAATAACAATATCTTACACTGATAAACAAAAATAAGAATAATAAAACATCATCATCATCATCATCATGATCATCATCATCATCATCATCACCATTGTCCTAATCCCGTCTGGGTTTCACATTAAGTTCATCTTCCCTTTTTAATCGACAAGCCCGGCTCAGCTCTCTCCTCATCTGGAAGGCTCAAAGTTGGCGAAAGTGTCCCTCTCCTCAGATCCACGGATTGGTTGAACCATCAATCCATGGCGGGTTTGACCGTTTGACCAACAAAAATGGGGAAAAGAAACCCGCAAGAATTGGTGATTTGACGAAAAAAACTAGCGGTTTTACCAACAAAAATTGGGAGTTGACCAACAGAACAGTGATTCAGTCAACCTAATTTTGCAAAATGCTGTGTTTCACCCAAAAAAATGGATTTGGCCAATCCCAAAGTGGGAGTTGATCTAGTTCGGGACCATTTTTCTGTAGGAAACCCACCGGTTTACCCCATGAAAATCCATCCATTAGAAATGCTGTGTTTCCATACGTAACAGGTTCACAGAGCATCATTTACACCCCAGTTTCAAAGACACCCAAATCACCCTATCCCCATTACTCTCCAGTAAATTAACATTGACCCTGACAGAGATTGGAAGATTAGTGGAAACACTAAGTCACTGGCTTCAGGGTCAAACTGTTAATTTACCAGAGGGTATATCCTAATGAAATCCCCGGTTCAATCATCCATTTTGATAGGATTTTCCATTCATGTGGTTAAAACAATGCCATAAACCACCCCTGACTGGGAATGGTTTTAGTTTAATTTATACCACGAATTATTAAAATGGTGATGACTGGGGGATGGTTTCTGAAATTGTTTTACCCACAGTATAAACCATCCAGCTATTGGCGTATCCCCAATTGAACCCATGTTCAAACACGGCTACTGCACGTCCCCATGACAGTGGCGCCATTGAGTTCCCGGCCGCCGCTCCCAAGGTTTGGAAGCCTCAGAGCACCAGGAGCCGAGATGTCCACCGTATCAACCATGGTGTGACTAAATCAGCATGTATAGATAGTGTAAACTCGTGTGTGTGTGTGTGTGCGTATGCAAATGTGTATGTATATAATATTTACTTATTTATTTGCTTATTCATTTATAATTATTTATTCATCTATATCTATTTGTATTTATATATATGTGTGTGTTTGTATTTACTCAAACAAATATAGGATTAGATATATATATATATATGTAGTATTACATATATAGATATATATATATATATATGATATATGTATCTGTGTGTGTGCGTATGTATATTATATATATATTATCATTTTATATCAGTGTGTGTGTGTGCGTACGCATATGTACGAGTACGTATATTATATATATATATGTGTGTGTGTGTACATTATATATATTATATATGTATATTGTGTGATGATATGCTTATTGTACCTTATTAATCCTTATTATATATATATACCATGAGGAACTGCGCAGCACTAGAAGTCAAACCACATACGCTTCGGGAGCGTACACCAAGTGATTTCTGGATTCTGGGCCATACCCCCCCACGCTTGACCGCGCCAAGTGACCGCTAGACTCCGAGTAGCTGTGAGGCTGTTGCCCAGTGTATTCAGACACCAACCTGGCTCGATGCTCCACGTATGGTGACAGCCTACCTGGAAAGACTGCAATGATCCGGAAAAATGGATGGTGTACCCTCTGGTAAACGTTTACATCACTATGGAAAATCCCCATTTGAATGGATAAATCATAAATCAACTATTTCTATGGCCATTTTCAACAGCTATGTTAAACTACCAGAGGGTACAAATGGCACTTACCTCCATCAACGTGACTGATTGACAATCCCAACCGCAGCTGCCACGGATGTGCTGGGCAGCCCAACTTCATGCTGTAGTGCACACCATCCATCACCAACGCAGGGTAGTCCATCCAAAAGCCCACGTGAGGAATCAGCTGTAGACCTGCCGCGAGCTCAACACCACCATCCCAGGAACTGACGTTGAGTCCTAGGCTGGTCCAAGTTCCAACTCACTTCATCCAATTTCCACTAAAAAATGATTAAGTTCACATCCACTTTCCATGTTCCATCCACTTCTTACTTCAAAAATATTTTTAAAAAAAAAACCGTTGAAACTCTTACCCCATTCCCAATCCCCACCGGTCGCCTCTAGCGCCCTTCGCTTGGTAATTGTAGATGGCTCCACCTTGGCACCAACTCATCTGCTTCCCCAAAAAGATCACCAAAATCCTGACATGGGCTCCACACAGGCAAGGTAAACGATGGCCACTTCTATGATACCTCGGAGCCTGAGTCGTGACCCAAGCAGCCCGGCCAACTTCAAAAATCGTTGCGTGGATTCTGGGTGGATCAATTTCCCTGTGCATAACCGGTGAACTAAAATGGTTCTGAGTTTGGTACGGTCCTTGTTCATCTCATTGGTCAAAATCTCTAGAGCTAGGCTGGGTTCGTTCTGTGTATGTGCATGGCCCAGATTTGATTACATGATTACATACATCTAAACTTTTGGCATTGATGTCTTTACAAGCTGTGCATATGTCCACGAGTGTGATGAGTTCGTTGATTTCTTTGCTCTTTACCTTTGCATTGAGATTAAGACCCCGAATATGACCGGCATCACCTGCCTTCAACTCCCCTTCAACTGAGCTCTCGAACAGGCCGGTGGCCGCACCGTAGTGGTCAATGTGCTCCACGTTCCATACCTGGGACCCATCATGCAGCACTGCTGGAGATCCCTTCATTGAGCTGGGCTGAGCTGGGCTGGGCTGGGCTGGGCCCCCGTACCACGCTCTCGGCCTCGCGCTCCCAACCCGGCAAACCGCTCATCATGTTGTTGCCAAAGTACTTCCTGCAGGTCTGAAACGCCCAAAGGACTTGGGTGTAGACGCGCCCTCTGCCAATCTAACAGTTTCCTACGGAAAACCAGGAAAAGCACCATTTGAAAAAGCAAATCTTTGATAAATGGGCCATTTTCCATGGCTATGCTGTTTATGCTAGATTGCCGAAGGGTACTCAATGATGAATCATAAGCCATTGTGAAACTGCTGGATGTCAGAGATAAAGATCTGGCAGAGATGCCACTCGATTCGCAGATGTGACCAACGGATGACATCCCCGTGCGGGGTCGCCATGTTGGTCAAAAAAGATCTCCTTTGGGAGGACTTTTTCATGTTTCATACTGAAAGCCGCCCTGGAACCCCGAGAATTGCAAGTGTCCAAGCGCTGTCCAAGCGCTGGAAAGTCATATTCAGATATATCATGATATATCCAACTCCACTTTTTTGTTGGGGCTTCGGTTTTGGGGGCGAGAAGAGGAGGGTCCATCCATGGCACTTCTTCCATGGCACTTGGACCCTGAGGTTCCCGACAAGTCAGAAGAGACTTCACCCCCCAGGCCAGTGGGAGAACCGCTGGAGCGACGGAAGAGGTGTTCCTCAGGGGGGATTGGTTTTTCCTCAATGCCACTGGATTCCGTTAGGATAGTTATGAACTATGGATTCTACATGGTTTTTCTCAGATACCAGTACCATATGTTATACCATTAGGATGATCGGTATTTTTTCCCCTTACCAAACCAGTCACACACCCCTGGAAAGAGTTGAGATAAATAAAGCCGTTTGGGGAACGATGTCCTCCAATTCCCATCATTCCAGTGACAGAAAACGACGCGAGGTTCATGATCAAATTCATCCAGACATAACCAATAAGTGAATAGGTTTTAAGTTAAAGTTTTAAGTTTTCAAGCAGCAAAGGAAGAAGTGAGGAAACAGAAATCTGGACACATCATCACCTTGAAATTGAAGGCCCTTTCACACTGATACATGCACAATTTCTTGGTGAATACCCCCAGTTCGTGGGACATAAGTCCCCCCAAAGCCCGGCTGGGAGATAGGGCGCTAGGGCCGCTAGGGTCTCGGGCTAACTTGCTGAGGGAGCTCCGTTGGTGGTCCTGAAGAAACTCCAAGGCCCAGTCCAATTTTTGTTTATTTGGCGTTTCCCTTGACATGTTGGATCCAGTTTTGGTGGGTTCTCAGAGTCCAAGGGCCAAGGCCATCTGACAGTTCAAAACTGATCAAAGGCTGAAACGCCTTTGGCTGAGCTATACCTTTTTGGGGCACAAAAAGACCATATTTGGGTGGTGGATATTCCATGAAATTTAGGCCCAAAAAAAAAGCCTTATATATGGTACAAGTAGGTACCCTCTGGTAAACTAACATAACTATGGAAAATCACCATGTTTAATGGGTAAATCCACTATAAATGGGCCATTTTCAATAGCTATGTTAGTTTACCAAAGGGTACCTCCAAAAAACAATATCCATCCTCTCACCGGAGTTCCCAGGCTCGCACCGAAAGGGCGTTGGGGCTACTCGCTGCCGCCAACATCTCCTTCACGGTCACCACATCGGCATCGCCATCGGAGATGGCATAGCGTCTGCGGAAATGGCCCACTTATAATGTGGGTAAAACAATGCCATAAACCACCCAGTTGGGAGATTGTTTATTATTGTTTTACCCACATTAGATGATTTACCGATTGAAATCGATTTTAAAATGATTTAAAATTGCGATTTTCCCGTAGCTATATGACATTACCAAAGGGTAAATCCACCAGAAAAGTTGGATGTGCCAAAGAATGGGGATATTTTGGTTGTTTGTTTGTTTTTTGCCATGTTAATTTCTGGAGTATATCCTGGGATGTTCCCGCTTGCAGATTGTTTTTTTTCGTCAGGGATGGTGCCAATCTATATTGAGTAGAAGATTTGTGACCGATTGCATTTTTTCAGTTGGAAGTTTCCTAGAATGCAGGTACCCTCTGGTAATTTAACATAACTATGGAAAATCACCATGCTATTAATGGGTAAATCCACTATTTCAATGGGCCATTTTCAATAGTTATGTTAGTTTACCAGAGGGTACCCCATTCATCCATTTGGATATGATTTTCCCAAAAAAAAAGATCATCCAGCGGGGATTCACCAAGTGCACCTTTTCAGGCTCTGAAGTGCAGAGTAAGCCTTTGCGATCTGGAAGCCCTTGGCCCTCGGCCAGTCGCCACATTAAATGTCTACGATCTTCCGTCCCAACTGCTTCTACTTGATGTATCTGAGGTATTGATTGAGGTCGCTACAAAGCTTGGGCACTTCACATCACTTCACAACCAATCTGACAACTCTCACAATCCAACATGTTCACGGCCTTGCCATGGGTTCCCACGTTGAACACCATGGAACACCAGGCCCCCCGCGTGGTGCCAGAGGTGCTCGGAAAGCCTGGCTCAGGGATAACCCATTTCGAGCCGAGGAAATGTTTCTTCCAGCAGATGTATGCAAAGGTGTCCAGCCTATGCTCAACTTCATTCGTGAGGAAAGGCGTGCCTCAAACCAGAGCTGGGTGTGGCACCACTGCATCGCTCGAGCTAGCTGGGTGTGACACCACTGCATTGCTCCTTTACACGAGACAGTGAAGATTGTTGTTCACACATTTTCATCGTAGCTTCTTGAAAATGATACTCAAACCTCCGATGCCAACAGCCCACTTCCATTTTTTGGGGGTGGGGCCACCAACAACCCACTGGCAGATGCTCAGGCTGTACCATGCTGCACCCACGCCGTGAACGGGTGCCGAACCCAATCGGAAAAGGAGAGGGGATGAATGCAGAGGCCCACTGCTTGCGTGCCAACCTGCGCACGATGCGCACGATCCCTGGGTCCCATGCCGAGTCACCACTGCCGAAAGCTGGGCCTTTCTGCAAGAAGCACCGCTTGGGCACTGAGCATCTGCTTGACAAAGCAGGCCGCAGTAGAAAGCCTCCAATGGAAATGACCCATATCTGCTGGATTGAAGCGAATGTCATGAAACTTCATGCAAAGCCATGGCGATTGCCCCGGGATATGGGGGGGTCCTACGGGCCCCCTCTTCACTCTTCAAGCAAGTCTCGGGAACGCGAATTCTCAAACCCTTGACTGTTCGGACTGCTTGGACTGTTTCCGGAGCCTAAGTTTAGTCGTTCTTCCAAGTCACCAGAGGGTAAGGACTCGGGGCTGCCGGGAAAATGGTGGCTTTGACAGTTCACAGTTGGATCTACATGGAGAAGAAACCCCATGGCTGTCAGAGACAGGAAACTTCACTACGGTATGAATCGGAGCATTGTCAGCATTGTTCGAGAAAGCTTGTCCAATTGGTTGCTTAGCTCACTGCCATTCAAGAAAAATCCAAGGAGTCAGCTCGCTGGTTCCAGATTGGAAACTGACCATTCGCTGCATGGTTTTCACCAAGTCAGGTCCCAGCTGGTCCCTCCCAAGTGTGCTCCTGGTCCACATTCTGAAGCATGCACTGTGGCTGCGCCTGCAGGTGACCAACATGGTGGGGTGCCACCAAGGCAGGCACCGTCTTTGTGAAACACCCAAGGCAGGCACCGACACAGCAGCAAGCTCCGTAGGGCACTCGTAAGTGGCACTACAGCGCGGAGCACACACCTTGGGGATTGCTCAAGCCCCACCAAACCAAAAAAAAAACATGGAAACCACATGACTTGAAGGGCGAAATTGTAGATTGCCCAACTCCAACTTGAAGATTCTGATGTTTTTTTAACCCAATGCCATAGACAACGACCATTTCAGGATGGTCTATAGGCTCTGGCCACTCCGTCCTCTCCTTGGATCTCTCCAGCCTGCAGCATGCTGGAAGTGCCAAAAATGCAGGGCAATTCGTGGCACACCTGTCCCAGGAAAGAGTACGAAACTCCCAGAAAATGCCCTTGCAAAATGATGTTAACTGTTGGAAATCATGGGCCAACTCGCTGCGGAAAAGGAACGACTTCATCCGAAGCGCAGGTGCCCTGGTAGTGACTGACGCCACACCTGGAAATGGTGAGTGTGCTTGGATGTGCATCTCACCGGTGTTTTCTATCCATAGCTGGTAAGTAGCTGGTCGATTTGAAACCCCAAGGCTACATCTGGTATGCACAGGCCATGGCGCCTCAATAGCATTGAGGTCACTAGCAGCTTCGCAGCCGCCATGACACTAGTGAGGGCAGCAAAAAGCACTTCACAATCGAAATTTCGGCACACTTCAGCGTCAGCTTCTTCAGCCTTTATGCATAAAAAAAACATTATACATATATATATATACATACACCGCGCTGTTATAGATATAGATATATAGATATGTAGAGAGAGAGAGAGATATATATATATATATAGATAGATAGATAGATAGACAGAGATATATATATACATAGATACATTTGTGTGTGTAGATATTAATATATAGATATATATATATATAGAGAGAGAGAGAGAAATATAGGTGTATATATATATATGGATATATGGATATAGATATATATATATAGATAGATAGATATGTAGATATAATTTGTATTTATATAGGTATAGGCATAGATATTATATAGATATAATATAGGTCTAATATAGATATAGTATAGATATAATATAGATATAGGTAGATAGGTAGATAGGTAGATAGATAGATAGAAAGATAGGCCAGTTTCGCGTAGAGATGGCAGTGACATGCAGTGACTCTCTGTTTATATTGGCCTTTCAGGGGTTGGGTCAACTCACTTCTCCGATATCTTGAGCCAAAAGCATATCGCGATAAGACAGGCAGTCTTTAATCTACAGAGCGAACATCAATGTGTGTGCGTCTGAAAAAATGTGACATGCCCCCCCAAACCGGCAATTTAATAGGCAAAGTGATGATGATGATGATGGTAAGATGATAAGATGCTAAGATTATAAGATCATAATATTATAAGACAGATCAACAAATCATAAGATTATAAGATTATAAGATTATAAGATGGATAAAATGATAAGATGATATGATGATAGGATCATGATAAACAATGGGAAATTCTCTCTCTCTTCCACTCGGCGATCTAAGAGATGGAAACTGCTCAGCAGTTGGCAGCTAGATTCAAGGCTTTGCTGCCAAGTGATGCTGATAGATAGCGGAATAGGTGTTTTAAACGAATATCACTAAATTGTCACTACATCTGTAGGTATGTATGTATGTATGTATGTATGTATGCATGTATGCATGTATGCATGTATGCATGTATGCATGTATGCATGTATGCATGTATGCATGTATGCATGTATTCATGTATGCATGTATGCATGTATGCATGTATGCATGTATGCATGTATGCATGTATGCATGTATGCATGTATGCATGTATGCATGTATGCATGTATGCATGTATGCATGTATGCATGTATGCATGTATGCATGTATGCATGTATGCATGTATGCATGTGTATGCATGTATGCATCTATGTATGCATGTATGCATGTATGGATGCATGTATGCATGTATGCATGTATGCATGTATGCATGTATGCATGTATGCATGTATGCATGTCATGCATGTATGCATTCATGCATGTATGCATGTATGCATGTATGCATGTATGCATGTATGCATGTATGCATGTATGCATGTATGCATGTATGCATGTATGCATGTATGTGTGTATGTGTATGTGTGTGTATGTATGTATGTGTGTGTGTATGTGTGTATGTATGTATGTATGTATGTATGTATGCATGCATGCATGTATGTATGTATGTATTTTCTTTTTTTACCTGGACATACATATATACCTGTAAAATCATAAGCATATACAATTAATTTGCAATGCCCAGATCTTCAAGCAGCTTCACTTGCTTCCCGATTTCAGCACCTCTCCCAGCGTCACTTCCATCCCTTTTTTGATGATCGTTTGCCCCTTGGACGGGCATGGCATGATGTGATCCATTGTATCCGATCATTTTGATGATGCCCGTCTTCTCTCTGAACTCTTCAGCTGGTAGAGCCTTCCCCTGGGGCGCCACGAAGAGGTAGTCCTGTGGGGTTTGACCAGCAACATTAGTTGCGCCATTGCTTTTAGATGTGCATATGGATCATGTGTGGCTAAGAATGCACAGGTTGCACAGGTACGAACATGTATACGTGCACATAGACAGACGCATATACATGTATATATATATATATGTGTGTGTGTAATACATGCAACGATTATAGCATATTCCCAGCCAGAAACCCTGGTGGAATGGTAGCTTTGGTGTTCCAAACAGGACCAAACAGATTGCACCAACAAACCAAAGCGGTGCGGGATCAAACCAGTCCCGTGCTTGTCACCAGCGGTGTCCTCAATGAGCACATAATCCAAATCCGGCAGCGTGTCGAGCATGACAAGGCTCTCTTTGATGCTATTCACAATGGGTTTCCCTGGCACTGTCTCAGATCCCACCCATAGCCTTCCAGAATAAGGTGGTAGACCCAATCATAAACCCCAGGCAATGTAGCACGGGAACCACGCAGCTAAAAACATAGGAACCTGGGGGACAAAAATATGCTGGTGAAATGCTCTGGAATCTTAGGACCGTCTTAGGAATCTTCGAATCCCGGCCTCGCGTGTTGAAGCTGGTATTGATCAGTGCGGCCAGCTTGGTATGCTTGGACACCGCCAACAGCAGCTGATGCAGCCAGGGTTCATCGGTCACACCCACCGACTGATGCCGTGCCGTGCCGTCGAAATGGACCATGGCCTAGGGGACCCACGAAAAACCGGGGGCATGTCGTGGCAAAATCTGCTGGAAGGACTGGTGAAATAACCAGGGCACTTGAAACTATTACTTCACAATACTCCATTCAGAGCCCTGAAACACAAGAGCTCCTGTCAAAATCCTTTACATCTCAGTAATTACGATTATCATGGATATCGGTTATCGCTTTTGGGCGGCCATATGTCTTTCCAGTGTTTTGTGCCAATTATCGCTTTTGAAGGGAGCCCTATCGCTTTACAGTGTCTCGTGCACATCTCTGACAAAAGTGCTTCTGCAATACTACAACAGTGGTCTTCAACCATTTTGACCCTGACTCATACGTTCAAATAAGGAGCTGTGCGTAAATCACCATGTTCATTCTTGAGTGCCCCAGGTGGAACCTTTGATGGAATGGGTCACTTGATTTTGTCTAGTTTTGTTTCATCTCTTTTGATCTCGTTTTTCAATTTGATTAGGTGGGATAAGCGCACTTATATATGCATGTTCACTTTCCCCCACCTGAAACTGTGAAGATCTGACCCAAAAATGATTTACAGTACCTCTTGAAGGTAGTGATTTTCCAGCCAAGGCACCGGAAAATCTCGCCGGACCCAATCTAGGACCTGGACGGCGACAGGCCCCAGGTCCCACGGGGGGTATTTGAAAGCATACAACAACAGAACTTAACCCTATTTGCTTTCCAGTGTTTTTTTTCAAACGATATGGAAAACGCTCCATTCGTATCCATGAGTAGATAATTTTCGGAACAGGAGACAATGATGGATTTCCATGTGCCCTTTTTGTTTTAACACTTGCCGGAGGCTATAATCGCCCAATCATTTAGATAAGTTATATAACACCAGCTGATCATTGAAGTACAGCTAGCGTTTGGGGGCGGCACTTCCAGTTACAAATGGAATTATGACCATAATTATTGGAGTTATCTCCCAACTTATTCAGGTTTTCATCATTGTTGCACCCATTTGTAAGCCCTGGCCTGCACCCCCAAGTATGACTCCCGCCTTTGGTGCACGCTCCATGTACCTCGACAGGACCTTGCGACCAAAGACGGATTCCAAGGCTTCCTCTGCGATCATCGGCGCGATGGGGCGATACCATTTCCTGACGCCCCACCAGCTGGGTTCCAGCTGAACATGTTAATAGGTCCTTGGATACCCTTGCATTAGATTGGTTAGATGGGGAGAAACTGAAAAAACGAAATCCGAGGTTTATGGTTAAACATGGGTGCCGATCAACAGTACCTCAAAAACCACTGCCAACAGCACCCTTCTCGAAGTTCGCGGCCGCAGCCTGGGCGGGACCAGCACCCAAACAGAACCTTGGACAGCCTGGGCAGCACCCTGGACACCTGGACAGCACTTTGACACAGCACGCCTGCGGAAGTTCGCGACACGCACCCCGGAGACCGGATGCTGGAAAGTTCGCGGCATCAAACCCAACCTATGAGAAGTAGGTTGACCATGGTTGACCCCCTATAGCTTGCCAGGGGAATGAAACAAATGAAACTCAGCTCCGCCAGGCATCCGAAACTTCAGGCGATTCATCCTTCGCTTCATCTCCTCCGCATCCGGCACTGCCACCAAGCTCCGGTGCCCCAAAGCCCTGGGACCAAACTCCTGGCCACGTCAAAGATGGCCCATCCATGTGAAGATTGATGTCATCTGAGTCAAACTATCATCATTTATTATTATCTTCTACCATTTCGACCATCATCTGGCATCACTTAGCACAATTTGACATCATTTGCCATCATGTCAATTTATTAAGCCAGGACTGGTGTTCCAAAAAATTAGTTATTATATAGTTGTTTTCGCGGGCACACACCCCTCAAATCATACATCCACAAGCCGGTGTCATTCATCCACCAGCTACAGGGAAGTTGCGAGTTGGGACATGCCAATTTGAAAAAAAAACATTCGAGCACCTCAGAAGAGATGGAAAAGTAAAATGGTCCGGAATCATTTTTGCATCTTTGGTGAACTCCTATAATTTCCGAAGACCCATGGAGTTTGTGCCCCAACCACATTGGCTTGGGGGTCGGCCCACATAACGTTTCCGCTAAGGGTTCCAGGAAGGTTCTGGGGAGGTTCTGGGTGTTTCCCGGTCGTTCCAGAGATTAAATTCTGTTCGTTTGGGGGTTGCTTGTGCTCGTGGCTGTTGGCTAGCTTGTGCACCTAAAATTTGTCTCATCTGTGCATCTGGTATCTTCCAGTGCATGCTGGGCCACGAAACCTTACAAAAATACATAGATCAGGTATCGTTCCAATGACCTATACCTTCCAGAAACTATTTCCGAAAATTTGCTGAAAATAGGGAACTCGCACCCCATGAGATAAATTCCAAGTTATCAGGGAACGAAGAAACTTTTACACACGGGTGGCCAAATACATAATTGACATAATTCATCAGGGTATAGATGAACTGAATAGAGGAATGCGCTTTTCGCAACAAGTTCCAGATTATACAACTTCCGCGGCTAGTGTAGAAGCAGCGAAGAAATACAAATGGCAATCGATTTTTGTCAGAAACCACGGAGTACACCGTCCAGTGTGACACGGTGATTTGTTTCACGCCCTAGCTGCAGTGAAGTGACTCTTCATTGTTGCGTGGAGGTGCATGAAGGAAAACCGTAGACTGGGCGTAATTTTGGTTTCTCGTTTTTGCACCTCCAAAGCGTCCTTCCTTGTCTTGTTGCTATGATTTTTGCGGGCGTAGATGTGACATCTTGCCATCCCATTCTTCCCTTCTGTCACTTCTGTCTGTATTATCTGATCGCCATTCTCTTCGCCCTTGTATCTTGTCTATGTCATGCTTTGTTTGTGTGGTACTCCATCTCCAAGTTCCCTGTCCCTATGTCCAGTGTCCACAGGTCCCCCAATTTAGAAACCTGAAAGGGTATAGGGGAGGGTCTGTGGCCCAGGTGCGCGAATGAGCTAAAATCTGGGTGCACAAGTGAGTCCATACCTTTCCTGATCGAAATTTCTCCAAATTCCAGGTCACCTGCCGTCCTGCTTTCCCACCACTTTCTTTCCGGAGGGGATCCCGCCTGGGCTTAATTTGTTTTCCACCAACTAACTCCATTCGTAGCTCCGACTAGCTCCAACCAAAGCAGGGAATATGGATAGCCCTGGCTCACCACTTCAGTTACCAGATTCACCAGCGGATAGCCAACCTGACGCCCCAAGGGCTTCCCCACCTGGCGGCCCCGCACCAAGGCCACGATGGGCTTCTGCCCATCCGCCCGCGGCGTCGCCAGCAGCTGCGCCAAAAACGCCACCCCGCCCAGCTCCGAGAGACGCCGCGCGTTGCGCTGCGTGGCGTAGTGAGGCAGCTCGTCTCGGTCCCAGAGGTTGAAACCTCGGGGACCAACGTTTCATGGGGATTTCACCATGATTTATAGAGTTGCAACTAGAACTGGCTAGGAACTATAACCATCAAAAATATACACAAATATGATGGTGGTATGATAAACGATTGTTTTGGTTGATAATGAAATGAGTTTTACTACCCTACGAATTATGGATTCTTACACTTGTCATTGCTTGTCATTTGTGGGACGTGCATTTCAGGGTTTGTTTCCAGTGCATGGGCACAGTAAGTGGGTCAGAACCATGATTGGAGCCGAATTATGTACAACAATGATGCTAGGAGAATGGTGGTTGTTCTGCTTGTTCACAGGCGTATTGGGCGACAGAGCGATCTCGAACAGATCCATTGCAAATTGGTTGTTTATCAAAAATACATGAATAGATGTGAAGTGGCCTGCCAATCTATCAAAGTATTTGAAAATGGTTCTGCGGCGATCTAACATGACAACAAAACATGGGCATGGACATCCAGTTGCAAAAAACAAATACATTAGAAGATCATGTTCGTGGCCTTTGGGGCTCCATATTAAATTGTTTTGAGAAGGTTGCCACTGATACTATGTGTTCCTGCTGGTCATGACTATATAATTTCGGATTCCACGCCAATAAATTCTAGCCACTCGATTTTTTGAGATGTCTGAAAATCGAGTATCTCAATATTGCAGATTTTATCATCGATTTGCTCAAAAATGGCCATTGGGTCTATCCATTTTATTCCATTTTCACATCCAGATCTTGTCATGTTAGATCGCCCTCTAAGCAAAGCCTGGTCTACCCAAGTACTGCATCTCTTGCCTCTGGGTAGGCGGTGAGACAGCAAAGAGACCCCCCACCGAAATGCCGCAGTCGCTGGGCGCTGGAGGCACAAAGACTTCCTGCTTTAGATCCCCATCCCTCGATAAAGATGTTGAAAAGGTTAGGGAAGGTGACTCGCCTAATCCCAAATTTTCCCAAATCTATCCAAAATTATAGAGTAAAATGGAAAAAGAAGAACCACCACCTACTACTATCATACAGAAATATCCAGAATAGGCATGGAAAGTAAAAGACATGTTTAAGAAAGTGATCAGCTTCCATCTTCAGGCTGTCTTGGATAAACTGATTGGCCGCCACATTGAGCGCACAGCCGCCCATCAGCACGACACCATCCACGGGTTCCAACCTCTCCAACAAACTTTTGATGAGGTCCAAACTCCTCTGCTGCCATTGCCTTTGCAGCTCTGCAGCCAGTAAGTCTTGCTTGTCTTTCCCTGGAAGAGGGTTGGAAAAAATATGCGGCCCACAAACAAAAGCCACGAATCGGTCAAAATTCGTCTTTGCCCTCATTGAATGCACCAAAAATTGCATTTGCCCACACCGAAGAGTCTCCCCCTTCGATCTGGTGAAACCTCTTTTGTTTTCCAATGGGATTTGTTTTTTTTGGGAGCAATTTTCACCGGAACCTCCCTTAGTTCATGGGAAAATCCATGGTTTCCGGTGAAGATTTTCCCATCCAACACCAATCCATTGCTTCTTGCCCCGCCTTGACATGCCAGGGCCACCATTTCTGTGGGCAACACACCCTTTGGCCTGCTTCGGTTCTGCTTGGCCGGGTCCAGGGTGGCCCTGCCCAGCTCCAGGTCCAGAAGCTTGGCTACGGAGCGTTGGACGGCCGCGGGAACGGGGAGATCCGCCGCCACGGCGCTGTAGCCTGAGGGAAACTGGTTGAAACCAGTGGGGTCACACCAAAATCTAAGGGTTCCCTGCATATTTTCACGTAGTCTGGGAACGGGATGAGAAAAAAATGAGAAAAATTGGATGGTTTTGGGCTTAACCCGCCAATTCATGAGAGATTTTTGACCCACCAAAAATCTGGTTTTAAGTTAAAAGAATAGACATGTGGATAGTTGGAACAGAAAAATCAGATCAGTTCGGTTTGGAACAAACATCTTCAAAAAGGCAGGAATCCTTTCAAACCTACTCTGAGGAGCCCATGATCTTCCCCGCATCACTGAGCATATGGGCGGAACTGCGCACGACATCAATGGATATCCAGTCAGTATCAGCCAAGTCCATCTGGCGCGATGGGAGGCAGATGAGATGGAAAAACTATGGGGGAATGGAGGGATCACAACATCTCGGAAGCGGAAAGAAACTGGGAGAAAAAACTGAAGCAGTTTGACCCACACCCCTTCAAGCAGATGTTTGGAGAAGCTCACTGAAACCAGCGTCCAGAGGCCGATGACACAGAAAATTTGCAGGTGAAAACTCCGAGCCTATGGTACAAGTTGGCCCAAATATTCCCTCTTGCAAGTTGCAGCCAGGCTAAATCATCCCACCGGATCGAAAACCGTGCTCATGAAAATAGAGTTTTACAACAAAATGTGTGTTTTGCCACAGCGAGGCAACCATTTGTGTCACTTGAAAAGTGCCAAATTTGACGTCCAAATTTGGGTGTTTTTTGGGGAAATTGTGTTTTCGCTACAGTAAAACGTGATTTTCTTGGCTATTTCGATCGGACCAATTCAGGCATCTTTTTCACTCGATCATTCGCAGCGTTTCTGCAGTCTTCTCAAGCAGTTTCTTGTACTTGCTGATGAATCTCCATTGCCACATTTTGGCATATAACATGACATCTTCGTGCCTGGCACCCAAAGAGTTGGGGATGAATTGTTTGCAGCTGGTCCACGCAGCATCAATCGTGCCTGTATGGCATTGATGGTGGAGCGGCCGCGCTGGACATCCTTCACAAATTCGCAGCGTAGCAACATGTAACGTAGCAAGGATACCAGAGATCTCTGCAGCGTAGCAACATGTAACGTAGCAAGGATGCCAGAGATCTCTGAAGCGTAGCAACATGTAACGTAGCAAGGATACCACAGAGATCTCTGCAGCGTAGCAACATCTAGTGTACGCACTAGAAAGAACGTTAACATGCCCACCCCACCCCACCCCAACATAACCTCCGACCCCGCGTTTGCAAAAACGTACGTGTTACGAGCACGGTTTTCGGTCCGTAGGCTAAATCATCCACTAGTGGATTAGGAGCCTCGCTAGTTGGTCCAAGGCACATTTCGGCAATACCAGCTCAAGATCTCTTCACACTCCGGGTAAATCTCTGTGAAGACATTAGTCATGCTGTTGTACGCCCCTGCAAAGTTCCTGGGCGCCATGACACGGCAGTTCAAGCGTCTCGCTGAAACCCATCTTCAAGCTTCCTCCTTGAAATTCACCCTGCACAGGATATTTGCAGCTAGATCTGCCAGGATCTGCCAGGATCTGCTATGCTACAGCCACTTGGTTTCTGGTCGCCCCACCTTACCCCGACCATCCCAGTCAAGCTTCGCATCCAGCCGTGCCACCCGTTGCACCGTTTGCCCCGTGCCATAGAAGGCATTGTAGAAACCGTCGTCGCCCCCGCCGTCATAGGAGACCACCAGGGCACGCTGGAAGGGCGACGACAGAAAGCCCAGCAGGGCATGCGCCTCGTGATGGTGAACCCACCTCCATTGCTTCACCTGCATCACCTGCAAAATTGCAGGAAATTCTCAATGGATGAATGGATGATGAATTGATCTCATTTGAATGGATTCTGATTGAACGGATTCTCGTTTGAATGGATGATGAATTGATTTTTAATATCGATAATTAATGGGTAATATTAATGGATGATTATATCATTGAGTATAAATGGATGATCATTGGGGATTTGGTAAATCATTCATCTGGCAAACCCAAGAATAAAACAGCAATTTCGGAACGGTTCCTATTTCAGATAAAATTTAGGATTGGCTTTTTGGGGGGCTTACCACATTACTCCTCTTTTGGTCACAGCCAAATGATACCGAAAAGGGGGAATTTACTGTTACAGGAAATTATCTCAGTAGGATTTAACGTGTCCAAACCCTTTTCGGGTTGAAGTAATGGTGGAGTTTCCATGGGCCCTTCAAGCCATAGGCTGCTCCACTTGTGGCATGCTAGCTCGTTTACTTCTCATTATGTCATTACGTGGTAAACCCATCAAAAACCTTGACTTTAGGAGGATTTATACCACACCACCTCTGGTGATGTTGGAGGTCTATCACATTACCAGAGATATCCAGCAATCATAGCAATATAAAATAGCCTATCAAGGGAGGTTTATAGCTGGGAAAATGAACAAAACTAAATGGTGGATTTTCTTCTTCAAGCCATGTTTGATGACACTGGGATGGGTATTTCTGCTGCCAAACCTCCTCCGCGAGCCCGGGGATGTCGAACATCATGTGCGGCTCAATGATGACTCCAAAATCGAAGCTCCTAACGCCGAGGATTTGTTTCGCGTTTTTGGACTTAGCATCCCCAGAAAAATTTGAAAATCGATGGAAAAACAAATGATGAAGTGTAGCCCTTGGGTGAGTGAGGGCCAGTGCTCACCAAAATCTCAACTAAATCGTTTGTTACTGAAGTGATTTAAAGGAAGAAATGAACCGGAAGCTCCTTTCAATTTGCTGGGGAAGCATGGTTAGGCTGCCTCAAGTTTGCCCTTTACCTTACCATCTTCATCCAATGCGGATTCAACCTTCCAGCTGGGTTTAACCCAAAAACTAGGGAAAGCCACCTTCAATAGCCAATCATCCATGGCTTACACTATGTCACTATGTTCCCAGCAATTTGAAAGTTGCTTCCTTCTCCCATTTTCATCTGTGCCATGGTCCCCCCCCAAAAAAAAGTGTTTTTCTTGCTGTCGCAATCCATCTCATATTGGGAATACGTATCATTTGCATATATCAATCCCTAATTGATGAGCATCACCCAAATCACCCAACACGGGCAGATCATTTACAATATTTTGATATATTTTACAGTACCACCATGAATATCCCATGGTTGACTGCAGAGTTTCCATGATCTTCCCATTTTTGGGGGAGAAGTGGCCGAAAAAAGCCGCTCCTGGGACAGGGCCTTCCACCTTCGCATTCGCAGCCTTTCCAAAAGGCTTCCATGGCCTCCAAAAAATCCAAGCGGTACCTGGGAGCAAAGCGCAACACGTCGGACCAGTCATAGGAGCCATAGCCTGGGTACCGTGGCTGTGAAGATTTGAGGATTTGCTGGAAAATATTGGGAGAAACCAGGACAATATTGGAATAAATCCAGTAAAATGAGGAAAACATCATGGAATTATTGGGAGATATGCCCTCTCGTAATCAAACATGGAGAGCTGGAAAATTCCCTGCAAATTGGGGCTTCAATGCGAAAATCATCTGTGATTGGGATACCCTCTGGTAATCTAACGTGGCCACTGAAAATTGCCTATATGAATGGATCAAAGTGATCTAAAAATAGGTAATTGTCCAGCGCGATGTTTTCATTGCCGGAGGGTATTTATTCAGATTACCAGTAAACCGTGGATTGAGCCACCAAAAACCATCTCATATGATGTTCCACGGATTGAAATCAAGGTGTGAACTGTGAACACCAGTCGAACCAATTCTGCGAACCAAGCGCTCCCTGAGCCTCCTGTGAGGCTACAGCTACTAGCCATGTCATGCAGTGATTCAACTCCATACAACAGGAACCTCCTTGTAAAGCTTCCTTACCATCCTCAATAAACACCCTTAGAAAAGCATGGGCAACTCTCTAAATGAATCTGATCTGGCAATGGGCAATCCCAACATTACGGATGGTTTCAAAAAGTGTGGATATCCAAGTGCCAGGATAATCAGGATACTCACAAAAATCTCACAAATATCTCGAAACTTTGTTGGCCAGGTGACCCAACAAATCGTAGTAGCGCTCTCCAAAGAAACGCTCCAGTTCAAGTACGCATTGGACCCTTCCATCGATGCTCATGGCAATATTCGAATCATGCCCCACATGAATGGCCAGAGCCACTTTGGGCCGTACCTCCTCTGTTGAAGGAGGCAGGAATCCATAATCCAAGCATCGATGTCTAGGAGCGTATCCTGCACGTGTCAGGGGAAAATCGGCAGATGGAATTTGAATCATCCTGAAGGAACGTCTGGGTTTGCCTGAAAATGGCTATTTTAATCCATTGGAATTGGGAGGGGTACCTTATCTTTAGACAAACCCAAATACAAAAATGTGTGGTGTGTGTGTGTGTCTGTGTGTGTGTCTGGGGAAGGGGGAGAGAGAGAGAGAGACAAAGAGAGAGAGAGAGAGAGTACTCGTGCCTATCTATGCCAATGCTTTATTCTTAAAAAATACACAATGCGGGTGTGAAAGGACCGGACCGACAATATCCGGGTAAAACCCTGGGTGTTTCATTCCCATGGAAGGGTAGAACGCTGAAATAATAGGTGAAAATACCGTCCAGAAGTAGTTTCTTGCAATTGTCAGGTCATCCTCCGGTCATACAACCTTCAACATCTCCGACCTACAGTCACAAACCGCAAGATTTTTCTACAAATCCCTCAAGCCCTTAGGATCAGTTCCGCAAACCTCGTTCTGTGTTTCTTCGTTGATCTTCAACAGTTTCGGGCGAATCCTGATCAGTTTTCGCACAGCTCCAAGCTAACTTTTCCCAACAGTTTTTCCCCGACTTTTTCCAGTCCGATAGCTCCTCTCCCCTTGAAATTCTTGTTCATCACCATCATGGCGGTGGCATTTGCAAAGCGCTGCACTGGGTGCCCTTTGAAGCCCCCCACGTGACCCAGGGCCAGGGAGGGCCATAAGCGTCTGCTCCAGCGGTCGCAGCTTTGGTGGCCCGGAGATAGGGGCCAATTCCAGTGATCCACAAAGGCACCGCGGTCGAGTGGCATGGCATGGATGGTGGATGCCATTGGATGCCTGCATGATGCAACAAAAACATCGGTAAAAAAGCAGGGGAAAGCCACGAAAATCCTAGGGACAGCAAGGATAGAGGGGAAAGAGTGAAGAATGGTCAATGGACACCCCAGGACCTGGGGGGAACCATGAAGAATGAGAGGGAACATCAGGGGAACAAGTCAAGAAATTACGGAAAGTGTCAACAAGTTTGCTTTCAATCAGGGTGGGAGGTAAACGATTCAAATCAAATCAAGTTGATTTGGATGGTGTAAGTACTTTCTGGGCCCAATGAACTGAGCAGTGTTCAAAACCCTCTGTCATCCATTCATACTGGTTGATTTATAGGGGTTCCCATAATGGGCTGTAATAGCACCCCATAAACCAGGTTGCATGATCATAAACAATCAAAAAGGGTTTCGGTCACTGGGGTTTGTGCTCGGCCACTGTTGCCAGTGCACTGGTGGCTGCTGGATGTAGTTGGCTAGCGCAATTAAAGAAGCAAATGGAATAGCCACTGGTCATTGGCAGTTCATGGCGAACTTCTGACGATGTACATAGATCCATCCCAGATAGCTGTTCAATCTGCAGTGATTCGTGGTTCTCTTGCCTGCTTCTTGACACCTAGTCCCGCGGGTTTCTCTTGAATGTAAAAAGCTACGATTTCAAACACAAGTTCTCCTGCACATCCTACCGGTCCTAAAATCACTGCATCACCTGAGCACCATAACCCCCCGGGCGCACATCATTTTCTCTGTGATTTCCCCCACACGCTCTGCCGCCCGTGAGGTTTCCCCACCCCCGGGGACGACCCAAAAAAAGGCGATGCCTTGCCAAAGCCAAAGCTATATCTGCACCCCATCACGCCTCAAACGCAGCCATGATGCACGGCTACATTCGTATCCTATCAGGTACTGTACAGCCTCGAATTTGAGGTCAAAAATTCGCAGTTTCTACTATTTATTACAAGGATTTGTCCAAACCGAAAGTTGATCTGTGCTGCTTGGTGCTTCAGGCCTTCTTCGCCATCAGCTTTCAGCTCCTTGGTGCACAAAATCGATGTGGGAATTGATGACAGCAACTGCTCTGAGGAAGGAACCATTCAGCACGTAGAACCTTGAGAGCTGGCGATCTGACACCGAAAACCATCCGCTCCAACGCCAAATTGGCCATCAAAAGGAGGCCCTTGAAAGAGGTAAGTGATTATCAAGCATATAAGATCCAGTAATCAGTACTACCCAACTCCCTTATGCAAGCCCCTGAAACAAAGAATGTACTGTAGGTCAACCGTTCCTCCCCAATGAAGCTACTTGGCCCAAGGAACAACATGTAGGCCTTGCGTCCCAAATCTCTGGGCTCCTCCAAAGGAGGATCACGTTGGGTTTGTCTGAAACTGGGTGCAAAATCCGCTACTAAAAATCACCGTTTTCCATGTGTCATCGTTTTCCTCGCTAGTGCCATTTTTAGGTATCCCCGATTCTTGCAGAAACCATAGCCGTTTCTTTTCATGCTCCCCAATTTCATCACCCAGCATCGCAAACAGGAGGGTCGGGTTTGCAAAACACGGTTATATTGCATATCTTTCAAAACATAATCCCGCATATGTGTGTATGTATATATATATATTCATTTATTTATTTATTTATTTATTCATTTATTTATTTATTTACGGTATTTATGTATTTATTTATTTATTTATATGTATATGTATATGCATATGTATATGTATATGTATATGTATATGTATATGTATATGTATATGTATACATATGTTCAACATACATATCTTGCTCTGTCATTGATGAGCAAAAACTGAATTGTTCGTCTGTTGCTACATGGCAGGCCTGTGGCAGGCGTGTGACGCGGCTATCATCGTAGAGGAACCAAGGACCACTCGACGATTTGGCATAGCACACGTAGTGCCCCGACCTGCAACTTCCCTGGGCTACTTCAACTGGCGATCAAGGGATTCAACATGGAGACCATGGAGATCATCAGGGTAAAATGCATAAACGTATGGGATGTGAGGTGGGGGTAGTAGCACTAACAACCGGGATACTTGGCCAGTAAGGTTGGAATGCTGGAAAGTAGTGACAGGAAACCAACCTTTTTCCAAGTTCAAAATGTCCACTAGGCAACTTACCCAAAAAAAAAAGCTCAGAGTGTTTCCAGTTTAGGCATCATTTTGGGGATGATTTCCCCATCATCCAACCTCTAAAATTCCCCTCATTTTGAACAAAAATCCAGCTCTGACCTGGGTGATGCGCCCTCATGCGCCACAATGGCACGCAGGCCATAGCGCAAATGGCTGTAGGTGGTCTCCTGGCCGTAGCTGGTTGAGCCAACTGTAGAATGGTTCAAGAAATTGTCATGGCCTTGTGTCTAGCGGAAGGTGCTGGGATGTGCTGGGTTATGTGCTGAGTTGTTTGAAAGGACACTTCTTCAGGTCGTTAAAAACATCGAGGTGGACCGGTTGTACCATCACTCTGGGGATCCTGTTCCACTGGGAACGTCCCTAATTCTCGAACCATTCAATATACATGTGCTGTTTGTTGGCTTGCTCTGAGAATAGGCCACCTCAAAAAAATCTCAAGGTGTTTCATAATTTTCCGCACTCCAGGTGGACAGGGCCATATCAAGGAATATCTTCAACCATCTTCCTGTTGATCCCCCATCGAAGCTGACCTTCACAGGGGAGGTTTCGGGAGATTCAGGCGCAGGCCTCAGTTGTTAGTGCCAGACGCTACATTGACATTAGTTGGTGGGCTCATAGGGGAGCCATTTTTGTAGACCATGACATTTTTATAGCAATTGGAAAAAAATCTAATAACATGCAATAACAATACAAACATTAATAAGACCATAAACAAAATGTACATAACATAGTAATTATTATGATAGTGAATCATAAGACAGACAAACAAACGAACAAAGAAACAAAGAAACAGGAAAGTTAATAGCAACCATCATCATCGGTGCCTGTGGCTCCCCGCGCCAAGGGCGCCAGCGGACGAGCAGGGAGACGGGGAGGAGAGGCACCTCGAAAAAACACATCGGGACCATCGATGCAGGGGGTCTTGATATTAGGGGAATGGGATTGTGGGTAAAACAATCATAAACCACCCCATTTATGGTGATTTCAAGGAATGTTTATGATTGTTTTAACCACATTGTATATGTCTATGAGTCTATATCATTCTACATCTATAAGTCTAATAGTCTATGAGTCTAAAAGTCGATATCTATGTCTCTGTATCTCTAATCTGTGTGTGTGTGCGCGCGCATTTGGACTTGAACATATATATATATATAATCGTGTATTATATATATATATACAGTAATCGTATATTATATATATATATATATTATCGTACATATGTGTATATATATGTGTGTGTGTGCGTGTGTTTGCGATGTTTTTTGTTGAGCTAAGTGATGTAGCTTGGAATCCACCTCTATATCCGATCAAAACCCGCTGGGCTGATCCAACTCACAGCTTTGCCGCTGAGGGTGGCTCCCAGATCTAGCCTCAGGGCTGTGGTGGAGCCACTTATCCACTTCAATGGATTGGTTTAAAGGAAAATCTTAACCGGAAACCATCGATTTTCCTATCAAATATATTAAATATCCGGTCCATTGAGCGCCCTTCTTGATCCAAAGCATTATCCAACAGTAGTGACATATCACGCTGAAACATTGCCCATCCAGGGACCATCTCCAATCGTTTCAAGGTGATCTTCAAAGTCATTTTCAAAAAAAACACCGAGCATTTTGGAAAATCAAAAGCTTGGGATTTTTTGGCATTTGAAAACGTTGAAAACCACTTACTGGAAACATATTTAAAAAAAAAAAACGTTGGAAACAATGCCATGGGTCCCACCACACCTCCTATGGGTCCCCCTCTTTTTGTGGGTTCCCAAGGGGGATCCCCTGGGCACGCTGCATGCCAGGGATGTCCACGGCTTGGTGCTGCTTCTCGTAGCATTGCTTCTCCATGTCCGGCATCTGAGGGAAAAACATTAGTTAATTGTGATGGTTATGTATCTATGTATAACACGTGCATATATATATATCCCATATACTCATGTATCTATCTATCTATCCATCCATCCATCCATCCATCCATCTATCTATCTATCTATCTATCTATGTAACTAACTATCTATCTATCTATCTATCTATCTTTCTATTCTATTCTATTCTATTCTATTCTATCTCATCTCATCTCATCTCATCTCAAATCGATCTATCTAATCTAATCTCATATATCATCTCATGGATCTATCTATTTTTTTTCAATTGATTTGTTCATATTCATGAATAGTACAGATTTTGCATTTGATTTATTCATCCAGACGGACGTTGCATGAGGGTTAAGCCCTGATGAATGTCAACCCCTGATCTTGATTTAGGGGCAACTATCTGCATAAAAGTTCTTTATCAATTTATGTGAGTGGCACCCGCACTTAATCAACCTGGGCTTGTGAATCTGGGGGTTACATTATATATAAATATAGTGTACATGTGTGTGTGTGTCACTATGAACGAATCCTCGCATATGTCCGGGTTCATATATTCTGCGCATAAATGGTGATGTCCCCATGTCTCTTGCATCACTAAGGCACGGAGAGTTCGGTCATTTGATAGATTGAAAAAGTCACTCATGTATCACTGTTTTTGTAGGAGTTCACTTTTCTATCGTTTTTGAAAGCCACGCTGCCAAGGATATTAAAACAATAAAAACAAGCCTAGTCCTTGGGCTCTGAGATTTGCCTCGTCTCCAGCAGCCATTGTGACCATTTGGGGTACCAATGGACCCAGATATGGCCCGGTCATTTCAAACCAACTTCCACGGTAAATAGCTTGGTTCCAAGCTTCATGTCTGCTGGAATATCTAATGAATCTATATAATGCAATGGTGGCCCGTGTGCTTGGACCTTGGAAGACTTGAAACTTTGAACCCTCCATTGACAGCCCAGAATTCAGCTTTTCAAGACTCGAGACACTGGGTCCCCGGGCGAAACGTTTCAGATGCAGCACAAGGACACGCGGAGCCTCTCTGAGATTGGTGTCCTCGCAGCCAGGTCAAGCCCTTACGGATTAAGAAACCCCCAGCTTTCTAGGGGGGGTGCCAACTTTGCTGTTCATTCATCACTATTTTGGAGGCTCCCCTTCATAAATTGCCAGGGTGTATGAATCTTGGGTTGACTTATCTGCAGTCCTCCCCTTCCAAGCAATCAAGAGATTAGACACCTTCCAAGCAATCAAGAGATTAGACACGAGCCACAAAATCGGAGCTGAGTGCTCCCAACCAGGTTGGCTTCGGCAGCATTGCAGTGCTCGCACTTGGCCTGGAGACTGGAATCCCCACCCACCCACCCCAAAAAGAACATGCTATGAATCAACAAAAAACTCAAAGACTGGGTGCCATTTGTCCCCAGAACTTTGCTGGATCGTTTCCAAGTACGTACTATCTTCCTTAGATATTGACGTTGGTCCTTCATCAGAAATAGCTGCAGAATGGGAGAAAGTTTTGTACAGAGTTTGGATGAGCACCGAACATGGCCATGGCCAAATCTGGATCCTAAATTTTGACCCAAGACCAGTGCTCACCACGTCGTGCCGTTGAAGTTTGGACCCCACCAGGCTCCTCCAATAACTCCGGTTGAAAATATCTGCGCAGCATGGTAGGAAGTTGCTCCGCATGCGTCGACCCACCTGCGGCCCAGTGGAGCCCACGAGGAAGGGTGAAATCCTGGAGAGTGGGCGATTTCCCCAGGGCCACCACTGAAATCCAAAGAGAAGTCGCGGAAGCGTTCGAGGACGGTGCGTGCCTGACCACACCTCAGCTAAGGACACTCTCCCTCGGCTGGGTGGCTCATGGTCATTTTTCGACCCAAATCCAATTTGTTTCCTTCACTTTGAGAATACCCAGAACATACAGTAATTCGTATCCGACCTATCCCTGTTTTAAGCAAATGTACTGTTCCAATCGCTGCTTGGGGAATCTTGGGGTGCACTGCATGGTGTCATATTGGTAACCAGCAAGAGAGCACGGCGGCTTCACGTAGCCACCTGCTCCGCTCGAAACCCACCATGTGAAACCAATAATTTGTCCTGGTCTTGGTTACGGCAAACTGGCCACAATATCCATTATACAGACGCCAGGTAACTGTCATAAATATTTATTTCCATTGCATCTCATACATGTGGTGTTTTCTCAAATTTTGGCATGATTAATTTTCGATAATTTGGGATCCCCCACTTCAGGAAACCCTTTACAATCAGTTGTCCATGCCATTAATATCCCACATCACCCATTGTTTCGCAATCTGACATTAATCTCCCATATACCGTCATATCCCATGGATCAATCCATTAATTTCATTAATCAATCCCATTGATCTAGCTTCGTAATGTGGGAAGCAGTCTCAGCTCAAGGGTACCTCTATGTACCATCCCATGGTCATGGTTTATCTCTTCCCAGCTTCGGTGTTGATCTGTTGCACACATCGCCAAGTGGCTGCACACAAGTCAGCTGCCGCTCCACCAAGGCGTCAAAGTGGCTCTGGGTCGCCTTGGGCGACGCCGTCGACAGCATTTTTAGATATGTTCAGTAAATCAACAGCAATGTGAGGCCCCCCAGTTATAAGTTGGTTTATAAGCCCCAGTAACTAGTTCGTTATAAGTACCATAAACCATAGTTATTGGAGTTATAAACCAACTTTGCTATCTTGGGGGCCTCACATTGAGTAAATCAGCATAAAGCATCAACGGGCCATGACTTCCATAGCAACCTCCTAACCAGAGGGTACCCTGGGATAAACTGCTCCAAAAAAGATGCGGGAAAACCAAGGGAACAATCTACAGTCATAGTGGGTTTTCCGCATCTATGTACAGCGGGTGCCAGAATTATAGAACGGAGCCAGGAGTACAAAAGTACGGTAAAATACCGTACCTTTGTACTCCTCCGGGTTCCGATTCCGCGCGGAGTCGGGAAATTTAATTATAGAACGGGGCCTGGGAAACATTAATTATAGAACGAAAATGGGAAATGTGAGAAAAATGGGGGAAAACAGAATTATAGAACAGCAGCGCTCCGACAAGAATTATAGAACGGGGCCCGGGAAACATTAATTATAGAACGGGGCCCGGGAAACATTAATTATAGAACGAAAATGGGAAATGTGAGAAAAATGGGGGAAAACATAATTATAGAACAGCAGCGCTCCGACAAGAATTATAGAACGACGAAAAAAGTTAGGAGTAAATTCAGATACGTTTTTTTTTCACACCTTCCGAGGAAAACAGAATTATAGAACAACAGGGTACGGTAAATAACCGTATCTTCGTACTCCTCAACTTCCGTTCTATAATTCCGGCACTGACAGTAAACGTTTGCGGGAAGGTAACATCTCGAAATGATGGTGTAGTTAAGCATCAGTCAACTTGATCTTAGCTTAGAATGAAGATAAAACAATTAAACTTAAATATCTGAATATCTTGTCATAAAACACTCACCTGAAAGGTTCAGCCATTTGGGGTTAGTTACCCTCACATTTACCATCATTCATGGTGACGGGGCGGCAAGTTTGTTATAATTCACCCAGATGTATTTGACAATGGAGTTACTGGAAATGGAGGAAATATAACATATAATACAATAACTTCGGAGTTTCAACAATGGTTGTTTCACAGTCGAGTCATTGCTGTAGTTGGCTCTTCAAAAAGGCCTGGTGATCTCCCCTGTTGCTCTTTTCAAACCAATCCAAAGGATCTGGATTGCCATATATTGTGATCACCTGCGCTAGGGATGCTCGTCCAGGCAGCAATCTGGCAGTGCAAAAATGAGTTTTACACATAATGTCGACTATATATATATATATCATATATAGACATGTCTCTCTCTCTCTCTATGCTCTATCGGTACTTTCCGCTAGGATTTGAACACTTCCCATCAGTTCCCATCACCCAAGTCACCAGCACATGCTCCTCTCCTTTACCATGTTTCGCCTCAAAGGCCTCCATGACCAGCGACGGAGGCTGTTTCAAACGTCAAAAGCGAACTGGGAAAATCACCATTTTCAGTAGGTAAATCATAGTAATCATCTATAAATGAGCCAAACCATAGCTATGTTAAAGCTTGGATGCCAAAATCCCAAATCCATCCCAGATCTATTCAAGATGTACTTGAGAACGTACTGATTTGGGATGTTGCCAGGCTGGTGGGAGCGCAAAGGAAAATCATTGAGCAATCTTGGCCGAAGCTAATGCAAAGCTGACTATGCAGTAAAGTAATACGCGGAAAATCGTGGTTTTCCACGAGAAAGGATCTACAAATGGTATCAAATGGTTGGATGTTTTATGTTTTTTTTTCCCCATATCTAAGCTACTAATTTAGGAGGAGCTAGCATTGATTGATGAATGGCAACCTTTCCTCGCAACTCGGGCCTGATGTGCCCTAAGCAACTCATCGTGGAGTTGATTCATGTACCTCCATGACCGGTCGAGGAAGATGCCACATCCAAAAGATTGTGGTTGTGATGCTGGGGGTCAGGATCAAGAGAAAGAACACAGTAAATTTGTGAAAACGATCTTTGTCTTAAGAGAAATTCGCAGCATACCCCAACTGCCAATCCAGAACTAGTTTGAACCAAAAAGTTTAGGGGGCCCAAATTCGGACCTAAAGCCATGTTTCAAGCTGCAGCTCGCTGCACAAAGGGCACTCTAAGAAGAACTCGTGCGCGTCTTGCTGTCCGTTCCCTCGAAACATGGGCCTCAGGATGACACAACGCCAGGCATGGAACAGCACCGGAAGCACCTGAATGAACCTGGATGCATCTGCATTTGGTAAAAAATCAGGTATTCTTTGAATCCACGGGCTACACAAGATTCTCTTGGTTCATCATCACTTTAAAAAAGAATCCTTCTGGGGGTATACCTTGCGTGTCAGACACACCTAAATTGAGCATCCTGGGCTGGGCTCCGTAGCTCCTTCAATATTTTATATTATATGTACATGATTGATATATACTGTATATGTGTTTGTGTGGGTATACATGTTAGTATATAGATAGAGATAGAAACGATTGGGAGATAGAGATAAATAGATGTAGAGATAAGTCCATACTAGATAGATGGACGGATAGGATAGGATAGAGATAGAGATAGAGAGATAATAGAGATAATAGAGAGATAGAGAGATAGAGAGATAGAGAGATAGAGAGATAGAGAGATAGAGAGATAGAGATATAGAGATATAGAGATACAGATAGATAGAGATACAGATAGATAGAGATACAGATAGATAGAGATACAGATAGATAGAGATACAGATAGATAGAGATACAGATAGATAGAGATACAGATAGATAGCACAGATAGATAGAGATATAGATAGATAGAAATATAGATAGATAGCGATATAGATAGATAGAGATATAGATAGATAGAGATATAGATAGATAGAGATATAGATAGATAGAGATATAGATAGATAGAAACATAGATAGATAGAGATATAGATAGATAGAGATATAGATAGATAGAGATATATATAGATAGATAGAGATATATATAGATAGATATATATATATAGATAGAGAGATAGATAGATAGATAGATAGATAGATGGATAGATGGATAGATGGATAGATGGATAGATGGATAGATGGATAGATGGATAGATGGATAGATGGATAGATGGATAGATGGATAGATGGCTAGATGGCTAGATGGATAGATGGATAGATGGATAGATGGATAGATGGATAGATGGATAGATGGATAGATGGATAGATGGATAGATGGATAGATGGATAGATGGATCGATGGATAGATGGATAGATGGATAGATGGATAGATGGATAGATGGATAGATGGATAGATGGATAGATGGATAGATGGATAGATGGATAGATAGATAGCTAGATAGATAGATAGATGGATAGATGGATGGATGGATAGATAGATAGATGAGATAGGTAAGATAGATAAGATAGATAAGATAGATAAGATAGATAGGATAGATAGGATCGTTAGGATAGATAGGATAGATAGGATAGATAGGATAGATAGGATAGATAGGATTGATAAGATAGATAGGATAGGTAGATAGATAGATAGACAGGATAGATAGATAGACAGACAGACAGATAGATAGATAGATAGATAGATTAGATAGATTAGCTTGATAGATAGATGGATAGATGGATAGATCGATCGATAGATAGCTAGCTTGCTAGCTAGATAGATAGATAGATAGAGATAGAGATAGAGATAGAGATAGAGATAGAGATAGAGATAGATAGAGATAGATACACTCCAGAAAAAGCTTAGACGACGGCAACTCTGCCCCTTGGCCCCTTCCGCCCCTGACGCAGCAATGGCAATCTGTTCCCGCAGCTTGGCAGGGCTCAGCCTCGGCCCAGGCGTCAATATCTGGGACCCCAGGGGACGGCGAAAAAATTGGAGATTTGCTTCATTTAACCACCAAAAAATCAGGGATGTAATGGAATATCAATGGAAGATCAAAGGAATTGTGATGAATTATGCATAGAACATCAATCGAATTTGAATGGGATATTAGGGATTCTGCTGGGTTGTTCACCAAAAAAATTGGATATCATAGGGGTTTCATGGGTGTATGATGGAGATATAACCAACTATGTGTTGACCCAATATGGTGGATACGTCAAAATTACAATTCTATGTGGGGCAGTGAGCCTTTGACGAATGCATTTTGGGGACCCCTTTTTGAGGGCTGTCGGGCACCATGTCGGAGAAACTGCTTTTGGACAAACCAATTTTACCAACTGCAAAAATCATCAAAAATCGATCTAGATGGATAGAGGGGGCCCATCAACTCTTCAAATAGATCAAAGGAAGGTAGAAAAAGTCCAAGTCAAGCGGCGTCTTGCATCACTTACGCTTCTAAAAATCAGCTGATCGTGGACTACCCCTGGTTTGTAGATGATTTACGTGCCTCAACATCCAGCCTCGGCCAGGTTAGATCTCCAAGGTGTTTCCCAAGGTGTTTGATGGTCAGTTTTCCCCCTTGGGCTCATTTGGGTGTGCCCAACTGAGGATTGCCCCAAAACGGCGATCTTTATTTGAGAAATTTGGGAGAAAATGATCATCAACAATGAGAATGTTCGGGTACCCTCTGGTGAACTAACATAGCAATTGAAAATGGCCATTTATAGTGGATTTTCCCATTAAAAATGGTGATTTTCAATAGCTATGTAAACGTTCACCAGAGGGTAATCCAAAAAAAACACCACAAACCCACAAACGCTGCCCCGAATCCGCCCCAAAATCCGAGAACCCGGACGCTACTGGCAAAGAGTTGGTCGCCTGCATCCTTGTCAGAATCTCGACCTCAGATCATGGCAATCATAGGCCCTCTTGTTTCGTGCTAGAAGGGAGGAAAATCAGCCAACAATAATTTGCCAGCCAAGTTCAGTTGCCATATGAGTGTGTCAAAATTCATGGATTCCCAATCAAAAATAATTGTTTTCCTGTTCGCAGACCCAAAACAAATAGATCATGATTTTCGTGAGATTTGTCACCCAAGAATTAAAAACAACATAGACAAACACCCGCAGAAAGCTTGAATTCCTACAATGTGGCACAATAACATAGACTTGAGGCCGGGGGTGGATGACGAAAGCTAGCGGGGTAGGAGAAAGAAGGAAGGGAAGACGTATCTTCAATGCCAGCGGGATGATGATGAGGATGATCAGGATGAGGAAAAGAACATGATGATGCTGATGCTGATGGTGATGATGATGATGATGATGATGCTCATGATGCTCATGATGCTCATGATGCTCATGATGCTCATGATGCTCATGACGCTCATGATGATGATGATGATGATGATGATGATGGTGATGATGATGATGATGATGATGATGATGATGATGATGATGATACTGATGATGATGATGATGATGATGATGAAGATGATGATGATGATGATGATGATGACGACGATGATGATGATGATGATGCTGATGATGATGAGGCTGCGGCAGCTGATCGGGATGATGATGAGGACGAGGGTGCTAAGGATGTGGAGATGATGATGATGATGATGATGATGATGATGATGCTCATGATGATGATGATGATGATGATGGTGATGATGGTGATGGTGGGGTGTGGGGTGGGGGGGGGGGCCTTTCACGTGAAAAATCACGTGATGTCCTTGAGCAGCCCCCTGAATACTTGCTAAAGCAAGAAGACTCCAGCTAGCTGACGCTAGCTTTCGTGAATAACCGAACCACAAGAATTTTCAACCATCCCCAAATGTCCCATTGTGCCTAGTGTGCTTGGTATCAACCATTAAAATATGGGTGGTTGACCTGGCACTGGCATCCCGACCGTGCGCTGGAACAGGGCCCCATTGGTCACCTCCGGTAGCTGCTTGGGCCTCAGGTGAGTCATGAGTCGAAGGGTTTGGTTCTGTGGCAGCCGAGGCACGCATTTTTGTGACAGTGAATTGTTTTTTCCAAAAGTGTTTCGAAAAAAGTGGTTGCAATGATGTGCCTTTTTAGGTGACTCTGGCTATGAAATCTATGAAGTTTGGGGCCCATTTCATCGTCAATTTTTGCAGGACGACTGAGTTGTCGCACATGCTGCGCAGGTCATCCACAAATTCCCGCAAGGAGCTCACAGCCTCTAGGGGTACCCCGTACCACATCATCCATCAGGTAATTCATTTGGGTATTTGTTTCAATATGTTTCAATTGGATTATGGGGAAACCCAGGTGTTTAGTTTAGGGTACCCATCTTTCGAATTGTCTTCTCCATGAGTTCATTGAATCATAATGACATAATGACCTCGATGTGACGTCACTGGAATGGTGATTAGCAAAGGGAACCATCCCCAAATTCAAAATGCCTTAGTTCAGCTATGTTCAGGTTACTGACTTATTGCTTATTATGATATTTCATTCGTCCATGGATATATATATATACATACACACACACACATATTCTTAGCGTGTATATATATACACACACATTCTTAGCGTGTATATATATATATTAATTCTATATGTATATGACATTATATGTAATCATATATATATATATATGCGGTTTATATTTAATTGCATATTATATGCACACGTTTACACGTCTACCTTATTCTACCTTTGTTTTGTTGGGTTCATCTCGGGAAGGCCTGGGTCACGGCATTCAGGTAACAGGTGTTGCCTCAGCCGTTGCCGCGGTATCGGGCGCGTAAGGTTGTGAGGGAAAATACATAACTGGAGTAATGTGGTTAAAACAATGCCATAAGCCACCCATTTGGGAATGGTTTTTACCACCTATAAAAATGGTGACATTGGGAATGGTTTGTTATTGTTTTACCAACATTATACTAACCTATTTTAGCACGGTACCTCCCAAAAAATGCGGAAAACCTATTTTTGATAGTGAACGTGGGCGCCTAGAAAAATAAACGGTACTGAATACTAAAGATTTGATGTACTGTGGGGTTGCCACCATGCTGATCTTGATCCTGATGGTGGGCATGAGTCTTCAGCAAAATCATCTTAGTTTTCGTCCGAATCAAGAGATGCTTTTGTTGAATGAGAAATGGCCAAGATCAAAAGAATCAAAAGCAAAGAAATCCCCGACGATGAAAACTTTGCGTTTTTGAACACTGGTGAAATCCTGAGAATCAATCTGTTAAACCTGGGTCTGCGACCAAGGTTTTGCAATCCAAAGGCCAAAGATGGTCGGTAGCCACCATAGATGGAGGAGTCCTCCCCGTGGCCGCCATGACACTGTCGGGGACCCTGATTCTGGTTCTACAATTTACGGATGCCTTGCGATTTTATATGGTGACGAGGATAATGAAAACTGTAGTCTTTCTCCTTCATTGACCCCCAAAACCACCTCTACTTGCCTCCTGGCCCAGGCTATGCACCTAACCCTCTGCCCTTCCTGTGGAGGGTTCGAAGGCCGTCGCTGCAAGACAGAGGAGGGTGGCTGTGGCCTTGTCAGACATGTCTGTTGCTCTGGCTTCCTGGCTGTACAGTCAAAATTGACATGAAGTATCCCACCAAAAGCATTGCAGCACCTCAGGGCAACAACTTAAATGCCAAGAAGGTTGCAATTTCGGCTTTTGCTGCTCCAAAAAATACGGCGCTTTGGCCCAGATCCTCGCCCCCAACCGCCAAAAATAGGTCCCTGGGGCCCAGACTCTCGTCGCATGATGCGGCCGGCCTCTCTCCTGGCGAAGCTGAAACCAAGTCTTGGCCCTGCGGTGACTATGGGTTTAACAAAAAATTGTGCGAATGATTTTTAGGATTTAGCAACTATCTTCGAGCTTATATAGAAAATCAAAGTTTGCCCACTGCAAATCCTATCGGCAAAAAAATGGTAGAATCAAACAAACGAAAAAGAATAAAAGCCGTTAGCAGTTTCCATCGAAGCACCAGATTCTCTTAGAGTCATGACCCATCCAGCTTCCATGTCTAAGGGCAACATGGGCTTGTCCAAAAATGCTATGCCCCGAAATCTCCATTAGTTTCAAAATCCTCATTTTTCAGGATTCAAATGCTCTCCAATACCCCAAAAGCTGGGGGTTGTAATTTCTGCACCAACCTCCCATGACCGGCGGAATCAGACGAGCTTGGCCCAAGCGAGTTTCGCTCCGGAACACTGGTGGTCCTGCGCAGTTTCGCGGTCAGGGATGGTCACGTATGTATATGATATACATGCATGTTTTTTCCTATATATATTATATGAGTTATATGTGTATGATACGTGTGTTTGTGTGCAATTGTGTGCATATGTAGCTGTAACTGTATGCAATTGCGTGTAACTGTATGTAACTGTATGTATGCGTGTGTCTGTGTCTGTGTCTGTGTCTGTGTCTGTGTCTGTGTCTGTGTCTGTGTCTGTGTCTGTAGTGCCTACTTTCTGGTCTATTTTCCACAAGCGTATTTAAGTGAAACTGGGGACCCAAAACCATCCGAAATTCCCTACTTTCTTCCAGAAATAGATAGTTCTGGTGTCTCCAATTCTGACAAGTACAGAGGCAATGATACACACCTTGAAGCTGGAAACTCTCACATTTTTCATTTTGGCATCAGCCGAAGGATCATGTCATTTCACATGGAATATGGTAAACTAACTGTTTGCGATTGAAAATGGCCATAGAAATCGTTGATCTACCCACTAAAAATGGTGGTTTTCCATATAAATCACCATTTTTCCATGGTTTTCCCATTTTTTGCTGGGGCCTCCGGAGGGTTTGCCCGATGGAAACGACAAAAGGAAAACCATGGTTTTCCTATTAAAAATTGTGTTTTTCCATCGTTTTTTGTATGTTTACCGGAGGGTATTGGATCCACCCATTGGGCCTCCCTGGAACCCCTCGGATCCCCTCAAGGGCCCCTCACATCGAGTCGATGTCACGTCGCTTGGCCGACTCGGCGCAGAAAGGTAGAGCTGCGGGGGTCTACTTGGAGGGTCTGAGGCTTGTTTATTATTAGCATATAGATGTATAAGAGGGCTATAAATATATATATATATAGAAATATAAATAAATATATGCATATATGCATATATGCATATACAATATATATATATATTATGTAATTGTTATTGTTACAGTACCGAATATTTCTTTTGAGTGTCCCAGTTGCTGCTTTTCTTGTGGCAGACCAACGGCCAACGGCTGGTTTCATCCCCCTTCCAATGGTTCATTGGTTTAGTGGAAACCCACATGTTTGAGGGTAAAAACAGGAGAAAAAAAAAACACATCATGTTTCCGGGAGAGAGTTCTCCTTAAAATTGAGCGAGTCAATCAGTCATCATCAATCCATACAATCCATTTCTTCTAGCACAAACGTCGTTAAACGCAGAATATGAACTGCTCAGTTCATTCGTCCCTGCACCGCCCAAATCTTCGGGCCGCACCGGGGCTGAAAATTTGGTGAGTTCCTCTCGCCCTTGGCTGGACATATGCCTCGCAGGGCCGTGGGGAGCGAAAATGGGTGAAATCTGTTGAATGTTAGTTTAAATGTTAGTTGAATGTAATTATATATGTATATAGGAAATGGGGATGATTCCATTTATTGCCTCATATATACATAGAATATATGACATAATTTGATATAATTTGGCTAGTAAATCCATCGTTTGAAACCACCGGAAAGCTCCTTCCCAGCTGGGCTGCCCCACTCGAAGACATCGTCCACATGCCGTTTCCTCTTCCTCTGCATCTTCGGGTGCATATTGGGTGCACCAGAAGCCAATAGGCATGGTACATATGGTACAATCCAAGCAGGTCTGGGATATCCCCAGCTCTGCATGGATTCTGATATGTTACGATTCGCAAGTAGATCCAAAACCAGTTGCTGGTTCTTCGTCACGTCAAGACATGAACCACTTCGGGAGCAGTTTTGCAAAGGTCATCCTGTTTCATGGTCCATGGTTCCAAGACTGCTGGGTCAGAAAAATGTCCCATGTCTATCCACCATCTTTCTCATTTCAAACATTCAAACATCACCAAAATGGTGATTTCTGTCGTGAAGACCCTCTTCTGATTGACGTTCAAATGGGATGACCTCTTGATTAATATCCATTTCAGGAACCTAAATTGGAGGTACCTACCATAACCTATGTAAAGGCTATGTCACTATTACACTCTGTAAGGGAATATCCCCACAACATGTGGCCTTATATGGTACAGTACCTCCATTTTAGGGTCTTGAAATTCTCATTGATTTGAAGCTTCCGCACTCTGCTCCTGTTCTGCTCAGCTTCCTCTGTCGATTTTTGCGGAGAGATCGTAGGCGCTGGGCTGGCTGCTTGAGTGTTCTTCCTGCGGTGTCTGCAACTCCCGGGCATCACCATGGCAGCTACATGGAGGGGGTACGGCTTTGATATCAGGACGGCCAAATTTTGAAGAATCTTGACCAGCAAAGTTGCATCTTGAGAGCCTAGCATGTCTCGAAGCTCAACAAATGCAAGGAAAATACAACCATGTTGTCAAAGACAAAAAAAATCTCCCACCAGTACACCCCATTGAAACAAATCCTGACTACAAATTTTGATCAGGAAATAAGGTTTTGAACAATTTTTTCCAGCCGGCCACAGTAGACTGAAGTCCCCGACTCGTATCTCTCCACAACCTGCTGGTACAGTTTTGCGGCATCCTCAGTTTCCAAAAATGTACAGCCCAACGATACACCTCCAAGATTGACCATTTCGACAGAAACAACAAAAAAACAAAAGACACACGAGCAGCTTTAAAAACTCGAGTAAGTTGATGATGATAGGTGTCATCATCATCCGTTATTCTCCCAAAATAGTGTATACTATATATATATGTGTGTGTGTATGAGGTAAACACCCATGATTTCACCGGAGATGGCACAAAACCGTCAAGAAATGAATGATTATTGTTATTGTTATTGTTGTTGTTCTTGTTCTTGCAATTTTTGTGTGCTCTTGTTCTTGTTCTTGCCATTCTACTTGTAAATCTTGTTGGTGTTGATATCATTGTAATAAATATATTGTTACTATTGCCACTATTGCCGTTATTTGCATTGCTGATTCCATTGGGTTTACCAAATTTGTGGGACTTCTCCTGGTGGAAAAAAAGGGGAGTCCCCAAGCGACGCGGTTTTCTACTTGGCTCCACACCTCTGAGGGCTGGCAGGTGATCCGCAATTCCAAGCCATTGAATGGGTAGATCCGCACCAATCCATCCTGTCTGTCCATGTGCACATGTAGAAAAATGTTGAAAAATGTTGAAAAATGTATGTATCGAAATAATTATCTGTGACATGAGGACGTTTATATACTGTATGTGTAAATGTATATATATTTATATATATATATACAGTATACATGTATATGTATATGTATATGTCTGCACGTCTCTGTGGATACAAGTATATACAATTATCCATGATTATACATATACGGAATCTATACATCTAGTGAGGAACCACCTCAAGTTCCATCGCCCGACCTCCAGCTGTGGTTCAGCGATCTGCTTGGAAAGACTGATCGTTCCATTGGTCCTCCGCCATTTGCTTCGTTTCGGTCGGATGCATTCATGTGCCATAGCCAAGTAAAGAACCCAGAACCAATTTATTGGGTTTCCTATTGGGCATCTGTATGGGATTGTTTTCTATTAGGTAATCTATATTTCATTTCTTCTTAGTTAGGGACTGAAGAAATTGTTCAACTGGCGGGAGGTTGAAACGCTTGAAAATTTCAGCACATCGGTGGACTTATCAGACTAAGGGGGTGAGAAGAAAAATGAATTGTCAGCTAGGCATATCCTTTTCACCTTCGACGACATGACATGACATGACATGACATGACATGACTACCAAATGCGACCCAGTCCACCAAGAATGATGCCTTATTGTAGGATTGTGCGCCATAATCCATCCTGATTCATCCATTCCTATGGGTCCTCCACTCCAAAAAGAACCCTTGGTGAAGTTTGGACACGTTCATTTTCACTTGCAGTCTACTCATAGTGGGAATGGGAATGCCCCATCATCTCCAAATCCTCCAATGCGCCTGGGATGGAGCATGCGCTTCTGGTTGAGAAACGGGATAAATTTCATCTGGATGGTCAAGCGCCCAGTCACAAGCGAATTGGGAACCTGCGGCCGGGATCAAAAAATTGATGTTTTCCTAAAGGCACAGCATGGATTCCCCAACTGCTGGATTTCCTAAATGGACACAAACCCGTTGAAGAATAGAGCACAGTAGCCTCTGAAGTGACATTGTGTCATCTTGACACAACTTAAATGGTGGGGTGCACAGATTCATTCAAACACTGGCGCTACAAATGTCGATTTCGGCGACGGTGTAGCCGATGCACATGGCCCATTGAAACGCCTCCACGTCATCCAGAAAATACTGCGCAGTGATATTGAAGCTCATGGCTGGCCCCGTTCCCAAACCCTCAAGTTCGCAGCAAGTTCCTGCAGAAGGGGTTGGCGTCATGCGCTCGTTGGAGTGTGTTATGTTACCTTTTGGGATCACCGTCACGGCAATGCGACGCAAACCTTGAACTAATGCTGCGACCATCCACTGGGTGAATTTGATTCATGGCGGCATTCAGTCACAATCAAAATTTCAAGTAATTGGAACAAATATACTTTAGGCAGCTACCCTATCACGTTTTCTTTAGAGCCTTTGGGGGGGTTCGTGTTCTGTAAAACGGGCCTTCGTGTTCTGTAAAAAGGGCCCTCGTGTTCTGTAAAAAAAAACCTCGTGTTCTGTAAAAAAGGGTCTCGTGTTCTGTAAAAAGGAGTCCGCGCGTTCTGTAAAAAAACGTTCCCGTGTTCTGTAAAACGGGGCCTTGAGTTCTGTAAAAAGGGGTCTCGTGTTCTGTAAAAAGGGCCCTCGTGTTCTGTAAAAAAGGGTCTCGCGTTCTGTACAAAATGGCCTCGTGTTCTGTAAAAACGGAGCTCGTGTTCTGTGAAAAGGGTCCTCGTGTTCTGTAAAAAGGACAAGTGTGATTTTTTTACAAAGCAAATGTGATTTTTTTACAGAACAAATGTGTCGCGTTCTTCCCGTGTTGCCTGTCATGATCAGACAAATGGTTTTTGATCGGCAGCGATGCCAGTACTGTGGACCAGCTAAAAATTATGTCTCGGCTCGATACATTTAAATTGAATGTTTCCTGTCACGGTTTGAACACATCTAACCAAGCTTATTTTGTGAAAAATATGCGGTCCTGCAAACAAATCCTACATTTCTTCGAGCGTTTTCGCTGTGAAAGTTGGTATTTTTTTGATGTTATTTATTTGGGCGCTTACGTGGTCCTGTTGGAACGCATAATTATCCAGGCGCCAGCTAAGACCAGAATGCGCCAAATCGGAAGACATTTTGTTTTGTAAAGACTAAGCGCCCGACTGGACCAAAAACAGGATGTTTCAAACCGACGTGAACTGCAACAGGGCGATGGTTTGGGCAAACAGTTCGCCTTCAAATCCCAAACCATTCGATTGCGTGTAGAGGTAGGCATTTTGTCAAAACGCATGGAAACTTCAAGTGCGTATATTTAGGGTGTTGTTCAAACACGTTTTAAGTTTTTGGCGGGTTTCTTTAGACGATTGTGTACTGCTATTTTTGTCATTTGGCATTGACTCGTGTACTGCTATGTTTGCTCTCGTGTTGTATTATTTTGCTCTTGTTCTGTTATTTTTGCTCTCGTGTTCTGTTATTTTTGCTCTCGTGTTCTATTATTTTTGGGTTCGTGTTCTGTTATTTTTGCGCTCCTGTTCTGTTATTTTTGCGCTCGTGTTCTGTTATTTTTGGGTTCGTGTTCTGTTTTTTTTGCTCTCGTGTTCTGTTATTTTTGGGTTCGTGTGCTGTTATTTTTGGGTTCGTGTTCTGTAATTTTTGCGTCGAACAAACGCGAATTTTTTACGGACCACATGTGAATTTTTTAGAGAACAAATGTGATTTTTTTGGATAATTTTTTTTCCAGAACAAATGGGATTTTTTTACAGAACAAACGTGATTTTTTACAGAGCAAACATGATTTTTTACAGAACAAATGCTCTATTTATTTTTTTTGGCAGAACAAATTTAATTTTTACAAACTAAATGGAGCATTGGTTCTTTTTTTTTTGGTTTTTACAAACTAAATAGAGCATTTGTTCTGCAAAAAACGGACAGAACAAATGTGACTTTTACAGAACAAATGCCCCATTTAGTTTGTAAAAACCAAATTTGTTCTGTAATTTTTTTGTGGGTTTTGACAAACTAATCAGAGCATTTGTTTTGTAAAAGTCACATTTGTTCTGTACGTTTTTTAAGTAAACAAATGCTCAATTTTGTTTGTAAAAACGAAAAAAGTCAGAACAAATTTACTTTTTAAAAACTAATCAGAGCATTTGTTCTGTAAAAATCACATTTGTTCTGTGCGTTTTTCGCGGAACAAATGCTCTATTTAGCTTGTAGAAACCAAACTAGTTTTTTTTTACAGAACCAATTGAGTTTTTACACGCTAAATATAGCATTTGTTCTGTAAAAATCACATTTGTTCTGTACGTTTTTTACAAAACAAATGCTTTATTTAGCTTCTAAAAACTAAAACATCCGCGTTTGTTTTTACAAAACAATTTTAGATTTTACAAGCCAAATGCAACATTTTTTCTGTAAAAAAATACGGAACAAATGCGATTTTTACAATACAAATGCTCCATTTAGTTTAAACAACATTTTTGTTGTTGTTAGAAACTAAATAGAGCATTTGTTGTGTAAAAAAATCACATTTGTTCTGTAAAAAATACATTTGTTCTCTTAACAAATCATGTTTGTTCTGTAAAAAATCACATGTGTTCTTTAAAAAAAATGTTCTGTAAAAAAATCACGTTTGTTCTGTTAAAAGTGGACATTTGTTCTGTTAAACGTTCACATTTGTTTGTAAAAAAATGGCATCTGTTCTGTAAAAAAAATGCATTTGTTATATCATTACCCTGGCCATCCAATGTATGATATATATGCTAACATTTGGTTCCGTAGGTTTGAGAAGCAACATTGGCCCATATATGGCGTCCGTAGTCAATTTTTGACTACATTCAAAAATTTATGAAATCCGTGAACTTCCGATAACATCCGAGAACATTGTCCGATAAGCCCGACGAATCTAATTCCATCTTGTTCTCATCCGGATGGTTCCCTTGCCTTGAATCCTACAGTGATCGTAGCACATTAGGAAGGTTCATTAAGTTATTTTCCACATTTTTTCCGCTAGGACCTTGAATTTATAGAGTTTTGGCGTGCCGAAAGTTGAAAATTATGAAGCGGAACTCAAGTATGGCAGTCAAATGATGCGAACTCGGGGTGTGCTAGCAGTATTTGCTGTGCCCTCTTATGCCCTCTCAACCTCAAGTTCCTCTGAGGTTTTTTTGGGTTCATCATTCAAGTCCATGCAGCAATGACAAAACAAGTAAATATGAAGGTCCTTGTTTTCCTGTTGAAATGACCAAGGGTTACCTTCATCTCCAATTTTGCATCTGCAAAAACGCAGCAAGAGATTACCACAAAATATTCAGCAGCGCTCCACAAAGATATGGTCCCCCCATGTCTCCCCCAACATCTCCGTCAAAAGAAATTTAGAGAATAAATCGAAGAGGCAGCTAGGCCATTACTATAATAAGATCGCCAAAATTCGAGCAACAAAAACATATAAAGAGACCCATGGATCCATTCTCGAAATAAGTTGGGTCCCCAAATAATCTTGCATCACAAAAGCGGGCAGCCAAGACAAAGTGGGACATATCATTTTTGGGAAGCAGCCTTTAGTCAAGATCGAAGGCCTTTTCGTTCGATGATTACTCCATTGTCAACCCTCTTCTTTTCGTATTTGTAACGTAATCTGGCGAAATGTTTTTTCAATCAGTTTTATGGGAACCTTTTTGTCTGTATATATAAATGCAAATTATATTGAGGAAAATTTCGTTTTCAAGCAACGCCTAATCATGACGAAACGCCGACGCTGAGTGCACACATCTCTCTTTCCTGAAACTCTTGGGTTGGGACAAAATTTTCAAATCCCCTTTGAAAACATTTGAAAACAACCACCTTTCTGAAATTTGCCAATCACATTGCCTTACTCATTGTGAAAAACCGCTGACAACATGTTTTTGCCTGCGGACTCGTTACCGTCGCACAAATCCACACATCCGCATCCGATAGTATGGGGTGGGGTGGGGTGGGATGATAACGTCATTAGCATTTCCACATGATCTTGATGCTGCGCTCTATGATCTTCATTGGCATTTCCACATGATCTTGATGCTACGCTCTATGATCTTCATTGGCATTTCCACATGATTTTGATGCTACGCTCTATGATCTTCATTGGCATTTCCACATGATCTTGATGCTGCGCTCTATGATCTTCATTGGCATTTCCACGTGATCTTGATGCTACGCTCTATGATCTTCATTGGCATTTCCATATGATTTTGATGCTACGCTCTATGATCCTCATTGGCATTTCCAAATGCAATGGCACACATCCGCATCCGATAGTCTGGTGTGGGGTGGGGTGGGGTGGGATGATAACGTCATTTCCACGCTTGGGTTCTATCGTTCCTATGGTCTTTGTAACAATGCCTTAGCCAAAAAATATGGCCTTCTCTTGCAACAATGCAATCACAGCCAAGGCAACTTTTGTCGCACCAGAACCCTGAAGAACAGGGGGAAAGTCAAGATCCACACGGGTCACGTAGATGGATTCTGGAAGGTCCTCAAGAAACCATCCCTGGAAGTTTACCATCGAAAAAGGGCCAGGCACGCAATCCTCAAATATGGAAATGCATGCGCTCTTTCCAGTGGCGGTGGGGGTGCACAGGTAAAAACCTGATGGAAGCCACCGCTGACACGTTGAAGAAAATCTGAGAAAAAGTTGCGGTTGCCCTTTTTCAGGCTGAAGTCATGGAAGGGTTGTTATTCACAAAGTAGATGGACCTTTTTTTTGGAGACGTTTTGAATGAAAAAAATCGCTCTTCGCTGTCACGAAATAGTCATTTTCATCATTTTCGTACGCCGGCAACGCTTCCGCCGGGATGTTTTTGTTTAACTATCAGTGTTTTAAATGCGAAGCATTGACGAAACCCTTATTCCAGACATGTTATGTTAAATAGGCATCGAAGGAATTTTTTTTTAACGCCTGACCTCTATACATGAGACCTTGGCCAAACGGTGGCTTCAAGCATCCTCTTTTACGAGAAATATCTTGACGAACAATGACAAAATTCTGCTTCAAACAGAATTTCCTTTGCTGGAAAACTTGACCAAACATGACAGAAAATTCCTTTGAAACATGTTGTGAATTGGTGTCGGCAAGGATTGTTTACCAAACTATTTCACAACATTCCGAACCCTAAAGTTGCTAGGTTTCTTGGTTTTATTCAAGGATTTCATGGTCAAATTGTGGATGCTAATACTGTCTTGGATGTTTT